TCAATTTATTGATGGACTAGATGACCTACAAGGTCCCTTCCAACTCTGTTAATCCGTAATTGACAGCATCAATTGTTCCAATTATTTCTACCAATGGTTTCATGGAAAGCTCTGCCAGCTTTCCATCCAAAGCCAACCAGGACATTGGGACTCTGGAGATGCTGGCGGTGGGTAGGTGTGTGTGGGGGTAACAGTAGATGGCAGATGACTATGGATCTTCCTGACTTTCCTGGACATTTTGCTTTCCCTTCACCCAATCCCAGAGAAGAAGAAAATGACATGAATTCTTCTTTAGATGATGGGATTATTCCTTGACTTCTTAAAGGAGTCTTGGTTTTCCTCTTCACCAAGAAGTCATCGGTGGACCCCAGAATCCTGGATAATTTTCATCCAGTATCTAACCACTTTTTGGGAGAAGGGTAGGGTTGGTAAGAAGACAGCATCCGAGGACCTTGGATGAAATGAAGTATAAGGATCCATTTCCATCGAGATTCTGATCCATATGTGGGATAGAAATAACACTGGTTGGGCTTTGGATAATCTCAGGTGAGGACGGGATGAAGGTCGCGCATCCATCTTTGCCCCTACTTGACTCTCTGCATAGAACTTTTAAACAGGTATATGTTTCTATGAATATATGTCTATAGTTTTGAGGAGCGTGGGTAGTTTTGTTTTCTTTACATTTATTCTAAGAAAGTTCTCTCTACAGGTATAATTTTTACAGTTCTGAATTGCTAAAGGCTTGCCTTGTTCTGTATCAATCTATATAGAGAGAATTAAGAGGCATCTTTAGCTGAACTCCATCTTGAGCAATGCCTTGGTCAATGGTGGTAAAGGGACATAGCACTGTCCATGTTGGGGACCTCTTATTGAACATTCTTGAAGTCTTGTTATAGTCCTTCTGACCTCCTTTTCTTTTTCTGGAAGCTGTTTTTATATGTTGCTGAACTGTTTAGATTTTTAAAAAGTTGTTGGTTGTATTTGAGCAACATGTTTACTTGTCTTTCACTTATTCATGACTGCATAAACAGGTTTCCTGCATTTACATCATACCAGACAATAAACTAACTACACAGGTTGAGTTTCCAGAATATGGTTAGCTACTCACTGGTTCATGTGCCATGCACATCCAGTCCTTTTCTTTCAATGTTGTTGTAAACTGCATTGAGAAAATAATAGCCACAAATATCCAGGGATGGGGAAGCAACTTCATCTTCTGCTTGGTATAAACACAAAGATCAAACAGATACTATGTTCTTATTCTAGTCTACGGAAATGTTTGAGAATAGTAGTAGAGTAACTAAGTGAAACAATGTGCCAGGAGGGACTAAGCAAATGCAAAAAGATTACGGCATTGATTTCTGCAAACAAATATATATATATATTTGTTGTAGTAGAGAAGCCTGAGTTTTCTCCATTCTGGTTCATGCAGGAAAAAATAGTCCAAAATGCACAGTTTTGTAAATGCTTCCTTAGGACCCCTAATAACAAAATTTGGAGTAGTTTTATTCAGTAATCATTTGGCCATGAAAGGAAGGAAGGAAGGAAGGAAGGAAGGAAGGAAAAGAAAGAAGGAGAGAGAGAGAGAAAGGAAGGAAGGAAGGAAGGAAGGAAAGAAAGAAAGAAAGAGGGAGGGGGGAGGGAGGGAGGGAGGGAGGGAGGAAGGAAGGAAGGAAGGAAGGAAGGAAGGAAGGAAGGAAGGAAGGAAGGAAGGAGGGAAGGAAGGTCTTGAAAACACACGAGCACCCAAACTATCTCTTAACTTAGATGAAAATCCAGGAATTTGGCAGAGCAGAAGTACAGCAGAGCACAGAAACAGTTTATAGGAGAAGACTGTGTTAGTTTAGGGTGGCAAAACAAACAAAAAATATATGCATGATAAAATAAATTGCAGTTCACAAAAACTTATGCCTTTTCATGTGTTCGTTAGTCAGAAAAGGTGCTACCAGCCTCCTGATTTTTTATTTTTTATTTTGCCAGAAACCGATGATTTCAGATTCTTCAAGAGAATACTTGAGAATACTGAAACGAACGCGTGGAAACCCTGGCTTTCTTTATTTTATCACAGACCCTGATCTCACGATTACGTCATCCAAAGGAAGTTGGAAGGGAAGAAATAGAATCCTGTATAAGCAAAGAAAGCCACTTTTCCCCTCTGCCTTCCCCCCATTTCCCCTCGAAGCACCGAGGATGAATAAGCTGACTGTGAAGCCAGCAGGAAGCTGGTTCCCTCTTTTAGAAACAATGCAGATGTTTCCGTCCCCTTAGTATCACGATCCAGCGACAACAATGGAAGCTGCGCTCGAATGCACAGGTGGCCCAACTGGTTTAGAAGAGAGAAATCCCACATGGCAAGAAACAAGCAAGAAAAATGCAATCCCGGTGGAAGAATTTGTTCTTTGCAGATGAGTTGAAAAGTCCATCTCAAAAGGCTTTTTGCTTTTAACCGAGTAACAGAGTTGGAAGGGACCTTGTAGGTCATCTAGTCCAACCCCCCTCTCCCGCCCAAGCAGGAGACCCTACACCATTTCTGACAAATGGCAGTCCAGTCTCATGCAAAACTTTTGCCAGACCAATTCTTAAATACAGCTCATCTGCCTGGAACCCGCACTGCATATCAGACATTCGAACGAGTCCAAAGATATTTCACGAGAAGAGTCCTCCACTCCTCTGCTCACAACAGAATACCTTATGCCACCAGACTTGAAATTTTGGGCTTAGACAACTTAGAACTACGCCGCCTTCGGTCTGACCTAAGCGTAGTACACAAAATGATCTGCTAAAACATCCTACCTATCAATGAATACTTCAGCTTCAACCGCAATAATACAAGAGCACACAATAGATACAAACTTAAGGTGAACTGCTCCAAACTTGATTGCAGAAAATACGACTTCAGCAACAGAGTGGTCAATGCCTGGAATGCACTACCTGACTCTGTGGTTTCTTCCCCAAACCCCCAAAACTTTAACCTTAGACTGTCTACTGTTGACCTCACCCCATTCCTAAGAGGTCGGTAAGGGGCGTGCATAATCGCACCAGTGTGCCTTCCGTCCCTGTCCTAATATCCCCATTTATCCGGATCTATTTCCTGTATTCATAATCATGTTTATACTTATATCTGTTATCTAATACATGCTTGACAAATAAATAAAATAAATAAAATAAAAGAAACTCCATCTGGAGAATTTCTTCACCGCAATTTCCCCACGGATGTAGTGTGTTTCCTTCTCTGGATTTAAGAAGAGAGTTTTGGGGCCACCGTGTGGCTATTCTGCAACATTAATTTAATCACAGTCTGTTTAAAAACCTTACCAAGGAGAGAATCGTGGTTGTCCAATGCCAGCCAACAGGTCCATACAATGAAGGATGCTGGGAACTGAAGTACAGCAAGGCGCTAAGATATTTGAAGGCAGAAGTGGTTCGAGCCAGAGTTTTAATTTACCATGGTTTACAAAACCAAACTCAATAGGGTTGTTTTGCATTCACAGCCTGAATGTGAAAGTTTTAACCCAGAAGTCCTCAAACTTGGCAGCTTTAAGGCTTTGGACTTCAACTCCCAGAATTCTCCAGCCAGCATAACATAGCTGGCTGGAGAATTCTGGGAGTTGAAGTCCACAAGTCTTAAAGCTGCCAAGTTTGAAGACCTCTGTTTTAACCAGAGGAAAAAAATTGCCTTTGGAAATTGTGGGTGTTCCCAACACCAGAGGCTTTTAAGAAGAAATAGAAACCCAGATGACACCAGAATAAATGAAAAAGGGGGATGGGAGGGGGGGAAAGAAAGAAGATAATAAGACTAAATGTACAATTATGATGATAATACTGATAGATAGAATAAATCTGAAAAGAAATTGAAAGAAAGTATATACTATTAGAATACAGGAGTTGCTCAGATACCAAACAAGAAGAATATTATATAGCAAAGAAGATAGAAAGGAGAGGGAAGAAGAGGGTAGGAAGAGGAGAGGGAGGGAGAGGAATGGAAGAAAGGGAAAAGAAGAGGAAGGAAGGATAGGGGACAGGAGTAGGAGAGAAGGTGAGAAGGGGGAAAAGAAGAGAGGAGTGGGGCATAGGAAGGGGAAGTAGGATGAGGTAGGAGCAGAGGTGGGTTTCAGCAGGTTCTGACCAGTTCTGGAGAACCGGTAGTGGAAATTTTGAGTAGTTCGGAGAACCGGTAGTAAAAATTCTGCCTGGCCCCACCCCCATCTATTCTCTGCCTCCCAAGTCCCAGCTGATCGGGAGGAAATGGAGATTTTACAGTATCCTTCCCCTGCCATGCCCACCAAGCCATGCCCACTAAGCCAAACCCACAGAACCGGTAGTAAGAACATTTGAAACCCACCACTGGGTAGGAGAGGAGGAAGGAGAAAGTAGGAGAGGGGAGGAGGGAGGGAAGGGAAAGAGGAGAAGAAGAAGAAGGTTTGTTGAGAAATCGGAACCTTTTAAAAAAAATTTAAAGCATTTTTTACTACCTCTTCGCCCAAACCGGTAGTAAAAAAAATGCTTTAAAAAGTAAAAAAAAAAAAAAGTTTTTTTTTCAAAAAAGTTTTTTATTTATATTTCTCATAAACACATTTACATGTACAGTCATTTCCATCATTTTTCATTCATCTTTTCTTTTAACTTTCATTTTTCATTTTTACTTTTTCGGGGCTGCTCTTTTACCCTTTTCCTTTACTCTAACCTTTCTTCTTCTCCTCCTTCCTCTTTCTCCTCCTCCTTCGTTCTTCCTCTCCTTCTCTTTCCTAACCCTAACTTATCAACCCTGGTGATTCACTTAACAGTTGTGGCAAGGAAGGTCGTAAAATAGGACAAATCTCACTTAACGAATGTCTCACGGCGACAGAAACTTTGGGCTGAATTGTGGCCATAAGTTGAGGACGATCTGTATAAGTAACCCAGTACATACCTAAAGAGACCACAAGGAGGCAGATTTTCATACCAGAAAAATGACTTCTCCGCTTGATAACCAAAGTTGGAACTACGTCAAGAGCAGAGATAAATTTTTCGCTCTACATTTGCTGCTTTTACAGAAACAGCAACGATGGTCGTGTCGGAGGGCAGAGAAGCCCTACAAGGATGACAGGAAGCAGAAAGAGTGTGCTCCAATCCATCATCCTGAAACCAGGTTCCCTCCGCAAACGATTCCTACCCGTCCAATTATGATGGCGATGATGACGATTGTAACGGAGAAGTATTCATGGGTTTCGGAACTGCAAAGGGGGCCCTTGGAGCGCTGCTTCTGTAAAAGAGGGAAATCAAGGTAAGACGTTTTCTGACTAAGGGCAAGTGGAATTGAGAAAGGCTCTTCGTCTTCTTTTTAGTGAAGAGACAAGTTATGAGGTAAAATGAATGTAAATTGTACTTTAAGTAAGAGATGGGTGTGAAGTTACTAAAATTGTGTATAGTTGTCATGCTGAAGAGGGAAGTTACTTTTTTATTTTTCCCTTTTATTCCTATGTTGTTGTTTTTTCTAGGCTGCAACATTTGTTTATGCACTAAAACAATAAATAGGACTCCCAAAGGGGCTTTTTTCAGGAGGCGATTTGTATTTGTATTCTTTAATAATATATATATATATTTAAAAAAGTGTAATCTCTGCAGCCCTCCATAGAGGGACAGAAAGGAATGATTTCTTAAAAGCTACATCATCTTCTAGAGCAGTGTTTCTCAACCTTGACAGCTTGAAGATGGGTGGACTTCAACTCCCAGAATCCCCCAGCTAACAACTTAAAGATGGTTGGATTTCAACTTCCGGAATTCCTCATCCAGCATTGGGGAATTCTGGGAGTTGAAGTCCACCCATCTTAAAGTTGCCAAGGTTGAGAAACACTGTTCTAGAGACTTTGACTTCCCAAATCTTCTAGCCAGCCTGGTTGACACTTAGAATTCTGGGAATTGAAATCCAAACATCTGGAGGGAGCTTAGGTTGGAGAAGGTTAATGCACAGGAACTGAAGAAAAAGACAGGTCTAATAGAACCAGGGGTGGGTTGCTGGGGGTTCGTAGGGGTTCGGGAGAACCTCTAGCTAAGATTCCGTGCAGTTTGGAGAACCCCCAAATCCCAATCCTGGCTCACCCTGCCCCTCTCAGGAGTCCCCATGTGGCCCGTTTTGGATGCAGGTAAGTGCAGGGCACGAGTGGAGTCTCAGGGAGGGCAAAAAATAGGCCTGCCGGAAGTTCGGGAAGGCCAGAAACGGGCCTGTTTCTGGCCTCTAGAGTGCCTCCGGAGCCTGAGGAGGCCGTTTTCGCCCTCCTGGAGGCTCAAAGAAAGCCTTCGGAGCCCGGGGAAGGCAAAAACGCCCCCCCCCCATGATGCAGGATGCCAACTAGGCCACACCCACCATGGCCACGGCCACCCAGCATCCGGGAAGAGAACCCCTTGCTAAAATTTTTGAAACCCACCCCTGAATAGAACTTAACAGAATAACAGAGTTGGAAGGGACCTTGGAAGTCTTCTAGTTTAACCCCTGTACCCACCACATCTGGAAGCAAGTCTTCACTACATTTGACTAGAAGTCCTCAAAGCAAGCATGGGAGAAGACCCAGCACCAGAGGTGGGTTTCAGCAGGTTCTGACCATTTCCGGAGAACCGGTAGTGGAAATTTTGAGTAGTTCAGAGAACCAGCAAATATCACCTCTGGCTGGCTCCCCATCTATTCTCTGCCTCCCGAGTCCCAGCTGATTGGGAGGAAATGGGGATTTTGCAGTAACCTTCCCCTGGAGTGGGGTGGGAGTGGAGATTTTATAGTATCCTTCCCCTGGAGTGGGGTGGGAATGGAGATTTTTTAGTATCCTTCCCCTGCCATGCCACACTATGCCCACCAAGCCATGCCCACAGAACCAGTAGTAAAAACTTTTGAATCCCACCATTGTCCAGCACCAACCCTATATAACCTGAGTCCGTTTGGAAGAAAGAGCCACGGGTTTAAATAACTTTCGTGTTACGTTTTTGCTGATTGAACAGGCTGAATCAATTATTGCTTGTCCAGATGCTGTAAAGACTTGCTAAACTCATGGAGGAAATCCAAAGCCTGGTTGCTCTCATAAAACCTCGCAGGGCAGCCCTGCTCTAGTATGTTTATTGACTTTGGATGACCTTTTCAAGGAACTTGGAGCCATAGATATAGCTTTCAAAAAATTAAATAGGAAGGAGGAACATTGGAACAAAGTCCGATGAAGAATAATGCCAACCAAAAGGCAATTCTGTAGCTTTCCAAAGCTGTTTCTTTTAAGAACACTCTTTGAAAATATCTTCCAGGCATTTGGCTCCTTGTTTCCTCCAGAGCCAAATTTAGACAGAGGCTAAGCAAACTACAGCTGTGATGGCGAACCTATGGCACGCATGCCACAGGTGGCACGCTTAGCCATATCAGTGGGTACGCGAGTCCTACCGGACATTGGCAAACGGGCTGTTTTCGGCCTCCGGAGGGCCTCCAGGGGGGTGGGGAAGTCTGTTTTCGCCCTCCCCAAACTCCTAGAGAGGCTCTGGAGGCTGGGAACAGCAAAAAACGGGCTTTACAGTCCCACCGGAAGTTGGCAAACGGGCTGTTTCTGGCCGCGGGGGGTGGGGGGTGGGGAAGGCCATTTTCACCCTCCCTAGACTCCTAGAAAGGCTCTGGAGCTAGGTGAGAGAGAAAAACGGGCCTACCGGGCCATCACGTGCCAGGAGTGGGGGGAGCATGGGGGGTTCGCGTGTGCATGCGTGGGGGCAGGGCGCATAGAATTAAGGGTGAGGGCACATGTACTTGTGACCCCCCCTCCCACCGCCCAGTGCGGTCACATAGGACTGGCCTCCTCCGGGTGCCATCGGCCAGACAATGCCGGCTGGTGGCCCCCAGGATGAGGGCGTTCTCAGTGGCTGCACCGACCCTCTGGAATGAATTACCCACCGGGCTTCGGACGGCCCCCGACCTCCGCGCTTTCCGGGCCAAACTGAAGACATGGCTTTTTCAGCAAATTCCCTGATCTGTTATGAGATTTTAGTTATTGGGGTTTTTACATTTGGATGTTTTTAGTTTTATTTATTGTTATGTGTTTTTTATTCTGTGAGCCGCCCCGAGTCCTACGGGAGAAGGGCGGCATAGAAATCTAAGAAATAAATAAATAAATAAATAAATAAATAAATAAATAAATAAATAAATAACAGAGGTTGGGTTTTTTTTTTATAAAACTTAGATCATCCTCCCTGGCTGGCTCCCTTTGCAGTGCTAACTCTAAGATGCTACAAGGAGCATAGGAAGATGTAGGTTTTCCATCCACAAAGCACCCAGAAAGTTGTACAAATCTACAACTACCAAGCTCACTTTGTCTTGCCCTCTTCTACGTGTCAATTTTCTTCCCCTTCACAGCTTCCTTTCACAACAGAGCAAGACATTCTTTGATGCAAATTCAGGATAGACCTGTTTCTCTGTATTGTATTTCCACTGTGGGATTATTGCCAAGGACAGAATGTAAGTTGACCCAAAAGCTAAATTCGCAAGCCTGGAAATCAGATGGAATTGGGCTGGTGTAGACTGGGAGCAAAACAACACCGAATGTTGCCACTGCACCCAAAACCCTTTGCTTTAGTCGTTAGACTGGACCTTGATCATGCTAGCACTTGTTTTCCTTGTTAACTCCTGACTGATTTTTCATTTTGTGTTAGACCTAGGACAGGTCCTCAACAATAAACACAATAGGCTGAATCTCCAAAGCAGTCTTCTCCCCAGCCCAAAAGTAAAGCTAAAATAATAATATTTCATTCCGGCCGGCTTACTGACAGGATGGACACGGCTACGTAATAACATTAACTTTATTTAGCCAACAAGGCAATTACCTCAGAATCAACATCCCGCGCTTGATAGCTCCTTTTTATATCAAGCTGTCAATGTAACAAGAAACAAGAAAGAAAGAGATACAAGCTCAGACTCAACCCCTCCAAGACCGAGTGGCTGTGGCTTCCGGCGTCCCGGTATAGTCAGCTGGTACCATCACTGACAATAGGGGATGAGATCTTGCTCCCCACAGAGAGGGCCCGCAACTTGGGTGTCCTCCTGGATTCACGGTTATCTTTAGAAGATCATTTGACGGCCGTGGCCAGGGGTGCCTTTTATCAAGTTCGCCTGATCCGCCAGTTGCGTCCCTTTCTGGATCGGGACACCTTGCGCACGGTCACTCATGCCCTAGTTACCTCCCGTATGGACTACTGTAATGGTCTCTACATGGGGCTCCCCTTGAAAAACACCCGGAGGCTCCAACTGGTCCAGAACGTAGCCGCGCGGGTGATTATGGGCGCAGCTCGTTATGCCCATGTAACACCTCTCCTACGCGAGCTGCACTGGCTCCCGGTGGTCTTCCGGGTGCGATTCAAGGTGTTAGTTATCACCTTTAAAGCGCTCCATGGCTTAGGACCTGGGTACCTACGAGACCGTCTTTTGCCACCAATAGCCTCCCACCGACCAGTTCGTTCTCACAGGGAGGGACTACTCAGGGTACCGTCAGTCAAATTATGTCGACTGGCGACTCCCAGGGGGAGGGCCTTCTCTGTGGGGGCTCCAACCCTTTGGAATGAACTGCCCCCGGAGATACGGAATATCCCTGATCTCCGTGCTTTCCGCCGTGCCCTCAAGACCCTGATGTTCCAACAGGCGGGGCTAAACATACGAACATGCGAATGATTTTTTAAATGTTATCTAATTCTGGGTTTTATTTAATTGACCAAACTAAGTAACAATTTTAATTAGCAATTTTATGATGTTTGTGTGTCTATATTTTTCTTGACTGTACACCGCCTTGAGTCCTACGGGAGAAAGGCGGTATAGAAATATAATAAATAAATAAATAAATAAATAAATAAATAAATAAATAAATAAATAAATAAATAAATAAACAAACAACCAATTAGAACAACGGCATGAAAACAGCCAATCAGAAAACCCAGCAACTCCCTTGATATGCAACACTCCTTCCCGCCAAGCTTGAGCATGCACCGGCATTAAGTGCATGCGTAATCACTCAAATATGCCAGCCCCCGGTGAACCTTTCCAGATCGCCTGGGCTCCACCCCTTCCACCAGTTCGGCCGGTGATTTTGAGCGCTCCCTCTGGGTCTGAGTGCCCTCGTGTTGTCTACTATCCCCACCCCCGACTTCTCTAGGCCAGCTGCTACTGGCCGGTGAAGGTAAGCCCTCTGACTCTTCTCTTCTTGGGGAGGGTGCTCTGGTTGCATTCGGCTTCTCGGGGACCCCCGCGGCCGTGCCGCCGTGCCGGTTGCTTGGATCGTCCCTTCTGCTCTGGTAGTCTGATAGCTGTTTCCGTGCCCTTAACTGGTCCTTATGGCGCTTCCAAATTCTCCCCTGCTCTACCTCTATGTGGTAGGAACATGGCCCCGCTATCCCTACTACTGTTCCCGCCAACCACAATGGCGATCCTCCGTAATTCCTGGCATATACCAGGTCCCCTATGAGGAATGGGCGGTATCTCCTGTGGGAATCCAAAGGTTTGCTATGCCCATATGCAGGGTGTAACCTATCTAAGGTCATGCGGAGCTTGCGGCCCATTAACAGCTCGGTGGACTCCTATTCGTTAATTGGCAAGGCGTGGTATGTTGAGCTATTAGGAAGTCCTCCACCTGGTCACCCCACGACCCCTGCCCTATTTTCTTTAGGGCCTCCTTCGCTGATCTCACTGCGCATTCAGCATATCCGTTGCTAGATGGATGGAACAGCGGTATCAAACAGTGTCGTATCCTCTGGTGCACCAGGAACCCTTCGAACTCGGCAGTTGTAAATTGGGGCCCGTTATCAGAAACAATCATATCTGGCAACCCATGTGTGATAAACATATGGCGTAATGCCTTAATGACGGCATCTGCAGTGGTGGAGCGCAAGGGGACAACCTCCACCCACTTAGAGAATGCATCTGCCACCACCAGGAATGACTGGCCCTGTAACGGGCCAGCAAGGTCTATACATAACCGAGACCAAGGGGCCCCCGGCTTCTCCCACTCCCCAGGCTGGTCTTTGGCTGGCATAGGTATGCCCCCTTGACACTGGGAGCATGTTGAGACCCATTCCATGATGTCTCGATCTAATAGCAGTCACCACATATAACATCGGCCCAACGCCTTCATACGCACCACCCCTGGGTGACCCCAATGTAATTGCTTCAACAATGAGTGTCTGAGGGGAGGCAGAATCACCACCTGGTGGCCCCACAGCAAGCACCCGGCCTGGGTGGACAGTTCGAGCCGCCTTGTAGCATAGGGTTGAAACTCCGGCGCGAACGGTCCCTGTAGCCATTCCCTGGCCATCCAATCGAGTGCCTGAGACAGGATACAATCCTTCGCGGAGAGGTGGATAGTAGACAACACGAGGGCACTCAGACCCAGAGGGAGTGTTCAAAATCACCGGCTGAACTGGTGGAAGGGGTGGAGCCCAGGCAATCCGGAAGGGTTCGCCGACGGCCAGCATATTTGAGTGATTACGCATGTGCTTGATGCCGGCGCATGCTCAAGCTTGGTGGGAAGGAGTGTTGCATATCAAGGGAGTTGCTGGGTTTTCTGATTGGCTGTTCTCATGCCGTTGTTCTAATTGTTTGTTACGTTGACAGTTCGATATAAAAAGGAGCTATCAAGCGCGGGATGTTGATTCTGAGGTAATTGCCTTGTTGGCTGAATAAAGTTAATGTTGTTATGTAGCCGTGTCCATCCTGTCAATAAGCCATCCGGAATGAAATAGTGGCGACGAGGGTGGGATCTCCGCCGGTTTCTGTGACCGGCATACTTGCGCGATGTGGTGCCGGCGCCCACACCGGTGGCAAGTCGCTTCCTTGAAACGGCAAACGGCTCTCAGATGATGACCCCCGCAGCTCCGGCAATCCCCTTGCGCCTGTCTGGCCTGTTTCATGGGGCGTTGCGCTTCTTTGATCCGAACAACCGGTTCTCTGCCCTAATGATTTCTTCCAACAATCAGTTCACCAAACTGCTCAGAAAGTTAACAACCGGTTCTCCCGAAGTGGTGCGAACTGGCTGAACCCCACCACTGCCCGGACTCCAATCGCACAGAGCAATGGCAGAAAGAGCTGACCGGACACCGCAGAAGGAAACTGACTACTGATGTTCTTTTAATAGACTTTGTTTTATTTATGTAAATAAAAACAGGTTAGTTTAAACTCTTCGGAGACTTGTCTGTTTGGTAAATTTTGTAAAGAGATAAGGTTGCGGTCTACCAACCCTCCATAACAAGATGAGATCATGTAACATCTTGCAAGTTCACGGACAGGTTCGCCATTATCTTGAAGCAAAATCCTACAGTCTTGGGGTGAGATTCTGGAGTCCATAAAGTTCTTGAAGCGTGCTGAAAATCCCATGAGTATTTCAGCAGTTGCTGTTTTCACGTTCTTGTTTTAGCACCAAGGCATTGTTCAACAGAGCTCAAGAACCATATCTAATGAAAAACAAAAAAATACAGTAGTTATATTTAGGGTGGGGGAAAAAAAACTAGAAGAAGTTGCTGTTAGCTCTTATAGGATTCACAATGGAGCCCGAACAACAGACAACATGGTCCTTGTGAGATCTATCGTAACTGTTCATGGAGACATATCTAGGTTTTGCAAACCAAACCCTGCACACACACACACACCCATCACACTCAATGCTTTTCACACCTTTTGATCTGGACTACTTCCCAGCTAGTTGGTTTGCAAGTAAAGACGTGGAAGAAAAGTCACTCACTTTTCTCAGCACAGAATTGCTTTCATAAGGTCACCAAATGATAGCAATAAAAGGAGACTTAGGGTTGATAGCAATAAAAGCAGCTTAGGGTTGAACTGTGCTCTTTGGAACAATCAAAATATTTTGATGAATGCCACAACTTTGCGCTGCACAAAGGCAGCTCCCTCCCTCACTGAACTAAGAGTAAGAATTTATAAAAGTTGTCAGCTAATTCATTTGTTAATGGTGGAGATCATCTTTAGTTAGAATGGAGTAGGAATAACAGGAATAGGAATAGAATAGAGTTGGAAGGGGTCTTGGAGCTCCTCTAGTCCAACCCCCTGCTTAGGCAGGAAACCCTGCACCGCTTCAGACAAATGGTTATCCAACATCTTCTTAAAAGCATTCACAACTTCTGGAGGCAAGTAGTTCCACTGATAAATTGTTCTAACGGTCAGGAAAGTTCTCCTTAGTTCTAGCTTGCTTCTCTCCTTGATTAGTTTCCATCCATTGCTTCATGTCCTGCCCTCAGGTACTTTGGAGAATAGTTTGACTCCCTCTTCTTTGTGGCAGCCCCTGAGATATTAGAAGGCTGCTATCATGTCTCTCCTAGTCCTTCTTTTCATTAAACTAGACACACCCAGTTCCTGCAACCGTTCTTCATACGTTTTAGCCTCCAGTTCCCTAATCCTCTTTGTTGCTCTTCTCTGCACTCTTTCTAGAGTCTCCACATCCTTTTTACATCGTGGTAACCAAAACTGGATGCGGTATTCCAAGTGGGGCCTTACCAAAGCATTATAAAGTGGTATTAACACTTCACGTGATTTTGCTTCTATCCCTCTGTTTATGCAGCTTAGACTCGTGTTGACTTGTTTGGCAGCTGCAGCACACAGCTGGCTCACTAGGACAACGGATGCATTAAGTTGCTTATTCGTTTGGTGTAATTGCAGTAATGCGGATGTTTTGATAAATCTCCTGGTAATGAATTGTGCTTTAAAAGTGGCCCGTGGGATTTTTACTTCTCTCTTAAAGGCGGAGGAGACAGGGACCCAAGGGGATTCGTTGCTAGGCAAAGAAAGAAATCAGTTTATTATGATCCAGCTCAGAATGGGTTTTTTTATTGTGTACATGCAGACAGATTTCCTGCTTTGGCAACTACAGGTAGTCCTCAATTTACAACCACTTGTTTAGTGACTGTTCAAAGTTACAACAGGAATGAAAAAAGTGACCGATGACCCTTTCCCACACTTAATGACCGTTGCAACATCCCCATGGTCACGTGATCAAAATTGGTAACTGGCATGTATTTCTGGCAGTTGCCGTGTTCCCAGGGTCATGTGATCCCTGTTTGCAACCTCCGGACAAGCAAAGTCCATGGGGAAGCCAGATTCGCTTAACAACCGGGTATCTCATTTAACAGCTGCAGTGATTCACGTATCCACGGTGGCAAGCAAAGTCATCCAACGGGGCAAAACTCAATGACTATCTTACTTAGCAAGAGGAATTTTGGGCTCTGTTGGGGTCGTAAGTTGAAGAATCCATTGTGGTCGTAAGTTGAGGAATCTATTGTGGTCGTAAGTTGAAGAATCCCTTGTGGTCGTAAGTTGAAGAATCCATTGTGATCGTAAGTTGAGGACTGCATTGAAAGAGTTCTACCTGTGATTGAAGAGAAGGTGGATAAACAATAAAAGTAGCTAGGGATGATGATGAAGAAGAAGATGAAGATGGTGATGATGATGATGATGATGATGATGATGATGATGATGATGATGATATGTTTAACTTGTAGACTGCTACTCAATGATTGTGGGCAGGTACCATTCTGTGACTGTTTCTCTAGCTTTAATTGGGGTTGGTAACACCTGAACCTAGGAGATTTGCACACAGAGCAAATATTGTGCCACTGAGTAAGTGCCTCTTTTGTTTCAGTCTTTTCCACCCTGAGTGTAGTGAGGCCTCTCCCTTGTTATATACATATAGCACTTTACACCACAATACCGTTTGTTTACTTTTCATTTCATTTCTTCTTTTTTTTTTAATGATCCAAGTGTTGCGGTTGGTAACCACGGCTTATTCTTTAGCTAAGTTATTCACACCAAATAACTGTTGCTTGCATTTGTCTTTGCGTCACTTCCTCTTTGTCCCCAATTCTCTGTTTGTCTTTTTCTGGCAACTTTTACAAGGGCGTATGGAAAGTAGGGAGGTCTCAGATTCTACAGCTCAGTTAGAAAATCTGCAAGCCTGTAGGAGGAAGCCTGAAATGTCCAAAGGTCACCCAGATATTTATTAAATCCAGGCGTTGCACCATCGTATCAGTTATCTCTTCCTCTTCGTTGCACCGTGAGCATTATATAAGATCAGGTGTTTGAAAACACTTGGAACTGCGAGAGAGAGGCGAGTAAAGGTATAGATAGAGAAGGCAGCCACCACAGTTATTTATCTGGGGTTGTTCTAGATTATCCGGCTGGCAAGGAAATATGGAAAGGCTGAATCCACGCAGTGTCCTGGTGACAGGATCTAATCGGGGCATCGGTCTGGAGATGATCAAACAACTGGCTGAGAAAAGCAACCCACCACAATGGATCTTTGCAACCTGCCGGGATCCAGAGGGACCACGTACTCAGGTATGTCATAGGGTGAGGTCTGTTACGAAAGGGAAGTTGACTCACAGTCTTTAAAGATTGTTTAACATTGAAATCAGGGCCAACAACAGATAGGAAGCCAAATACTGGCATAACTCTTGGGAGTCACATTTTCACATGTGTGTTTTATTGCCTTGAATCAGAAGTATTGATCTAGCCAATTAGTTTTCCAAGATTAAGCTTACCTTTTGGATGCCCCGAGGGGTGCTGAGAAATTGGAAATGAATATCAGATATTAGATTTTATCTTTTGTATTGACAATGTAAGAAATGTGAAGGCTCTTTGATTCATAGGATTTGATCATGTTCTCTTAAAAACCTTGGGGATTAATTATTTAATAATTAATTGTTAGATTTAATAATATTAATAGTTTAATAGATAATATAACTCTGGGGGAAAACACAGTTGTCCAATATTGACTGTACCCCACTGGTTATGACCATGATAAAGTTTTGGTGATAGCTACTGAAGATGTAAATGTGATGATAAACTACAGTAAAAAGAAGGGGAGGGGATTTTTCATTTGATGACAAACTGCTCCATTGAAGACCCTGGGATACTAAGAAAATCATTCTTCCTTAATGAAAACAAAATCCACATATCAAAGAAAAGATTTAAGAGCTGTGTTCTCTGTTGATTTTTAAACTATTTTTATATGGTAGAAATAAGATGGATAAGAAATATCTATGGGGTGCAAACTCAGGATTTTACTAAAACGTTAAATGCTTGAGCTAGTGATATATTAATAGTATATGGATCTTTCTCTCTTAAAAACAATTAGGATTTTTCTCCCCACAATTATATATGCTTTTTAAAATGCATCTTCACTTTATTTTGCTTTTAATTTCTCTCCTGCTTCATCTTCCATCCGTCCCCCATCGCCAAACTATTTTTGGACCCGGGATTTACCTGTCTTTCAGAAGGCCACTATGGAGTAATGTCTTATTCAAGCTAGAAGAGAAAAGGGGGAAAAGTCTTCCCAAAAGACTAGTAAACCCAGTGCTCTAGGGCAGTGGTCACCAACTGGTGGTCCGTGGACCACGGGTGGTCCATGAGAAAATTTTGGTGGTCCGCAGAAAATGTATTTGCATTTTTTAAATTGCACTAAATACTATTTATCTTTTTTAAAAAATTCTTATTACTGGTCCGCGGGATTTAAAATTATGAATTTAGTGGTCCCTGAGATCCGAAAGGTTGGTGACCCCTGCTCTTGGACACCTTCAAAAGAGTGAACTTAGCACGTACTTCAGAAGTGTCAGTTGGGCATAATGTGGCAGTTTTCCCCTGTTGAAGCCAAGAATTTGATTTGTCCTGCAATCCAAAACAAAATGGGGATACACACACTGTATCATTAAGGGTACAGGAGGAACCAGACAAATCCTTGCTCAGGGCTGTGTCATCTTCATCATCCTTGTTAACGAGGTCCACGGGATTTAATGTTAGTGTTCTGGGAAAAACTGTTCTTCTGCCTAGTTGTTCTGGTGTGCAGTGCTCTATAGCATCGTTTTGAGGGTAGGAGTTGAAACAGTTTATGTCCAGGATGCGAGGAGTCTGTAGATATTTTCACAGCCCCCTTTTTGACTCGTGCAGTATACAGGTCCTCAATGGAAGGCAGGTTGGTAGCCATTGTTTTTGTCAGATGTAAATGCCTTATTCCCTAATGTGTAAATAATGTATATATGGGATATCAGGGGTTAACTTATTCTTTGTTTCTTAATGTATTCATAATTCACCACTCCCACTCTTGGCTCCACCCTTTGTATATATAAGGAGCCACCTTCGCCATTTTCCTTGCTTCTATCTGTGAATATTCAGTGAATATAGAATGCCTACTATAATTAAAGAGAAATATATTTGAACCTCTAACTCTCATTATTATTATTGAGTCTGATCCTAAAAATATTGCAACAGTTTTTTCTGCAGTTCTAATTATCCTCTGAAGTCTGTGTCTGTCTTGTTGGGTTGCAGAACCAAACCAGACGGTTATAGAGTTGCAGATGACAGATATATATGATATATCTGTCATCAGATTTATCTATCTATATATATATAAATTGACATAATCTAGTGAGGAGATATCTGAATGCTGAGGTTAGTGGGTTGTGAGAATCAGCCCATCAGCTGGGGTCTTTCCTAAATCTCTAGTTTTTGTATCTTTCAGGATTTGAGGACTTTGGCCGCTCAGCACCAGGAAATTGTGATCATCCCACTGAGTAAGTAAGTGGTCCTGACCATATGCTAGGAAAGACTCTAGTACCCTATCACTATCCATGCAAACTTCCTTTCTACCAGGGGTGAAATCCAGCAGGTTCTGACAGGTTCTGGAGAACCGGTAGCAGAAATTTTGACTAGTTCAGAGAACCGGCAAATACCACCTCTGGCTGGCCCCAGAGTGGGGAAGGAATGGGGATTTTGCAGTATCCTTCCCCTGGAGAGGGGTGGGAATGGAGATTTTGCTGTATCCTCTCCGTGCCACGCCCACCAAGCCACACCATGCCCACCAAGCCACGCCCACAGAACTGGTAATAAAAAAAAAATTGGATTTCATCACTGGGCAAAACTCACTTAAGAAATGTCAGCAGCAGAAAGTTTCGGCTGTAAATCGAGGCCTACCTAGACCTTCTCCTTGTTCCTGTAGACATTACCGATCCATCCAGTATCAAGTCGGCTGTAACGATGGTCACGGAGAGGCTGAATGGAACTGGGTTGAATCTGCTCATCAACAACGCAGGAATTGCATCCCATGATTCCAAAGTCGAATCTCAAGCACCTGAAGCCATGGCCGAGGTCTACAAAACCAACGTCATTGGGCCCATGATGATTAGCCAGGTAGTGGAAGCACCTCTTCCTCTTCCTCTCCCTCTCTTCGGACCATTTCTTCACTACTGCCAATGTTCAGAAGCAGAACATCATTGATTGACAGGGCTTTCTGGGTGGAGGGGGGGGGAGGCAGAATAACAGCGTGCCTTTTCCATCCAAAGAAGGTACAGGACCAAATATTAAGAGGAAGAGATGCAGCTTTTGAGCGTGGGGAGTCGCCCCTATTGAAACTGTCAAATGGAAAAAAAAAGACTTTTGTGAGTAATTGCTGGATTCTGGTTTGTTTTTAGACCATAGACTTTGCAATGGGAAAGGACAGAGATTTCCCAGGGTGAATCCATAGCTCTGCAAGTATAGTAATAGCAATAGTACTGACTGTGATCATGATTTAGCATTTACAGCTTTTATGTACAGTGAGAGTTTATGTACCAGGGACAAATTCCTTGTATGTCCAATCACACTTGGCCAATCAAGAATTCTATTCTATTCTATTCTATTCTATTCTATTCTATTCTATTCTATTCTATTCTATTCTATTCATTCGTTCTGCTCTGCTTTGCTCTGCTCTGCTTTATTCTACTCTACTCTACTCTACTCTACTCTACTCTACTCTACTCTACTCTACTCTACTCTACTCTATTCTATTCTATTCTATTCTATTCTATTCTATTCTATTCTATTCTTAGACGTATACACTGCTTCACAGTGCTTTGTAGCTCTCTCTAAGTGGTTTACAGAGTCAGCCTATTGCCCCCCAACAATCTGGGTCCTCATTTTACCGACCTCGGAAGGATGGAAGGCTGACTCCCCCTTGACATTGCAAAATGACAATCCCTAATGGTGATCGTGTCAGGCCTGGAAGCTATCTTTTTCACTGGATATTCAGGCCTACCACATTTACTACTGTGGGACACTGGGAGGGTGGATTGTAGGGAGCCAGAGTGATGATATATAGTCAAAATAACATTCCTTTCTCAGAGAGTCAAGGCCATCTTGCCCTGCACCTGGACAGCTGGAGGTGGGAGGCATCTCTAGTTGGGATGGTGCTTTGATTGGACCATGTGATGGACATTTGGGTGGTGGAAAGGGACTTGGACTTTCCTTTGGGTGGGGAAAACCTGGAAGCTTTCAGATTCGGCTTTTCCCAGATGTGCCAATATGACCTCTCTAATAAAATGGAACTTTGAGGAAACTCAAGCCTCGGAGTTTTCATTGGGGGTGTTACTTGGAACCCTGACATTAACCCGAATCTGAAAGCTGGGAATGGATAGTTAGCAACAATTTGGGGTCACTGCCTTCCAAGCCTATGAATAAGATGGTTGCCTTAAATTCTGCCTGTCTTTTCTAGGCATTCCTGCCTTTGCTGAGGAAGGCATCTCGAGACAGTCCCAAGAAAGGGATGAGCTGCAGCAAAGCCTCCATTGTCAATATGTCCAGTTATGCCGGTTCCATCACGGAAGTTTACCTGTGGAATTACGGACAAGTTGTTCCTTACCGTTGCAGCAAGGTAGTAAATATACATTGGACCAAAGCGTGGAGGGTAATTAAAATAACTCTGTACTGACCGCCGTTGAGACAGCAAGTCCAATGGTGGGTTGCTCCCGGTTCGGCCCGGTTCGGCCGAGCCGGTAGCGGTGACACTGTTACGTCACCAAACCGGTTCTCTTTCTTCAGGAGCTGGGCCCTCCCGCCTGCCCCCGACCTTATATTTCTTCTTTTTTCGCCCAGCTGAGAGGTGCCGCACCTCAGCTGGGCAAATTCGCAACGTGCTTGCGCAAAGAGGCGATCACGTGCGAAGTGCATGCACAAAGAGAACCGGTAGTAAAGCCGGTTAGAACCCACCCCTGAGCAAGTCAGTTGTTTACTGAAGCCGTTGCCAAGTAAAACCCTGACCGTGTCTGTGATTTTACTTCAGCTCTCCTCAGCTTTACAGACCACAAGAGTCATCAATGCAAGGACTGGTTATAAAATTACTTTTCATTCAGTGACATAACAGAACGGTCCCTACATGAGGCTTACCGGTACTTTAGGATACTGATCCTTTTTTAGAAAATGTTTACGGAGTAAATGATGCATTAGGGATTATTATGTTAATGCAATACCTGCCACTTTCCTATCTCATGTTCCAGTGGTGGATTTCCAATATACTTACCACTGGTTTGCTGTGTGTGCGCAAGCTTGCTTCGCGCACTCGGCCTCCCCGCATGCCCCCCGCCTCGAAAACGTCCCTAAATAGGACAGCATAGTGGCGGCCGCAGTCTCTGCTACCGGTTTGCCTGCGATCTCCGCTACCAGTTCACTTGAACTGGTACAAACCGGCTGAATACCACCTCTGTCATGTTCCCTATATTTGTGAAATCTCTCCTCTCCCCTCCCCTCCCCTCCCCTCCCCTCTCCTCTCCCCTCCTTGTTTTTTTTCTTCCTTTCCTTTCCTTTCCTTTCCTTTCCTTTCCTTTCCTTTCCTTTCCTTCCCTTCCCTTCCCTTCCCCTGCCCTGCCCCCTGCCCTGCCCTGCCCTATCTTTCCTTTCCCTTCCCTATCTTCCCTTCCCTTCCCTTCCTCCCCTTCCCCTTCCCTTCTTCCTTTCCTTTCCTTTCCTTCCCCTTCCTTCCCTATCTTTCCTTTCCCTTTCCTATCTTCCCTTCCTTCCCTTCTTCCTTTCTCCCCTCCTCGCCCCTCCCCTCCCCTTTCCTCCCCCCTCCCCTCCCCTCCCCTCCCTTGTTTCTTTTTTCCTTTCCTTTCCTTTCCTTTCCTTTCCTTCCTTTCCTGCCCTGTCTGCCCTCCCTGCCCTGCCCTGCCCTGCCCTGCCCTGCCCTGCCCTGCCCTTCCCTTTCCTTTCCTTTCCCTTCCCTATCTTCCTTTCCTTCCCTTCCCTTCCTTTCCTTTCCTTCCCCTCCCCCTTCCCTTCTCTTCCCTCCCTTCCTTTCCTTTCCTTCCCTTCCCTATCTTTCCTTTCCCTTCCCTATCTTCTCTTCCCTCCCTTCCTTTCCTTTCCTTCCCTTGCTTCCCTTCCCTTCCTTTCCCCTTCCCTTCCCTTCCCTCCCTTCCCTTCCCTTTCCCCCTTCCCTTCCTTTCCTTTCCTTTCCTTCCCTTCCCTTCCCTTCCCCTGCCCTGCCCTGCCCTGCCCTTCCTTCCCTTCCCTTCCCCTTCCCTTCCCTTCCCTTCCCTTCCCTTCCCTTCCCTTCCCTTCCCTTCCTTTCCTTTCCTTTCCTTTCCTTTCCTTCCCCTTCCCCTTCCCCTTCCCCTTCTCCTTACCTGGCCTTCCCTTCCCTTCCCTGCCCTGCCCTGCCCTGCCCTGCCCTGCCGTGCCGTGCCCTGCCCTTTTCTTCCTTCCCTTCCCTTTTTTCCTTCCCCTTCCCCTTACCTGGCCTCCCCTTCCCTTCCCTTCCCTTCCCTCCCCTTCCCTTCCCTTCCCTTCTCTTCCCTTCCCTTCCCCTGCCCTGCCCTGCCCTGCCCTAACCTCTATCCAAAAACAAACCCCAATCTGGCATGGAGTAAAATACAAAGATTTTTCTGGCATTCAAATGATAATATATATACATTTTCTCTTGCTCACGGAGCCTGCTTGATGCAATTCCCTTCTCCCGGCATGTCTCTGTTCTAGGCTGCTCTGAATATGCTGACACGGTGCCAGTCGTTATCATTTAGGGACGATGAGATTCTGTGCGTCACATTGCATCCAGGATGGGTGCTCACAGACATGGGAGGCAATATGGTAGGGTTTTTTTTTTCCTTCTGGAAACACATTCATACCTTGGGAGGGGGATATTTGGGGCTTCTGACCAACCAAGACCCAGAGCATATAATATAAATTAGCCCAAATCCAAAACAGAATTATCGTAAACCTGTTTAATTCATTTGTAAGTTTTCATTTGGGTGAAACTGTATCTGGATCGCCTGAAAAATGTAGGAGAAGTGAAGGAAAGTTATAGTTTGCCTCCAGCAACGAACAATTTGGTGGTAATTTGCTTTGCGCATTGGACACTGTTTTTGTGGGGGACGGCTGCCGAAGACCAATTGCCCATAGATCTGAATTTAATTTCCCTTCATGCTTCATATCACACCCTAGTCTTCTGCAGGTGTTCAGAATGGCACAAAGCTGAACGTTTGAAGTTCTAGAGCAGGGGTCTTCAAACTTGGCAGCTTTAAGACTTGTGGACTTCAACTCCCAGAATTCTCCAACCAGAATTCAGTGGGCACGTGAGCCGTCGCCCCAGCTCAGCTCTGCCATGCATGCGCCTCCTGCCAGCCAGCTGGTCTTCAGGTCTCTGCTGCATATGCGCAGGGGGATGTGGGGCTGTGTGTGCATGCAGGGGGACACATGCGAGGGGCACACATGCATGCATTTGCAGCACGCTTTGGCCACTCGGTCCGGAAAAGGTTAGCCATCCCTGCACTAGAATATAAACTGACAGCAAATCCCATTCCTTTCTAGCACTGATGATATTACCTAGTTAGGGTAATGAAACGCCTTCAGAGAGCACCAGGAAATGCTTGGTTGTGGATAATGAGAAATGTTTTTAAAGATTGTTATCAAGGCCACCCGTCTCATTTTGTTTTTATTCCGTGTAAATATTATTCTCATTTCTCCAGGCTCAAATGACAGCGAGTTCAAGTGTAGCAGCCATCCTAAACCTTCTGGCTGATCTTTCTGAGAAGGAAACGGGCACTTTTCTGAATTGGGAAGGGAAAGTCCTTCCGTGGTGAACAACTTGTTTGAGGAACTGGGCGAACTTGGGCCAATGTGAATATTTATCTTGTGTTATTGGTTGATTAAATTGACTTTTGTCCCCAAATTGTTCCTCCTGGTTCCTCTTCTTTTTAGCCACGAGACTGTAAACATCTCATTTCTTTTAATAATTTCAATTGGAATGGCACAAGGCCATTGAGTCTTTCAGGAATTAATCCAGATTGCAAAAAAAAAAAAAGAAATAAAAAATAAAAAAAGGCACAAACCACCTTGGTGAAATAGGCCAGGATACTGAGGGGAAGAAGGTTTCTGAAGCAGATGTAGATACTCGGTTGCAGATACAACTGTTAATAACCAGGGGTGAAATTCAGCCGGATCTATCTGGATTGTGTGATCCGGTAGCGTCAGTGACGGGAGGCTCCACCCACCTGCCCAGATGTCATTACCAGTGGTGGGTTGCCCCTGGTTCAGGCCGGTTTGCAAGAACCGGTAGTAAAACCGGTGGAAGGCTCCACCCACCGACCCTGACAGGGGCTTCTGCACATGCGGCCCCATTGTGAACCAGTAGTAAAGATAAGTAGAACCCACCCCTGGTCTGAATTTTGATCATGTGACCATGGAGATGATGCAGAGGCGAAAAATGGTCATAACCCGCTTTGTCAGTGCCATCGCAACTTTGAATGGTCGCTAATCAAATTGTTGTAAATCAAGGCCTACCTGTAATCCATTCTTTTCTATGAAATGTACTTGTGATTATTGTTCATCTTTTGGGCAGGGTAAAGACTTTAGAAGCTTCAGAAAGCATAAAGCATAATCTTAGTCCTGCAAAACCTCTTTTATTTATACAACTGTAAAATTGAAAAACTGTAAAAAATGAAAATTACTTTCATTTACAGTCCATAAGGCTTGATAAACAGTTTTTTAGGGGAAGGTTATCAATACTCATCCATCTCACGTGGAACACTGCCAGAGAGCTAATTTCCAGACTCAGGGCAAGGCCAAACTTGGCACAGAGTCACAAACAGAACTTTCAAATCTTGAATCGGCCAGATGAACTAATTGCTTCCTGCAAAAGCTCATGTTCCGTTCACTCTTCTTTTATGTCTTATGGGAGGGGCCAATCATCTCCAAGCCTTACTTCCAAGTCGACCCTGTTTTCTTAATTGTTCTTGTCCTCTGGCAGCTCTGTGCATGCACACACTGGGAACAGGCTCCCGCTGTTCTTCTGCCTCACCGCTGTCAGACTCTGGAGGCTGCACATAACTATCAGTTGGCCTTGGCCCCCTCTCTGCCTCTGATGCAGAGCCCTCATCCGAGCTTTACCCAGCTCCCAGGACTGGCCCAAGTTCCCCCGCAACCTCCTCACTGTCCGACTCTGCGGGCCACAACACAGGTGCAGTGGTCTGAGTGTTCTTTGAAAGGAGTGGGGGAAGGCTTTATTTACAGTTGTGTAATGTGTTCTTTCACACAAATATTTCCTTTACAAATTCTAGCTTGGGCAAGAAAAGTTTCATGTTTCAAAAAGCCCTTTCAGTGAGAAGAGAAAATAAACAATCACTTATACATCCTGAATATACAAAACTGGCAGCTGTCCTAAGAAAGGGAAGATAACATAATGCCATGTGACTGAAGGATATTAATGGAAAGTGCATGGAGATTTGTTTAATCAAAAGGACACCAGCTAAGAAAAAAATGAAACACTTAGAAAAACAACATCTGGAAAATATACCAGAGAGATGACTGACTATCTTTTGTTTGAACCAGATGTCAGAGTACTAAATCTGGGCTAAATCATTTTGGGCAATAGCCTTAGAATGTGTTTCCTGTCTTTAATGTTAGTTATGAACCAATTATGGGTTTTTTTCTGCCCTGCTTGCGAGAAGTTGAAGTTACATGCCCTTGTCACCTCTCGTCTGGATTATTGTAACGCTCTCTACATGGGGCTCCCCTTGAGGTGCACTCGGAGGCTCCAACTGGCGCAGAGTGCGGCCGCGTGGGTGGTTATGGGAGCGACGTGGAGTTCCCATGTAACACATCTCCTGTGCGAGCTGCACTGGCTCCCAGTGGTCTTCTGAGTGCGCTTCAAGGTTCTGGTTATCACCTTTAAAGCGCTCCATGGCTTAGGACCTGGTTATCTACGGGACCGCCTGCTACCACCAATAGCCTCCCATCGGCCAGTACGCTCCCATAGAGAGGGGCTCCTCCAGGTGCCGTCAGCCAAACAATGTCGACTGGCGGCCCCTAGGGGGACAGCCTTCTCTGTGGGGGCTCCTACGATCTGGAACGAGCTCCCCCCGTAGATACGGAGGATCCCGGATCTGCGCACCTTCCGTCGCGCGCTTAAGACTTTTTTATTTCATCAAGCTGGCCTGGCCTAAATCTTCTCCCCTTTTTAAATGTAAATTTTAATTTGTTTTTAAATTGTGGGGTATTTTAAATTTGTTCAGCCAAATTGTTTAATTCGTTTTTAACTTATTTTAAATTTTTGTATTTATGTGTTTTATCTTGTGGCTGTTCACTGCCCTGAGTCCTTCGGGAGAAGGGCGGTATAGAAATTTAATAAAATAAAAATAAATTACATAATAACACAAATAAAATATAAACTGTCACATTTTGGGTATTACTGCCGAAAAACCCTGAGATGGGTATACCCTACTCATTGTGTTTAGGCCGCTGGGCACATTTTGGAAATTTATGAGCATGTTATAAATTAGGGCTGATCATATCTGGGCTGCAAAAATCTAGACAACCACCAATTGGCAGCAAAGAGATTCCGAACAATTACCTCTGCTGCCATCTAGTGCTCATATAGCCCTTTATAGACCAGGTAGGATCAACTTACATAAGTCTCTTGCAAAATAAACGGTATAGATAGCTTTCTTCCTCACAAAATGTTTCGCCTTTTTGGCAAGATTAGTTCAAAACTGCTACTCACGTGAAGCAAGGAGCTTGGAGGAAGAGTCCATAAGCACATCCATGTTCAAAACTGCCAAGATCTAAGCTTACATGCCAAGTTCTTGTCATCTGAGTAGACTTACAGCAACTTCTTTAATCAGATTTATTAACGGAGGAACAAGAGATAAGGTTACATAAACCTCAGCAAGATATTACCTTTAAGAGCCAATTTAACTCTGAGTTTACAAGGCTGGAGCTTCCTTTATTCTTCTGGGTGCAGTCATTTGAAGAGATGGTCACCTGTGGTGCCAAGAAAGCAGATAAACTACCTTGGCAGCTTGAGCTCTTAGTCTTGCTGGCTGGGGAATTCTGGGAGTTGAAGTCCACAAGTCTTAAAGTTGCCAAGGTTGGAGACCCCTGCTTTAGAAGATCTATACATACTGTCTCCTTACTCAATGTGACTCCCCCCCACCAGAAGAAATAAGTTTATGGCAGTGGTGAAATCCACTGTATTTTTTTATAGTCAAAATGTATTTTTAATTCTGTGCACTTAGAGTTGACAATGTATAAATATTGTAAAGAAAGAAAGAACTGAATAGGTTTAATAATGAGAAGTCAAAGTCAATTGTGGGCAATCCAAAGTATTCCCCCCCCCAAAAAAACCTTCTGTCCTTAAGAAGTTGGAGTTTCAAGAGGTTGTGTTAGTTTAGCAACTAGTGGGAAGCAGCAATTCCCAGAACGAATCTTTGCCAAATAGATTGTATAACATATTGTGAAAGCATCTCATAATACATCCACTCTATTCCCCCCACTTCCTGTTTTACTTTTTGTAGTATTTTTGTGCCTTGATTATCTTTGCCCGATGGAAAGACAAAGTAAAAAAAAAAAATCAAACAATGAATAATAAATGCAACATTTTACACTTTGTGAAATATTGTAAAAATGTCCTGATCTACTTGGTTGTTTGATACCAAAGCTCAGTGCTAAATTCTTCTTCTAAATTCCAATGTGATACCATGCCACCAATTTCAGGGTGAAATCATGCTACCGAATGTTATTGTAAATGGTCCCTGGATGTCCTAATCAATCCACATCTGACTTTAGCTGTTCCACAAGGATCCAACAGAGAGATAGAAAAGACCAGCAATTAGGAGCAAGAATAATTAATCAGTGGAAAGTCTTCCTCTAGAACTTATGGGTGCTCCATCACTGGAGGTTTTAAGAAGAGATTGCACAGCCATTTGTCTGAAATAGTACTATAGGTCTTTTGCTTGCATAAGGGATTGGAGTAGAAGACTTCCAATGTCTGTTCTGTTATTCCTTCCTTCCTTCCTTCCTTCCTTCCTTCCTTCCTTCCTTCCTTCCTTCCTTCCTTCCTTCCTCTTCTTCCTTCCTCTTCCTTCCTTCCTTCCTCTCCCCCTTCCTCCCTTCTTGCCTTCAGAAGTTATGGCTGCTCCAATCACTGGAGATTTTAAGAAGAGATTGCACAGCCATTTGTCTGAAATGGTATAGGTGTCAGGTTTCGATGTCATCTCAAATAAATTGCACTCCCAAACAATTAATCTTTGCTGAAATATTCCATTTATTGAGTACGACGGATCTGGTCCCAACTTCGTCGTAGCCGATACTAACCCTCTGACCCCCAAACCCTTCCCTTTCCGTTCCCCAATTCTCATCTCCTCATTGGCCATCTTCCAAGTCAGTCTCCCCAGCTTCTGACCTCATCCCACAGGAATGTCCCCCCCCATCCCATCTCCTAGGGGATATTATCTACAGAGAAAATAAGTAGGTGAAAAGTCAAGCCTCGTCTCCTCCTTTTTATGGCAGCATCAGAATGCTGACAATAGGATCTTTTGCTTGCATAGGGGGTTGGACTAGATTCTAGAAGACCTCCAAGGTCCTTTCTAACTCTGTGATTCTATTATCCTGATACTCCACAAAGTTAGCTGAGCAGCCAACAACTGATGATTTGAAGCAGTTGCATTGATTTTTCAGGTAAGGAGGCAGACAAACAGTCAGATCAATAGACACGCAACATTAAGAAACCAAACACCCTATTTATTGTGAATCAAGAAGCATTTTATTATTTCATTAAACCTGAACCCGAGAATGCAGCCTGTTATGGAGAAAGCAAGATCAATATTACTTTCATCAATGGTTTCATTCTGTGAGGTTTTCAAACAAGATCTGATTTGTTCTTTGTTTGTTTGTTTTTTTTTAAAAAAAATAGATTTACCAACTTGTTTATAAGCTGTTTTTCAAGACGGGAAGCAAAGGAAACATCCTTTAGATGAGTAAACAGTCACCATTGAAAATGCAAGAAATGTACCCCCTCACAATCTTAAGGCAGTAAAACATGACCTGAGCCTTTGGGTGATGGCCAATCATCTTTTTTTCCCCCACTGTTTTCCAAAGAACTGGACAAAGGAGCCAAGTAACTTACATAACCCAGAGTGGAAGGATTGGAGGCCAGCTAGGATTGGATGAGATTTAACTGGATTGAGCACAATACGGTTTGTTAGTCGGGTCTAAGCTGACAAGAGAGATGGAACAACTGAATCCACACAGCATTCTGGTGACCGGTTCCAATCGGGGACTTGGCTTGGAGTTAGTCAGGCAGCTGGTGGAGAAGAGCAACCCCCCAAAATGGATCTTTGCCACTTGCCGGGACCCAGTGGGACCCCGTGCTCAGGTGAGATCTGGGATGCGTTCAGTTTTAGTGGGAAGAATTAGGTTTTTTTTTTCCTTTAAGGGTAAGTCGCTTGTCTCCTAGATGGTCGTGCTGGGAACATGATAGGATTAGGCATGATGGAGATAAAGAAATTATATCAATCAGAATAGAGCTGGAAGGACCTTGGAGGTCTTCTAGTCCAAGATCCTGACCTATACCATTTCAGGTAGTTGTTTGTTCAGTCTTTTCTTAAAAACCTCCAGTGATGAAGGCAAGCTGTTCCACCGGTTAATTGTTCTCACGGTTAGGAAGTTCTAGGTTGCTTCTCTCCTTGATTAGTTTCCATCCATCGTTTCTTCTCTTGCCTTCTGCTGCTTTGGAAAATAAGTTGACCCTCTCTTCTTTGTGGCAGCTCCTCAGATAATGGAATGCTGTTATCATATCCCCCCTAGCAGGGGTGAAATCCAGAAGGTTCTGACAGGTTCTGGAGAACTGGTAGCGGACATTTTGAGCAGTTTGGAGAACTGGCAAATACCACCTTTGGCTGGCCCAAGAGTGGGGTGGGAATGGAGATTTTGCAATATCCTTCCTCCAAGAGTGGGAGGGAATGGGGATTTTGCAGTATCCTTCCCCTGCCACACCCACCAAGCCAGACCCACCAAGCCACGCCCATAGAACCGGTAGTAAAAAAAATTGGATTTCACCACTGCCCCCTAGTCTTTCTTTTCTCTAGACTAGCCAAACCCAATTTCTGCAACTGTTCTTTATATGTTTTAGTCCCCAAGCCCTTAATCATCTTAGTTGCTCTTCTTTGCACTTTTTCCAAAGTCTCAGCATCTATTTTGAATCTCTCCCTCCTGCTCGATTAGCCAAAATGTTCCCAGGACTCTCCCCAAATTGTTGGAAGTGTGGGGAGATAGGTGCTTACTATCATGTATGGTGGACCTGCCCTAAGGTAATCGAATTTTGGAGATTTATTCAGAGGTGGATATTAGAAATCACGGGATATAAATTACAATTGAAACCAGAATATTATCTATTACATATTAGGCCAGATAAGATAGGCACGAATATATGGTGTCTGATTACATATATCACAACCGCAGCAAGAATATGTTTTGCTCAACATTGGAAGGGGAAAGACCTACCGACTGAAGATCTGATTTTGGGAAAAATTATCGAATATGCGGAAGCTGACAGGTTAACAAAAATTTTGAGAGATCAAAAGGATTCCGTATATTTTCAATGTTGAGACCAATGCTATATCTGGTTGAATAATAGAATAAAAAAAGGTTAGTGTAGTTTTTATTTTTTATTTGTATATCTTGACTGAAGTTAATATACTGTGTAAAGCTCCCGTCGCGATCTGTGTTTAAAATAAAAGCCTTGATAGTACAGTGGTTTAGTGCACCCTGTTATTAACACAGCTGCCTGCAATTTCTGCTGGTTCAAATCTCTCCAAGGCTCAAGGTTGACTCAGCCTTCCATCCTTTCTAAGGTAGGTAAAATGAGGACCCAGATTGTGGGGGCAATAAGCTGACTTTGTATAAATATACAAAAGAATGAAGGCTATTGCTTAACACATTGTAAGCCGCCCTGAGTCTCCGGAGAAGGGCGGCATATAAATCAAATTTAAAAAAAAAATTTTTTTTTAAAAAGGGAAAGCGCCCTTCTAGCACCCGCCGCCCTGGCAAAGGCGAAGCTGAAGCAGGCAGGGGCCACGTGGGGCTCCTCCGATGGCCTCCCCACCCCTGCCCTGCTCGGCAGTGGCCCATACACAAGGTGTGAGTATAGGTTGAGTTTGGCATTTCACCTTCCTGCCTTTTGTGAACTTTTGGCTGCATGCAACGAAAGCAGCAGAAGCAGTAGAAGTCTTTCTTTCTCTCCCCTAAACTCTGCCAGAAATGAGTTTTTGTGAGACTCATCGTGCTGGCACCGCCTTTTGGAGCAGGACTCTGCAGGGGTTGTTGTGCTATTGCGTGCACGAATGGCAGCACCGCTGCAAGATTCGACATACCAGCACAGTTGGTGTCCTGTCGCTCACGGCTGCACTGGTATATTGAAACTGGTGACTGGGGAAGGGAAGGGCTGCCAATGGTGGGTTGCCCCCAGTTAGGACCAGTACAAAAGAACAGGTAGTAAAACCAGCAGGAGGCTCCGCCCACTGACCTGGACGTCATCAGAAATGATCTGCATATGCGCAGAAGAGCACGTGCGCACGCAAGAGAAGCAAGTGCGTGCGTGCGTGCAGGATGCGATCTGGTGGCAAAGGTAAGTAGAACTCATCCTTGAGGGCTGCCTCCTGTGCTGGCCACACCCACCCCATTCATTAGGGCTTATTTTGGGGGTAGGGCATATATTAGTCCCACCCCCCCAAAATTGGGCTACTTTTTGAATAGGTCGTATTTTCGGGGAAACACAGTATTGATAGCCAAATCTGGCCCTAGGTTCTGCCTCAGTTTACCTGTCTAATAAGCAACGGAATCAGAAGATCATTTAAAAGCAATTTATTAAGTACCCCGATAATGTGGAATCTCCCTATGAAAAAGGACAGCCTCATTCCTTTTTTATAGTTTTTTATAGTTAGCACAATAACGAAAATGCAGGAGGAAAGTTGATTGGCTCATTTCTTCCAACATCAGAAAGGAAGCTTTTTCAAGCATTGGACAATCAGATTTTCAGGCTAAAACCAACCCACTCCTTAAGGCAGTGGTTCTCAACCTGTGGGTTGGGACCCCTTTGGGGGTCGAATGACCCTTTCACAGGGGTCGCCTAAGACCATCGGAAAACACATATTTTCAATGGTTTTAGGAATAATTTTATGGTTGGGGGTCACCACAACATGAGGAACTGTATTAAAGGGTCACGGCATTAGGAAGGTTGAGACCCACTGCCTTAAGGTGTCCCAGCTTCTCATCTCCTTTTTCTGGAGGGATTTGATGGATTTCATTGCTTTTAGAGTGTTGAAAGAAATGTCCATCTGGGTTCAGTTCCAAGTGGGGAGAAAGACACAGGAAACATGGAGACTGTTTGGAAAGATGGTTTAATGGTGGACAGGACCACATGGTTTGAAGTAACTGGATAGCTGACCATCTGGAGAGTGAGATATATTTATACCCTCTCTTGGGCTTTGAACTTGCCGCCTGTTCCTGTGAAAGAAATGTATTCTGATTGGTTGTCAGACTCACATGGGGCAATGCAGGGGTAACTTTGTAGGTTGTCTTGCGTCCCAGGCTTGGTTGAATGGGTGATGTAATCTTTCGAGGTGCCATGTGGTGAGATGGGTTGAGGGCTAATCCTATTATGTCCTGAGGGTGAAGGTCTTTTGTGTTGTAGATAAGCTGGCCCAGCCTTTTTTTTTTTTTAATTTGATTTATATGCCACCCTTCTCCGGAGACTCAGGGCGGCTTACAATGCGTTAAGCAATAGCCTTCATACTTTTGTATATTTATACAAAGTCAGCTTATTGCCCCCACAAACTGGGTCCTCAATTTATCTACCTTAGAAAGGATGGAAGGCTGAGTCAATCTTGAGCCTGGTGAGATTCAAACTTACAGTAATTGCAGACAGCTGGTGTTAATCACAATGCTATCAGTCTGCTGAGCCACCAGGCCCGGTGGTGGCCTGGTCCTGTAGATAGGATGGCCCAGTCTTTCTGGGGCTATTAACAAAGGTGGGGGCTGCTTTCCAAGAGCATATATCTCCTTTTCTCATCCAGGGAGGTATAATATTCTACCTTTTTAGTATTTCCTAGAATATTTCATTCTTCTAGGAGAGCGGTGGGTGCTAACTTCCTACAAGAGCTTTTGCTCTGAGCAGAAAACAGATAAGATATCCTTGAAATAAAAACATTCCCACTGAACTGAGCCGAAGAGAAACAAACAACTGATTAGAAATGGGGGAGAAAAAAAGGAAGGAATGTGCTGTGTTTCAAGATTGGACAAAGTCCCAGGGGTGGGGGGCGTTTGTGAAAACCCTCTTTCCTGATTTCCTTCAAAAAAATTGTTTGCAAATGACGTAACTTGAGTGGAATGACTAGGAGTGAACGGAGAGTTGAGGCAATATTTAAGGGAGCGCCTAAAAGTCGTTTTTTGGTTAGCCTGGGCTGTCAAGAGAGATGGAACAACTGAATCCGCACAGCATTCTGGTGACCGGTTCCAATCGGGGACTTGGCTTGGAGCTGGTCAGGCAGCTGGTACAGAAGAGTAACCCCCCAAAATGGATCTTTGCCACTTGCCGGGACCCAGCTGGATCTGGTGCTCAGGTGAGGCCTGAAATGCCTTCAGCCCTGAGTCGGAAGAACACAGATTTTTTTTTCTTTAACGGAAATTTGCTTGTCTCCTAGGTGGTGACAGTGCAGGCAAGGTTGGAGATAAAGATATACCAGAGTTTGTTAAATGAAGACTGGTTATATTTAAAATGTTTTTAGGATGCTTCTCTTTGCAGAATTCGGGAGAGGAGATTAATGGAGAGACTAATTTCTCCAGTCAATTGATTGGAAGATACTTACCGTGTTTTCCCGAAAATAAGACCCTGTCTTATATTTTTTTGAACCCTGAAATAAGCGCTTGGCCTTATTTTCGGGGAGGTCTTATTGTTTTGGGGCGCATGGAGCAAGATGGGGCTCCTCTTGCCATCTTACCTGATTTCCAGCTCTGTGTTTAAATATTTTCAGGGAGGGCTTATTTTCAGGAGGAGGCTTATTTTAGCACATGTGCTCAAAAGCCCGATTGGGCTTATTATCAGGGGATGTCTTATTTTCAGGGAAACAGGGTACAAAGGCTGCATCTTTGCAAATTTTGAGAACCCGTGTCAGATTTCATCCCCTTTTGTTTTAAATTCTTATTCCATTTCAAATAAGCCATTTGCAAAATGTGCTGCTCCAGGTAAATGTGTGGATTTTTTTCCTCCTCTTTTAGGATCTGAAGAATTTGGCTGCTGAACACCCGCAAATTGTCATCATCGCATTGGGTATGTCTCCTGAAAATCCCTTTGGTTCTTTAGCTGAGAGGGAGAATGCTGAAATTCAGCAACACACTAGATCAGTGATGGCTAATCTTTTTGCCATCGCGTGCCAGGAGGGGGGTGGGAGAAGTTCACGCGCATGCATGCCCACACCCATAATGCCCAAACCCATAAGAGGCTCTGGAGGCTAGGGACCGCAAAAAAGTCACTTCCTGTCCCACCGGGAGTTGAGAAATGGGCCGTTTTAGGCCTCTGGAGGGGCTCTGAGTGGGTGGGGAAGGCTGTTTTTGCCTTCCCCAGATGCATAGAGAGGATCTGGAGCCAGGTGAGAAGGAAAAATGGGCCTTCCTCAGCCCCCCAGGCGCTCTGGAGGCAGGAAACAGCCTGTTTCCCTACTTCTGGTGGGCCCAGAAGGCCCGAAAATTAGCTGGCCAGCACACACATGCGTGCCAGAGCTGAGCTGGCGTGCCCACTGATATGGCTACCATAGGTTCGCCATCATGGCACTAGATCATGCCAAGAAAGCATTAATTCCCTCAGAGCAGATAAACATTGCCTTGCCTTACAATTGATACAGGTAGTCCTTGACATGTAACCGCAACTGTGCCCAACATTTCTGTTGTTAAGTGAGACAGTTGTTAAAGTGAGTTTTTGCCCCATTTTACTACCCTTCTTGCCACAGTTATTAAATGAGTCATCACGGTTAATAAGTTAGGTAACACGCTCATCAACTGAATCTGGCTTCCCCATTGATTTTACTTGTCAAAAACGTTGCAAAAGGAGATCCCATGACTTTGGGACACCGCAATGGTCGTAAGTATGAGTCAGTTGCCCAGCATCTGAATTTTGATCACGTGATCATGGGGGTGCTACAAAAGTCGTAACTGTAAAAGTGAAGTCAGTTTAAAAGTTTGCATAACCAATAAGGGTGATGATCCACCTAACTGCCCCAATCAGCCTTTGGCTTAGAGATGCTACTACGTGCAACATTTTATTAATTAATACAAGGTTGCAATTGTTGTGTTTTAGCCATTCAGTCTCATCTGAGTCACATAATTTTCTGATCAACATTTCTGTATCTCCTACTTAACGTAAGTTCCTCCTCATATCATCAGTGAAGGCACTGAACCTTCTTGGTTTCTGCTAATCTTTTCCATTGCGGTTTATAGCCTGCGTGTCATAAATTGGTGTGGTTATTTTACTGCAATAACTCACGCTTATTTGATAATGATTTGTTGGGTGAATTGCAATTTCATAGGCGTATTATGACAGGTTAAGCTGTAAATCAAGAGTTACAAATATTACGTCAAACTATTTACTAAGTCTGCACTACTATTTATGCACACTGAGAGCGTATGCACCAAGACAAATTCCTTGTGTGTCCAGTCACACTTGGCCAATAAAGAATTCTATTCTATTCTATTCTATTCTATTCTATTCTATTCTATTCTATTCTATTCTATTCTATTCTATTCTATTCTATTCTACCCTACCCTACCCTACCCTACCCTACCCTACCCTACCCTACCCTACCCTACCCTACCCTACTCTATTCTATACCACCCAGAGTCACTGTGGAATTAATTGTTTCAGGCAAAAATCTAGAAATGGTGTTGGATCTCCTGCCAAACAATGAAACAAATATTTTGCTAGGTAGATATTCTGGGTAATTAATATCCAAGCATAAACTCGGCACATTCCAACATTGGATAAATATAACGAGCAAATAGGCGCTGTAACTTTCTAATCTTTTAAATGGCTTTCTAGAGTTATTTCATCTCATCAAAGCAATAAAAAAGTAATATGCATATGCCTGTGTTAATGAAGTGATGTAAGATTAAAAGTGAAGGAAGGAGACAAAGATGGAATCAGGCATAGTAGTAAAGGCTCCCGGTGATGAGGTAGGCAACTTTCTATATGACCTCCATGGTCTACATAAATCATTTATGGATGTATTCTTCAATGCTAACTTAAACCAGATCAGCTGGCACACCAGAGTGATTTTCTCAGCAGAACATGGCTTAAATAAGCCATGGCTTCCTGGAAGGTTTCCTCTCGTCTACGTAAATTCCTTATTGGATTCCCATCAATGAGCATTTCAAAAATGATCAACCAACCACTTTTCTTGGCAGTAATGAGACTAATCATCCTTATCCTCTTTTAACAACCCCATAATCCCTTGCGGGATAGAGTCTGGGCAACTGAATGGAGCTCAATGTTTACTGGGCAGATGCCCTTCCTGTCGCCAAAGCGTAGTTCTTTTTTTCAGCAGATATATTCTCAGTGTGCCCAGAGAGAGAAATATCTGCCTCTACCTAGGATCGAACTCACAGCCTCCTGATTGTGAGGCGAGAGCTCCACCTCTAGGCCACCATACCACTCAGTAATGAGACTAATTTCCCCTTTAAAAAAATTTTCAGGAAAATACCGTGGAATTCAGTAGGACCGAACCATTGTATGGTGTATAAAGCCTGATACGGGATCATGCGCATTTATTTTTCCTCCTGTAGACACAAATGATCCATGCAGCGTGAAGGATGCTGCAGCTAAAGTCACAGAACATCTAAAGGGAGCTGGACTGAACCTGCTGGTTAACAATGCAGGGATTTTAAAACTGAGCACCATAGAGACAGAAACACCAGAAAACATGTCGGAGGTATACAAAACCAACGTCATTGGGCCCATGATCGTCAGTCAGGTAATATATTGTCCATTTATGGGGGGAAATTGGCTATTTGGATGGAAAGGTTATGCAGAACAGATATTAGGTAGTTTAGATTTTGTCCTCGACTAAAAAACTCTGTGTTGATGATAGATTTTTGTCCACTGACTTTGGGCCACTCCCTCCCTCTCAAACCCAAAAACCTACCTCACACAATTGTGAGATTAAAAAGCTAAACTAGGAGCCCCTAAACAGAGCATAAACACATGAAATTAAAAACAAAATTGCCTCATAGTTGCACAATCAAAAGATATTTGATAGGCTACGGATATCATCATCATCTTTTAACTACCTCATAATCCCTTGTGGGATGGAGTCTGGGCAACTGAACGGAGCCAAATGTTTACTGGCCGGATGCCCTTCCTGTCACCAATGCGGAGTTTTGTTCAGCAGATATATTCCCAATGTGCCGAGAGAGAGAAATATCAATGGGATCGAACTTATAGCCTCCTGATTGTGAGGCGAGAGCCCCACCTCTAGGCCACCGCACCACTCTTGATAGGCTATAGATATAGTGAGGATGAAACAATCGGGTTGGTTAGAACCAGGGGTGAAATGCTACCAGTTCGCTATGGTTCGAGCAAACCAGTAGTGGTAAAAACTACCAGTTCAGGCGAACTGGTAGTAAAAAATGCTTTAAAAGGGTTTTAAAAAAGGTTCTGACAATCGCACGGCACAGCCGTGATTGTCGGAACCTTTTTAAAAATTTTTAAAGCATTTTTTTTACTACCTATTTGCCCGAATCAGTAGTAAAAAAATGCTTTAAAAAAGGCAAAAAAAAAAACTTGACCACACCCACCCAGTCACATGACCCCCACCACCACCAAGCCACGCCCACAGAACTGGTAGCAACAAATTTTACGTTTCACTACTGGTTGGAACAGAGATGAAGGTGGGGTGGATCTATTTGATCTCTTCTGACATTTCTTGGGGAGCAGCTGAAGGATTCTTCTGGAGCTTTGCATCATGAAATTTCATTGGTTAGGAGATACGTTGGTGCCCTTCATTTGTCTGGGTTTTTTTTTTCCTCTTCCCTCCTCCAGGCGTTCCTTCCCTTGCTAAGGAAAGCATCCCAAAAAAGTCCCCAGAAAGGCATGAGCTGCAACAAAGCAGCCATCCTCAACGTAACTAGCGAGTGTGGCTCCATGACAAACCTCTTTGCCTGGAACCTGAATGAGGTGATCTCTTATCGTTGCAGCAAGGTAAGGGAAGGGCTTTTGTTACGATTAGTATTAAGGATGACAATTGCAATTTCACCTTCAGACAAACAACATGGAGCCCACGGTTTTCCACTGCTGAGCGAGATAGTTGTTCGTTGAGCTTTGTCCCATTTTATGACCTTCCTTGCCAGAGTTGTTAAGGGAACCACTGAAGTGGTTGAGTGAGTAACACGGCGGCTGCTTAGCGAATCTGGATTCCCCGTTGACTTTGCTTGTCAGAAGGTCGCATCAGATCACACAACCCTGGGATGCGGCAACCGTCATGAGAAAAAGCCGGTTGCCAAGCATTCGAAGTTTGACCGCGTGGCCACGAGGATGCTGCAACAGTTGTGTGAAAAACGGTCATAAGTCCCTTTTTTAAAAATAACTTTGAATGGTCACTAAATGAGTAGTTGTACTCGTCAAGGACTGCCTACAGTTTCATTTCAAATGCCTCTCAGATCTATGGGAAAAATCTGTAAAAACCAATCCTTTGTATGCTGCTAATCTAGATTCATGATATACAAGCTATTTGTTGTGGCCTGTTGGCTGCCGGCCCCTCCAGCAGCCGAATCAGAGGAGGAGGAGGAGGAGGAGGAGACATGGGGGTCAGGGTCAGTATCAAGGCAACCTGAGAGCTCCGAGGGAGAAGAGGAAATGGAGCTGGCAGAGACAGAGAGAGAGAGGCAGAGCCTGGGCCGTCCATCAGCCCTTAGATGGAGAGTCAACAACCCCCATGTCTGGAGATGGCTGATGAGGCAGTGGAGGAACAGCTGGGTCCAGCGCCTGATACCCGGATGTGCAGAAGGCAGAGAAGAGGAGAGCAGTGGAAATCTATGGGCCGGTCCTTAGGATGGAAAAGCTACCACTGCTAGCAAAGCCCCACCCTAGCTCTGGGGATAAAAGGCAGGGGGCAGAGATGAATAGATGTAGCAGACAACTATTCATCTTCGGGGCAGCTTGTTAGCCTGCGGTGAGACAGAAACTTTTGGCCAGGGCTGCCGGCACTCCTAATAAAGGAATCTTTGAGTTATTGGTCATTTTTCAGAACAAGAGATGTGTGCAAATGGTAGATCCCTCTGGAGAAATAAGTTCAATACGTGGCCCATGACTTTTAAAAAATTTGATTTGGCCACGCCCACCAAGCCACACTCACAGAACCAGTAATAAAAATATTTGGATTTCACAACTGGTAGTAGCCCAATTCTTTCTCTAGTTCTTTCCTTAGGGACTGAGGGTCCCATTCTTTTAAGCCAGGCTTAATGTTTGTTTAGCTTATACTTAGCCCTACATTTATCTCTCTACCCTGGAATGTGCAGCAGTTTGGAGCTTCCTAATAATTTCTCCTTTTGCAGAGATATTTCTTAGCCTCCTTAGTCCTTATCAGTCCAGAGAAGGGAGGGAGAAAGCAATTACTCATGGCTGACTGTAGTTGCCCACGACCTTTGGAAAGCTTATGACGCTGAAGCAATGTCAATCTGAAGCCATCTTCTGTTGGACCCATTCCATCACAGCTTCGGAGTTTCATTGCCCGCGTCATCCAACATTTTAGGTTCAGTTTTGCCTGTTGCGTGCCCAAGTGGCATCTCCTTCAGGTCTTCAACTCAGCTTCCTTTCTCTCTTCTATCAACACCTACACCCAGTGCCTTCAGTGCTTCTCTTTCACCACTCTGCATACAGGTGGAGTCTTTTCATGTTTGAAAGTCCCACGGGATATTTGATTTATTTATTTATTTAGTTTGTCAAACATGTACAAGACAACAGGCATAAGTATAAACATGGACATGAACACAAGAAATGAGTACAAATAAATGGGGACAGTAGTAGTGGTGGGTTGCCCCCAGTTCGCACCGGTTCTATAGAACTGGTAGTAAAACTGGCGGGAGGCTCCGCCCACCGACCCCGACATCATCAAAATGCTTCTGCACATGCACAGAAGAGCATGTACATGAGCAAGGTGCGCGCGCAGGCAGCCCCATTGCAAACTGGTAGTAAAGGTAAGTAGAACCCACCCCTGGAAAGTAGGACAAGGACAGTAGGCATGCTGGTGCGCTTATGCACGCCCCCTTTACGGACCTCTTAGGAATGGGGTGAGGTCCACGGTAGACAGTTTAAGGTTGAAGCTGTGAGGGTTTGAGGATGTAACAATGGAGTCAGGTAGAGCATTCCAGGCATTGACGACTCTGTTGCTGAAGTTGTATTTTCTGCAATCGAGTTTGGAGCAGTTTACCTTGAGTTTGTATCTATTGTTTGCCCGTGTATTTTTGAGGTTGAAGCTGAAGTAGTCATTGACAGGTCGGATATTGTAGCAGACAATTTTGTGTACTATTCTTAGGTCAGATCATAGGCGGCGTAGTTCCAGGTTGTCCAAGCCCAAAATTCTTCTCGTGAAATACCTCTGGACTCGCTCAATTGTATTAATGTCTGATATACAGTGTGGATTCCAGGCAGACGAGCTGTATTTGAGAATTGGTCTGGCAAAGGTTTTGTATGCCATAGTTTGCAGTACAGTGTTACCGGAGAAGAAGCTTCACAAAATTAGGTAAACAATTCTTAATGCCTTTTTGGCAATGCTGTTACAGTGAGCTCTCCGGCTTAGATAGTTTGAGATGAGTATTCCTAGGTCCTTGACAGAGTGAGGATACGAAGCTATGAAGAAGGAAAACTCACATTAGCAACTCAGAGTTTTGCCTTCTGTCAGTGTACGGGGAAGTTGGGGTGGAGGGGAGACTGGATGCAATTCAACTACATGTTTTCAGCAAGAAGCAAGAAATATCCAATTTGTTGTTTCCAAAGGGATGTCCTGAAAGAAAAGTTCATAGCCCACACAAAGAGCTTTCTATGACCCCACGTTCCAAAGCAGAAAATAAAAAGACATAAAACATTATTATGGTTTGCATGTTTAAGAATTGAGAAAATAATGTAACAAATAGAGCAATGAGTGCTTTAAACTTGGCATAAACATCAGGCACACTTACTATTTGTAAAGCACTGTAACAAACACATTAAAATGAGAGCACAGATTGCTGGGGCAATATGCATACACTGTACACAGGTCAGAGAGTGTTGTAAAGCACTAATGAGCAGTATATAAGTCTTAAGTGCTATTGCTATTAGTAGATGGTGGGAATGTTTTCTTAAGCTGTCAAGATAAAAGCAAAATATTGGAAATTTTCTGTAAATTGTCATAGCTTACAGGTGTGAAAATCCTTCCTTCCTTCCTTCCTTCCTTCCTTCCTTCCTTCCTTCCTTCCTTCCTTCCTTCCTCCCTCCCTCCCTCCCTCCCTCCCTCCCTCCTTTCCTCCCTCCCTTCTGCCAAGAAGGAGATGGTTGACTCAACTGTGATGGCAATAAGCAGACCTTTGGGGATACTGAAAATACTTTCAGGTGTACTACCGTGTTTCCCCGAAAATAAGACTGGGTCTTATATTAATTTTTGCTTCAAAAGACGCATTAAGTCTTATTTTCTGGTTAGGTCTTATTTTTGGGGAAATAGGGTACTAAATGCAGCCACCTGACTGACAATTTTAACTGGGGTTTATTTTGGGGGTAGGGCTTATATTACGAGCATCCTGAAAAATCAGGCTAGGGCTTATTTTCCAGTTGGGTCTTATTTTCGGGGAAACAGGGTATCGAATATGAGCTTAGGAGGAACCATAAGCTTTCCCTGCACAATACCTTTCACCAAACATGGCCAGAGAGAGAATGTGTACCTAGTAGGTTCACCTAAGGTCCTGGAACAGACATTCTGTTCCTTCTGTCAACCAATATGGAACCACTGCCAATAGGATTGAGGGAGGGGAAGAAGTGAGTCAGACCTGGGAGAAACGAGTGGGAGGAGGAGATGATAGCATATCTTTACGGATACATTAATGTTCTTATCTTCTGTAGGCCTTTGTGGGGTGTTCAACCTATTGCCCAAGCCAGACTTTCAGCTGCAGAAGCTACCTGTGAAAGGGGCTTGCAACCCCGAGAGCTCAGATGAACCCGCTTGTTTATTTTCTCTTCCTTTGTTTCCTTCTCAGTCTGCTCTGAACATGCTCACTCGATGCCAGTCCATGCACTTTGCCAAAGATGAGATTCTGTGCATTACATTGCACCCTGGGTGGGTGCAGACTGACATGGGAAACGAATTGGTAAGTGAACTGGAGGAAAAAAAAACTTCATACAACAATCAGAAAACAAGTGTGGGCAAGATTAATCGGATTAGGAGTGGAATCCTCTGAAGGTTTCTGAAATGTTTTGTTCCCACTGGATCATGCCATATGTGCTGTTTCTCCGGGGGATTGTTTGATAGATTTCTCAACTGGAAGCATTCCCAAGATTTCCTGAGGTGCTTTCAGGCCTGCTGGGGGTTTGCAGGGGTTCGGGAGAACCTCTAGCTAAGATTCTGTGCCATTCAGAGAACCCCCAAATCCCACTCCTGGCTGGCTCCGCCCACACCTCCTCTCCCAGGAGTCCCCTCGCCACACGGTCTGTTCCGGGTGCAGGTAAGTGCAGGGTGCGCGTGGAGGCTCAGAGAGGACGAAAAACGGGCCTACTGAAAGTTCGGGAAGTCCAGAAACAGGCTCATATTCATCCTCCTGGAGGCTTGAGGAATGCCTCCAGAGCCCAGGGAGGGCAAAAAGCTCCTCCCCTGCTGTGGTGCAGGAGACCGACTAGGCCGCACCCACCATGGCCCAGCAACTAGGCAGAGAACCCCTTGCTAAAATTTTTGAACCCCACCCCTGGATACTTCAGACCATAAAGTAGTCTGTTTTATTGGAATACTGTGTGGGAAACACCTTGAACTCTTTGAAGTTTGGAAAATGTATTTACCGAAACCGCCAAACCACCCAAGTAACGTCATGACCTCAAAGGAAATGGTTCAGAATTATTCAGAATATTCCATCCCCAGATCAACAATTCTGCACAGCCCTAACAATCCCTATCCTTTCAGCGAACGCTGGAGTAATGCAAAGAGGTTAGCTGCATCCTGAAAACTAAATCTGCTTCTAATCTAGACAAAGATATGATTGCACAGTTGCCATAAAGAATTGACGGAAAAAGCATATGGCTTCCTTTTCCGGTTGCCATTCTCCTTAGGGTTTTTTTTCCCCTACTGCTTTTAAAATATTTTTTAAAATTTTAAAACAGCTGGAGAATGGGATCCAGATAGAATCTCATTCAGGACTGAGTTTCTGTTTTGATTGGCTGTTAAGCAGGGGTGAAATCCAGCAGGTTCTGACAGGTTCTGGAGAACCGGTAGCAGAAATTTTGAGCAGTTCGGAGAACCGGCAAATACCACCTCTGGCTGGCCCCAGAGTGGGGTGGGAATGGAGATTTTGCAATATCCTTCCCCCAGGAATGTGGAGGGAATGGGGATTTTGCAGTATCCTTCCCTTGCCACACCCACCAAGCCACGTCCACCAAGCCACGCCCACAGAACCGGTAGTAAAAAAAATTGGATTTCACCACTGGCTGTTAAGGAATTCACTGTCACTTGATGTTACCTAGGTTTTTAGATGTTCTTTTTTCCACTATGAACTTCTTTCATCTCTTGCCTGTTTTTTTTTTTTTTTTTTTCCTAGGGAATGCCCCCACTGACAATGGAGCAGAGTTTGCGAGCTATTCTGAACACCCTTGGCCGTCTCTCTGAGAAAGATCATGGCACATTTATTAACTGGGAAGGGAATCTCATTCCCTGGTGAGACAACCAGGAATCTGCTCCACTGTATTGCAGAATAATGTTCTCATCAAAGGCAATGCAGCTTTATGTCTTTAATGCACCCTGTTTCCTGCTCTGGTGCTATGTGCTCCAATTCTCCCATTTTCTTTAGTTACTCTGTCTGGTGCCCATAAAACCTTGCTCACAAAGGGTCTTTTCAGCCGTGTTTAATCCGATCTGATCTTCTAGGTCTCACTGCCAAAGACTGCAAAAGCGTCCACTTCTGTCTTGCAAGCTCGGGGGTCAGCAACCTGTGGCTCTGGAGCCGCATGTGGCTCTTTCACCTCTCTGCTGCAGCTCCCTGTCTCTCAAAATATGCGTCACAACCACCAATGTGCAACACCCACCGGCATGCAATTTATTGAGCTTTTCAACCCCTAGTAGGCCAACCATGGATAAATCCAAGAAAAGAAAAGTTTCAGAAGAAAACAGAATGTTTAATTCAACTACATATGCTAGTTTTGTGGCCGCTGAAGAAATAGTCAGGCACAGGAAAGGTTTTGTGGCTCCCGGTGTTTTCTTTTCTGTGGGAAACAGGTCCAAATGGCTCTTTGAGTGTTTAAGATTGCAGACCCTTGTACAAGCTGAAGATAATTCCCCCACCCCCCTGACCTCTGGAATCTAAACCACACTGATGGGAAATTCCTGACTTCATTGCAATTGGGAATAACGTTCTGGAAAGAGTAAACATTCCAGATTGAAGTCTTAGGGCAGAGAATTGGTTGGAGTGAGCTGTTGGGGCTACAACTTCAAGATAGGTTCAAATTTGACCCATCCGAAAGCCGTTTTTGCTGCCATGCCAGTCTGCTCTATTGAACGAAGAAGCAAAAGCTATGTTCCAAAAAGTATATATAAAAACACAGCCATTTTTGTATCAATTTTCAATGCAATACAATAAACTTTTAAAGCAATTAGTTTCTTAATTTTTTTTTTAAGAGAGAAATGTCATCTAATAATCTATTGACAAATGCATTTTCTTTCTGCAAAAAAACAAAACAAAACAAAACAAAAACACTTTAGCTTAGAGCAAAAGTGACCCAACATATATTTTGGGGTATGTACCTTTCTTGCAATGAATTAATTCCTACTTTCTATGCACTGAAGGAGAACATCTAGATAACAAATACGCTTTTAACTAACACGATGCTAATTACATACATAGGGGTATTTGTTATTCATTTACATTCATGCAGATTCTATGCCGTTGCACAGAGCAACCTTTTGCCCATTCATAAAGAAGAGTATCGGACAGAGATCACTGGCCACTGAGCTTTCAACTTCATAAACTCTCGATTACATAATTTTATACGCACAAGTATAAAAGCTTACATAATACTCACAAGTATACTTGCTTACATAATACTCACAATTCTAGCATTGCCCTTCCAAAGATAAACACACAATTGGTTTGAGTTCTATGTTTCTATACCTGCTCTTAATGCATAGAAATGGCTGAACTGATCTTCTACCTTTTGAGTTTCTAGAAGAGGTGAAGCAAGAATTACTCTGGGTGGGCCTACAGGAACTTGACATACTGAAGAGAACATGTCCAGGCAATTTGGATGCAGAAGATCTTTTTAAAATATTGTTTTAATTTTCATTTAATCAACCTTTGTTTACATCCCTTTTTGGGGTTCTCTAAGACACTATGAAGAGGCAAAAGAAGAATGCTCCTTTAGGGTAATTGCCTGCCCATCAAATGATAATAATAGTTCAATCAACTTTGAGAACATTGAGTGTGTTGTCTACCAGGGCCATCTTCTAGAACAGGACTGAAGACATGACGTTATGGTGATTCTGGCAATTTCCAGGGCTTGGTTCACACAGTAAAATTGCTCTTCCAAAGTGTGCGTGGTAACCTCTAACAAATAGGAGATGTTTATACAACTCAGTGTAAGGGTATCAAAGTTGACACTATGGTCAAAAACCAAGTCATTATTTTGATGGAACTTGCAACATTCTTGCTGCTTGGAAATAATTTGGACACTTGTTAAATTCACTTAAAAGTGAGAGCCCAAGACAGAGCAGCAAAATTTTAATTCTTGATATCTAATCTGCTATATTATGTTGTATTTTATTGTAATCCAATACATTATTATGCTTACAAATGAGAAGTGAGACATAAACATTTCATGTAAGACAATAACTAACCAATATATCCAATGATTGGTAATGAAAACATTTTTCAATGCTTTCATTCTAGGACATAGCAATAGTACTAAGACTTATATACCACTTCATAATGCTTTTTAGCCCTCTCTAAGCGGTTTTACAGAGTCAGCCTCTTGCCCCCAACAATCCGGGTCCTCATTTTACCCACCTCGGAAGGATGGAAGGCTGAGTCAACCTTGAGCCAGTGAGATTTGAACTGCCGAACTGCAGCTAGCAGTCAGCTGAAGTAGTCTGCGGTACTGCACCCTAACCACTGCGCCACTGTGGCTCTTTTACATCTTTTATGTATCTTAATCATCCTTCTCCAGTGTAAAAATAATGCAAATGTGATAAATGACTAAATATGAAATAAAATATTTCAAACTACAAAACTTTTCAAAAGAGCAACTTGTTCATACTCGTTTCTTTCCTGAGGTCACAAGCAAGCCATAAATTCTTGGTTGTTTACTGCCAAACATCAATAGCAATTTTTCTCCTAAGAGTCAAAGCAAATTTTAGAGTTAATGGTTGATAGGTGTCCCATCCTTCATTAATTATCTTCCGGTTGCAACTCTTCCATCAGAATCCTGCAGAAAAAGGAGATGGAAAAATTGGACACTTGATGGAGTTAGCATGGAATTATTTGTTTGGTCTCAACTTCTGAACTTCTTTCTATTCCAAGCAATGAAAACAAGGAGGAGTAATATTAAGAAAGCTCTTTTGCCTTTTTTATCACTTGACAAGCCAGCCAGTCTTTTGAATATACACATTCCAAATTACCTCTCTGTATCTGAGCATAGATGTTATTTTAATCCACAAAGCATTGAACATTCCGATTTTCAGCTTAAAACTATCTTGGGTTTGATGGGTTTAATTGCTTTAAGCGCTTTTTTTTTCAGGGCAGAAAACACAGAAGACATTCTTTAAATTAAAAACATGCCCACTGAACATAGCAAAAGAGAAACATCTGCACAGAATGAGGGGGGAAAAAAAACAAAGGAAAAAATCTACTGCAAGATTGGGCAAAACCCTGGTGGTATTTGCCAAATCCCTCCTTCCTGATTTTCTTCAGACATATTGTTTGCAAGTTAAATAACATGGGTGGGAGGACTGGCAATGAACTCGGTTGCGGCAATATTTAAGGAAGAGCACAAAGCAATTTCTTAGTTAGCTTGGGCTGGCAAGAGAGATGGAACAATTGAATCCGCACAGTGTTCTGGTGACCGGTTCGAACCGTGGACTTGGCTTGGAGCTGGTCAGGCAGCTGGCAAAGAAAAGCAACCCCCCAAAATGGATCTTTGCCACTTGCCGGGACCCGGCTGGACCCCGTGCTCAGGTGAGACCTGCAGCTTTATGTGCGAAGAACAAAGATTTTTTGTCTGTAATGGAAATTTGCTTATTAGCCAGGTTCTTCCTACGTAAACCAAGATTTTTATGCAGCCCTAGTTCAGTGAAATCACAATCCACTAGTTTCTAGGCTTTTTTCAGGCAGCCAGCAAGCACCCTGCTGCCCATTGGGAGACTAAGGAGACTAAGATAGATCTATTTCGGACTTATTAGTCCTCATCAGTTAGCCACACCCTCATCCCATGTATCCTCCCTGTCTCCCAATGGGCATCAGGGTGCTTGCTGGCTGCCTGAAAAAAGCCTAGAAACTAGTGGATTGTGATTTCACTGAACTAGGGCTGCATAAAAATCTTGGTTTACGTAGGAAGAACCTGGCTAAAGAGAAATAAACATAAAGGCCTACGAAAAGAAAAGAAAACGAATATATATATAAAAGAGTTTGTTAAATGAAGGCTCGTTATATTTAAAACGTTTTAACATTGCTTTTCTTTGCAGAAGGAGGGGGAGGTAAACAACGGGGAGCCTAATTTCTCCAATCAATTGATTGGAAGATACTTACAATGGTCGCATATTTATAAATCTTAAGAGCCCATGTGGAATTTCATCACGTTTTGTTTTTGTTATCCTCATTCAAATAAGCCACTTGCAAAATGTGCTGCTCCAGGCTAAGGACCTATTGTTCAGGGCCAGCTTAGGAAGCTCCCACTATCCCTGAGCTCCCTGTAAAGTTCTTTTCAGTTCTTCACTCGCTTCTGAGCCTTTGCGACACAATGGACGCTATTTACCAAAATTGCGTCTCATGAAGTGCCTCCCTGAGGTCTTGTATAGTATAGAATAGCCCCAGAGGTCTGCAACCTTAAACACTCAAAGAGCCATTTGGACCCGTTTCCCACAGAAAAGAAAACACCGGGAGCCACAAAACCTTTCCCGTTCCTGACTATTTCTTGAGCGGCCACAAAACTAGCATATATAGTTGAATGAAACATTCTGTTTTCTTCTGAAACTTTTCTTTTCTTGGATTTATCCATGGTTGGCCTACCGGAGGTTGAAAAGCTCAATAAATCGTGTGCCGGAGGGTGTCACACATTGGCGGTTTTGACGCATAATTTGAGTGACAGGGAGCCGCAGTAGAGGGGTGAAAGAGCCACATGCGGCTCCAGAGCTGCAGGTTGCTGACAGGCCAATAAATATAGCCTTTATTGTCATTGTACATCATGGTATACAATGAAATTGGTTTTAGCCCACTGGTGCAATCCATGACAAAAAATACAAACAACATAAATAGTATAAAGAATAATCCCTATGCAAGCAATTAAGTGGGGGGAGGAAAAGAAAGAAAAAGAAAAACTAGTCATACGTTTCCGCGTGTGCATGGAGTGATTGTGGTTGTGTTTAAGAGTCTGACAGCCCAAGATAGAAACTATTTTTAAACCTATTTGTTCGGCTGGCTATGCTTCGATGTCTTCTGCCTAATGGTAGAAATGTGAAGAGACCCTGACCAGGGTGTGAATCATCTCTGAGTATCTCCCTTAGTCTACTAAAGCAGCGAGACCTGGCGATGTCATCCAGTGGTGTTAGAGGGCAATGAATGGTTTCTTGTGCCGAATTGAATTGTAAATTCATGCTATATCATCAGGAGGGTTAGTTGCCCCCAACTTTCTGTTCAGCTCTTCCTCAATTGCCGTCAAATCTTCTCAGCATCAGAACGCCTTTGTTCCTGAAGTCTTCCTGGCTTCCAGCAAGCCAAGTGCTATCGTTCCAGGGGTTAAATGCTCCCGGTTCAGACCAGATCGCCTGATCCAGTAGTGATGGTGGTGAGTGGTTCGGAGAACCGGTAGCAAAAATCCCTGCGCCCTCCCACCATGCCCAGCTGAGCCACACAATCATCAGAGGCTTTTGTTTGTTTGTTTTTAAAAGCATTTTTTCTACAACCTCTTCTGACGAAAAAATGCTTTTAAAAGTTAAAAAAAAAAAGCCTCTAATGATCTCGCGGCTCAGCTGGGATCGTCAGAGGCTTTTCAAAGCATTTTTTTCTGCAACCTCTTGGCCGAAGAGTCTCTGACGATCCCAGCTGAGTTGCCTGATTGTCAGAGGCTTTTCAAAGCATTAGAAAAAATGCTTTGAGAAGTTTAAAAAAAAAAAGTTGGCCACGCCCACCCAGTCACATTATCCCCCCCCCCCACCAAGCCACGCCCACAGAACCGGTAGTAACAAATTTTACATTTCACCCCTGTATCGTTCCCATGAACCTACTGTTGCTTCTCCTCACATTTTCTATTTCTTGTAGCCTCATCTAACATTTCTTATATTTTCTTCAGATGAATTGTTTGCTAAGTCTGTATTCCTTAGTACAGGCCTTGTTTTGGAGTCCATGGGTTATACAAACCTATCACAATTACCCTGTTTCCCTGAAAATAAGACATCCCCTGATAATAAGCCCAGGGGTTATTATGGGCTTTTGAGCGCATGTGCTAAAATAAGCCTCCCCCCCCGAAAATAAACCCTCCCTGAAAATATTTAAACACAGAGCTAGAAATCAGAGAAGACAGCAAGAGGAGCCCCATCTTCCACCAGGCGCCCCAAAACAATGATTTCCCTGAAAATAAGGCCAGGGTTAAAAAAATATATAAGACAGGGTCTTATTTTCGGGGAAACACGGGTGAAAGAAAAAAAATCCTGAAAGGGATAGAAAACTATTCTGATATGAAAATTGCTGCCTAATTGCTCACCTCTAATACTTGTTTCCAGTCATTTCTTCTCTGCTCAATGACTTTCCGGCAGATTTTGCCCATGGAAAAGATCTACTAAGATATGAAGAAAAGAAAAGAAAAAAAAAAGATGTAGTGGAAACATATTTGCCATGGTTAGCTATAAAGGAAAAGGCACTGAGTTTGTGGATTTTTTTTTTTCCTTTCAGGACCTGAAGAATTTGGCTGCTGAACACCCGCAAATTGTCATCATGGCCTTGGGTATGTGTTGCGAAAATCCCTTTGGTTCTTCTTTAGCTGAGAGGGAGAATAACTGAAATTAAGCAACACAGTAGATCATGCCAAGTAAGCAATAATTCCATACACCCACATCAGAGCAGATGAACATTGCCTTGCATTACAATTGGTACTTTATACAGTTTAGGCAAAATTCCACAAATGGATTCCAGAAGCAGCTCGATCTGCTACCAGACAAAGAAACAAGCATTCTGCTAGGCATATGCATTGGAATAGCAGTAATTTATGACTTTCTCTTCCATTTCTGTCAAAAACTTATATATGATATTGGCCGCAACTTTTGGGGTATTATTGGGAGGAACTCTCACCCAAAGCTGAGTTTAGTAGTTTGCATACCTAATAAGGGTGATGATCCACCAAGCTGCACCACTCAGCCTTTGGCTGAGAAAGGCTACTATGTGCAACATTGTACTAATTTACTAATAGAGCCGAGGTGACGTAGTGGTTAGAGCAGGGGTGAAAACCAGCAGGTTCTGGAGAACTGGTAGCGGAAATTTTGAGTAGTTCAGAGAACCGGCAAATGCCACCTCTGGCTGGCCCTAGAGTGGGGTGGGAATGGAGATTTTGCAATATATTAATAATTATTTTTAAATAAATAATTTTAGATTCTATTTAATTGGGCCAAACTATGTTATAATAATAATTTTAATTAGCAATTTTATGATGTTTGTGTATCTATATTTTTCTTGACTGTACACCGCCTTGAGTCCTACAGGAGAAAGGCGGTATAGAAATATAATAAATAAATAAATAAATAAATAAATAAATAAATAAATAAATAAATATCCTTCCCCCAGGAGTGGGGAGGGAACGGGGATTTTGCAGTATCCTTCCCCTGCCTTGCCCACCAAGCCACACCCACGAAGCCACACTATGCCCACCAAGCCACGCCCACAGAACCGGTAGTAAAAAAAAATTGGATTTCACCACTTTAGTTAGAGTGCAGTACTGCAGGCTACTTCAGCTGACTGCTAGCTGCAGCTCAGCAGATCGAATCTCACCGGCTCAAGGTTGACTCAGCCTTCCATCCTTCGGAGGTGGGTAAAATGAGGGCCCAGATTGTTGGGGGCAATATTCTGACTCTGTAAACCGCTTAGAGAGGGCTGTAAAAAAAGCACTGTGAAGCGGTATATAAGTCTAAGTGCTATTGCTAATAAAGGGTTGGACCTGTTTTTCAGCCATACAGTTCCATCTGAGTCACGTAACTGGCGGAACAACATTTCTGTATCACCTAATTAGGTGAATTGCAATTTAATAGGTTTTATGATATGCTAAGATATAAACCAGAGTTATAAACATTAATTAAATTCAGAAACACAACACAGTGGTGTTGTGGTCTTCCGTGTGCGCTTCAAAGTCTTGGTTACCAGCTTTAGAGCGCTCCATGGCTCAGGACCTGGGTACTTGCGGGAACCGCCTACCACCAATAGCCTCCCACTGGCCGGTACGCTCTCATAGAGAGGGGCTCTTCCGGGTGCCGTCAGCCAAACAATGTCGACTGGCAGCCCCCAGGGGGAGAGCCTTCTCTGTGGGGGCACCTACTATCTGGAATGAGCTCCCCCCGGAGATACGGAGGATCCCGGATCTACGCACCTTCCACCATGCTCTCAAGACCTTTTTATTCCATCAGGCTGGCCTGGCCTAACTGTTTCCCTTTTTTCCCTTTTTAAAACGTAAATTTTAATTCGTTTTTAATTTATTGGGGTGTTTTAAATCTGTCTTCGGCCAAATTGTTTAATTCGATTTTATTCAGTTTTAAATTTTGTATTTATGTTTTTTATCCTGTGGCTGTTCACCACCCTGAGTCCTTCGGGAGTAGGGCAGTATACAAATCAAATAAAACTAAATTAAAAAATTAAACAGAAACCTATCAATCATGCTGCTTTCCTACACGCTTTCTATTTCAGAGTGGGGTGGGAGCATGATTTCATAAATTATGGCTTCAGGTCAGAGGTTTTTGCCATCCATAGTTTAATAAAAGGCAGGAACTCAGGTACTGTCTTATCTTTATTGGCTTCCCAAAGAACATTGGCATGTTTCAAAAGCATAAGTAGGTGACAAGTCTCTACAATCTTGAGATTACTCTCACATGTTTCTACAGGAAAGTCATTTTATTATAACACAGACAAAAAAATAGAAAGAGCGGGCTCAGCAAAATGCAAGTATATTAAGGGGTGGGCTTCAAAATTTTTAGCAAGGGGTTCTCTGCCTGTTGCTGTGTGGGCGTGGCCATGGTGGATGTGGCCTAGTCGGCCTCCTGCACCACGGCAGGGAGGGGGCTTTTTGCCCTCCCCGGGCTCTAGAGGCTTTCCTCGAGCCTCCGGTGGGGCAAAAACGGCCTCCCTAGGCTCTGGAAGCTGGAAATAAGCCCGTTTCTCGCCTTTCCTAACTTCTGGTAGGCCTGTTTTTTGCCCTCTCCAAGCCTCCATACACACCCTGCACTTACTTGCATCCAAAACGGGCCGCGAGGGGACTCCTGGGGTAGGCAGGATGAGGTGGACGGGGCCAGCCAGGAGTGGGATTTGGGGGTTCTCCGAACTGCACAGAATCTTAGCTAGAGGTTCTCCCGAACCCCTGCAAATCCCAGCAGCCCACCCCTGAGTATATTTATTGGACAACTGTGCGGTATGCAAAGTTGGAGATGGAGTAACCTACACTTCTTTTTCCCATAGATGCGGATGATCCATCCAGCGTCAAGGCTGCCGCAGCCAAAGTCACAGAATGCGTAAAAGGGGCTGGATTGAACCTCCTGATTAATAATGCCGGGATTGCCAATGGGAGCACCTTGGAGACTGAAACTCCAGAGAGCATGGCTGAGACCTACAGAACCAATGTGATTGGGCCCATGATAGTTGTCCAGGTAAGGAAACTTTCTGGCCCTTTCCTCTTGGAGTAGAAAGGATATTTAGATGCAGACATTCCATACAACAAGTTTTGGCTTGTTTGGGGTTTGTTTGTTTTTTTCCCTCTGGATTAAGGAAGATGATGCTGAACTTTGTCCAGGGAATTCCCTGAAGAACTTTGATCCCCACTCTCCCTCTCTGCTCAACCACCCCCTCCCCCGATTCATGGTTTTAAGAATGAATCCTGAGCTCCCTGAACTCCTTGAAGAATAGGATATCGGGACCTGAATAGAAATATTGCCCAGTAGCTGCTCAGATTATGATAGACTACGGATATAAAATCAGTGGTGGGATTCAAATAATTTAACAACCGGTTCTCTGCCCTAATGACCAGCTGGGTAGGTGTGGTTTAGTGGTCATGTGACCGTATGGCCGTGGCCAACTCAAGATCACTCATGTTGATGGGCGCTTCGCCTTAGCTGTTACAATGTAATAAGGGTTAACCAGAGAGGCAGTTTCTGTAAGCAGGGTAATAAAGAATAGGCTAGAAACACCAGCAGAATGTTCCCTTCCTGCCTTCCTTACAGGATTAGCCCTGTAAAGTGGAAAAGAACAAAATAAGATTTCTTCCAACAATCGGTTTGCTGAACTCCTTAGAAACTTAACAACCAGTTCTCCCAAATAGTTGTGAATTGGCTGAATCCCACCACTGTATAAGATGGAAAAATTGTGTTGATTGAAAGAGGGATGCAGTGGGTTCCATTTGGTTAGACTAAAGGACAATTCTGACATTTTCCAGTAAGTTATTGGCAAATCTTTGGGGTCTTTTGGGGGGAATTTTTATTGATTGGGAGATGTCCCAACCCTCCTGCCACAAAGAGGAGGGGGTCAAATTATTCTCTAAAGCTCCAGAGGCAGGACAAGAAACAATGGTTGGAAACTGATCAAACAGAGAAGCAACCTGGAATTAAGGAGAAACTTCCTAACAGTGAGGACAATTAACCGGTGGAACAGCTTGCCTTCAGAAATCATGGGAACTCCATCACTGGAGGTTTTTAAGAAGAGACTGGACAGTCACTTGTCTGAAATGGTATAGGTTCTCCTGCTTGAGCAGGGGGCTGGACTAGAAGACCTCCAAGGTCCTATTCTATTCTATTCTATTCTGTACTGTACTATACTATACTATACTATACTATACTATACTATACTATACTATACTATACTATACTATACTATACTATTGTTCTGTTCTGTTCTGTTCTACTCTACTCTACTCTACTCTACTCTACTCTACTCTACTCTACTCTACTCTACTCTTTACAGAAGTTTTGATTGCCCTTCATTTGTTCCTTTCATCCTCCAGGTGTTCATTCCTTTGCTGAGGAAAGCAGCCAAAGGAAGTTCCCTGAAAGGCATGAGCTGCAGCAAAGCAGCCATCGTCAACATTTCCAGTGAAGGAGGTTCCATCACAAATGTCCTTGAATGGCAACGGGGCCACATCATTGCTTATCGCTGTAGTAAGGTACCGATGAACCCATGATCAGAGAACGTAAGGGTGAATTCTGTTGTTATCACAAGTAGGAGAAGAGCACATTTGAATGGTCTGGCACCCTTGAGAACTTCGACGAAGCATTCATTGATCTTCCTCTTCCCTCTCTTCCTCACAGTGTGCTCTGAATATGCTCTCTAAATGCCAGTCCTTACATCTTGCCAAAGATGAGATTTTGTGTGTTGCGTTGCATCCTGGATGGGTACGGACTGACATGGGAAATTTATTGGTAAGCAAATTGGAAAGAAAAAAAAAAAGAACTCTGAATTTTATACAGTGGAAACAAACACAGACCAAATTATCTGTACTAGAAATGGAATGTTTCAAAAAAAAAAACCATCGGCCATGCTGAATCTTTTCATGGATCTTGGCATACCAGAGATGATGGTGCAGCAGTTTTTCTAAACAATTTCAGGAAGTAGCGCTTGGATTTTTCTTGAGAGTTTCATCTGAAATCAGACTTTGTATGAAATAATATATACCAAATACCATGAAACTCTTCCCACTTGATAGATTAGAATTCTAGAAACAGCCAGATGCAGTGGTGGGTTTAAAAAATGTTTACTACCGGTTCTGTAGTACCGGTACAGTACCAAGTGGCTTGGTGGTGGGTATGGCATGGCTTGGTGGGTGTGGCAGGGGAAGGCTACTATAAAATCTCCATTCCCTTCCTATTAGCTGGCAGAGAATAGATGGGGGCGGGCGGGCAGTCAGAGGTGGTATTTACCGGTTCTCCGAACTACTCAAAATTTCTGCTACCGGTTCTCCAGAACTGGTCAGAACCTGCTGAAACCCACCTCTGGCCAGATGGTCCCTGGAATCTTGTGGTCCCACAGGAGGTTTCAGTATGATCCTGAAGAAATTTGAACATTTCTGTGATCTCCAGAATATTACATTTCAGGATCAACTTTTCTACATCACTATCAGTGAATTTATGCTAGCTGCTGTTGGATAGGGTTTTTAAAATTACAGTGGTACTCATCCTTAATTGCTTCCAGGAGGTGCGGTGAATACCAAAAACAATGAGTACCAGACTATTTTTTCCTATAAGGAATAATGTAACGAGTCAATAATTTTGTGATAATTTAAAAAAAATTAAACAGGACTCTCCTTTCCCCGATTTCACTTCAGCAAGACTTGTTCTTTGATATAATTTCTTGTCTAGTAACATTTTCTTGCTGATACAGCTTGGAACTGTACCATATTAAACTATTGCCTTGAATTCTCTCAGTCGATTACTAGTTACTAGGCCAGGGGTCAACAATCTGCGGCTCTGGAGCCGCATGTGGCTCTTTCACCCCTCTGCTGCGGCTCCCTGTCACTCAAAATATGCATCACAACCGCCAATGTGCGACACCTGCCGGCACGCGATTTATTGAGGTTTTCAACCCCTGGTAGGCCAACCATAGATAAATCCAAGAAAAGAAAAGTTTCAGAAGAAAACAGAACGTTTTCTACATATGCTAGTTTTGTGGGTGCTCAAGAAATAGTCAGGCACAGGAAAGGTTTTGTGGCTCCCGGTGTTTTCTTTTCTGTGGGAAACGGGTCCAAACGGCTGTTTGAGTGTTTAAGATTGCAGACCCCTGGACTAAGCCTTTAGGCTATTTTCATCAACTTCTTTCATCTCTTGCCTGTTTTTTTTTTTTTCAGGGAACAGCCCCAATGACACTGGAGCAGAGTTTGCGAGCTATTCTGAACACCCTTGGCCATCTCTCTGAGAAAAATACCGGCACATTTATTAACTGGGAAGGGAATCTTGTGCCCTTGTGAGACAACAAAGATTCTGCTTCTCTGCACTGAAAGATAACTTTCTCATCAAAGGCAATGCAGATTTCTATCTTCAGTGCTCATTATCTCCTGCTCTGCTTCGTCTGCTCCAACTCTCCCTTGCTTCAGGTAATGACTGGTGCCTATAAAATGTTGCTCAGGCAGGCTCTTTCAAACTGCAGATCCCAATGATATGTCTGAATTACTTCTAGGGATCACTGGCAGCGGTTGCAAAACAGCCATTTCGTAATAGAGAATTTTCTTTCCAGATGTCTAGAATCTAAAGCATACATTTAAGAGATGCCTACATTGAAGAGGATGACTTTTTCCCTCAATACCACATCCGGGGATGCGAGTCTAGACATGGCCTGTACTTCTTTTGCAAAAAGGCCATCTGGAACATTTTATACTTCCAATATATTAATCTATTTTTTTTAAAGGCTGTTACACATGAAATAAAACTGATTAAAAATCTGTTTTGTTAATGATATATATTTTTTTTAATTTGATTTATATGCCGCCCTTCTGCGGAGACTCAGGGCAGCTTACAATGCGCTAAGCAATAGCCTTCATCCTTTTGTATATTTATACAAAGTCAGCTTATTGCCCCCACAATCTGGGTCCTCATTTCACCTACCTTAGAAAGGATGGAAGGCTGAGTCAACCTTGAGCCTGGCGAGATTCGAACCTGCAGTAATTGCAGGCAGCTGGTCTTAATAACAGGGTGCTTTAGACCACCGTACTACCAAGGCTCTGTATTCATTCAATTCATTAGTAGTATTGGCCAAGAAAGGAAGCTATGTGTGGTGCTCTTGAACTTTCAGAAACTCACAAAGGATTTGTTGGAGGTCCCCATAAAAAGTCTGAGATTTATAATCGATGATCTATGAATTTCTGACGAATCTGATTCTTTTCTCAATTTCCTCAGTTCATTGCACAGATGGAAGGAATTTTTTTAAAAAAAAAACTTCTCTTCTTGAATAAAGAAGCCAATTGTTCTACCATTTCCCCCACTCGGGAGTATCTGGAAGAAACTAGCTAGAGAAGACTCTCGCTTTTGGTCAGTGGAGACATTGCTTCGTCTTGATTGGGAATCTCATTTTCTTTTAAGTGAATGAGCTTCAATTGACTTTTACCAGAGGTTTTGGCAATATTGCTGAGCCTGAGGTTTTCATGCCTCATGCATTTTATCCAGTGGTTAAATCCAATTTTTTTTTACTACCTGTTCTGTGGGTGTGGCAGGGGAAGGATACTGCAAAATCTCCATTCCCTCTCCTCTCCAGGGGAAGGGTACTGCAAAATCCCCATTCCCACCCCACTCCTGGGGGAAAGATATTGCAAAATCCCCATTCCCACCCCACTCTGGGGCCAGCCAGAGGTGGTATTTGCTGGTTCTCCGAACTACTCAAAACTTCTGCTACCGGTTCTTCGAACTGCTCAAAATTTCCGCTACCGGTTCTCCAGAACCTGTCAGAACCTGCTGGATTTCACCCCTGATTTTATCAGGATGGCACAGATATCTTGTCTCGTTCTCGTATAACATCACTTTCCATTTTGTTCCCTTCTTTGGCTCCCCCAGGCTGAGAATACCATTATGTCACTTGAATATTTTGAAGGAGAGTGAGTGAGATGTGTGTGAGTTACACCCAATCATTTAGTGACTGTTTGAAGTTAGGACGACACTGAAAGATGTGATTTATGACCATTTCCCACACTTAATGGGAAATGTTGCAGCATTCCTATGGTCATGTGATCAAAATTCAGACTCTTGGAAACTGGAACGTACTGAAGACAGTTGCAATGTCCATGAATCCTTTTTGTGACCATCTGACAAGCAAAGTGAATCGGGAAGCCAGGTGCCCTTTACAGCTGTGTTACTGACTTAATAACTGCAGTGATTCAACTGTGGCAAGAATGGTCATAAAAAGGGGCAAAACGTAACAACTGTCTCACTTAGCAATGGAAATTTGGGGTTCAATTGAGGTCACAAGTAGAGGACTACCTGCATACCAGTATAATCGGAAGGGTTTAGCACCCTTCAGATAAAAGAGGTTAAAAAGAGGCATACTGGACAAATAGAGAATGTCCAAGGGAACATCTTGATAATTTTTTTTTTTTACATACTCAGTAAATGCCCACAATGTTAATTACACAAATGTGTATTTATTTACTCTTGCAGGTTCTATGAAGTTTCACAGAGTAAAACTTTTTGTTCCTTCAAAAAAAAAGTGTATCAGTCATACTAAAGAGCAACACGATCACTGGCACATTGAGTGTTTGACTTCATAAACTGTTGGTGTAAGCTGACATGGTACTCACAGTATCAGATATACCCTTCCAAATCTGAATACATCATTGGTTTTAGCTCTATGTGCCTATGCCTGCTCTGAATGCGTAGATATGTTTGAGTTGATCTTCCATCCTTTTGAGCTTCTAGAAATAGAGATGAAAAGAGGTGAATCAAGAATCACTTTGCGGTGGGCCAAGGGAACTTAAAAGATACTTTAAAAAAAAACATGCTCAGGCACTTTGGATGCAGAGGATCTTATAAATTCTATCTAGTTTTAATTTTCACCTCGCCTCAATCAGCCTACATGAAGTTGTGAACACACGTTCTGAGCTTTCCTAAGGCGGAAGAAGAATGCTGCTTTAGGCTGATTAACTGGTTACGGACTGACAATAACTTTTGAGAACGTCTAAAGTTGGCATCTACCAGGACCATCTCTAAGAAGAGGGCCGAAGACATAATGTTATGGTGATTCTGGCAACTTCTTGCCAGAAGGTTTCAACAGTATTTTTGCGCTGGCTTTTCTGTAATCCCTGCCTAACGGATGAGAAAAAGCTTGTCTTGGGGTACATTAATGACCTTATAGGATAACTTTATGAAATAAGTGGTATGTGTTCAGTTCAGTGTGGGAGTTTCAAAGTTGACACTGCAAAAAAACAACAACAAACAAACCACCACAAGTCATTGTGATTTTTTTTTAAAAAAAATTATAAACTTTATTAACAAATAAATAAAACACGCACAAAACATATATAACAAAGCACAACAAAAAAAAGTACATTATACAATAAAACAATTATATATATTCAATCATTTGAAGCGTCTGTTTCGTAGTGATGTATCCAATTACACAGTTATACATATTCCCATAAATCTTAACTCACTGATTCCTTTTTACCTCTTTATCCTCTCCTCTCTTCTACTCTCTAAGACTTCTTTTTTTTTATTCTGTATATTACCTTCACTTTCTGAGATTCTCTCTAAATGTTTTACCGCCCATAAGGAGGTGGTTACACACAAGGAATTTGTCTTGGTGCATATGCTCTCAGTGTACATAAAAGATACGTTCATCAAGAATCATAAGGTACAACACTTAATGATAGTCATAGGGTACAAATAAACAATCAGGAAACAATATCAATATAAATCGTAAGGATACCAGCAACAAAGTTACAGTCATACAGCCATAAGTGGGAGGAGATGAGTGGTGGGAACGATGAGAAGATTAATAGTAGTGCAGACTTAGTGAATAGTTTGACAGTGTTGAGGAATTATTTGTTTAGCAGAGTGATGGCGTTCGGGAAAAAACTGTTCTTGTGTCTAGTTGTCTTGGTGTGCAGTGCTCTATAGCGTCTTTTGAGGGTAGGAGTTGAAACAATTTATGTCCAGGATGTGAGGGGGTCTGTAAATATTTTCACAGCCCTCTTTTTGACTCGTGCAGTATACAGGTCCTCAAGGGAAGGCAGGTTGGTAGCCATTGTTTTTTCTGCAGTTCTAATTATCCTCTGAAGTCTGTGTCTGTCTTGTTTCCATCTGTTGCTTCTTGTCCTGCCCTCAGGCGCTTTGGAGAATAGCTTGACTCCCACTTCTTTGTGGCAGTGTTCATCTTGTATTTGTTTTTTTTCAGTTTTGATCCTAATTATCTTTCCCCCCCCTTCTTCCTAATCCTGTTGGCCAAGACTTCCAGTGCAATTACAAAGAGCAATGGAAAGAGTAGACACCCTTGCTTGAGGCTTTGCTAATTGAAAAGCTCGCAGAAAACGTTTGGCTTTGATTGCCGGTATCTGAATAGGAACTCGGCATGTTCCAACATTTGTTAAACATAATGAGCAAATGGGCACTGTAGATTTCTAATCTTTCAAATGATTTTTTTTAAAAAAAAATAGTTTCATGATATCAAATTAACAGAAACCTTAGTCCTTCACTTATGACCACAATTGAGCCCCAAATTGCTGTTGCTTAGTGTGAATTTTGTGTGAATTTCGCCCCATTTTTTTTTTGCCCCATTTGTTAAGTCAATCAGGGCAGTTGCTAAGTTAGGAACACGGTTGTTAAATGAATCTGACGTCCCCATTGACGTTGCTTGTCAGAAGATGAAAAAAGATGATCACACACCAGAGTTAGAAATATGATTCAGTGGCTCAACGTCTGAATTTTGATGACGTGACCATGGGGATACTGCATGGGGTGTAAGTATGAAAAATGGCCATAAGTCACTTTTTTCAGTGTCGTTACAACTTTGAATGTCACTAAATGAACTGTTGTAAGCTGAGGACTACATGTATGTGATTTACCCATGTAAATTGTGTGATGTAACAGTTTATATGGGTAAAATAAAAGAAAAAATAAAGAAAAGAAAAATATGAAGTTAGAGGAAATAGTAAATGATAACGTGGATAAGATAAGCAGCCTTTTTCATGACCTGAGGGAGATGAAGAGAAAGTGGTTTGGATGAAGACAAAAACAGAATTTTAATTAATTTAGTTAGATTTTAAAATATTACCCTGATGATGTCCTCTAAACTTCCCTGTTTTGTTTCTCTCAAAATTACATGTTATCAGCAAATTTTGGAGGGTTAAGTCTCAGCAAACAAATCTGATTTTAAGCCCTTTTGCAAAGTTTCATAAAGTTTGAAATATTTTATTTCATATTATGTATTATCCATTAATTAAATGTCCATTGTTGTTCTATTGGAGAAGGATGATTAAGATACAAAAAGACGTACTAAAAAGAAAGCGCTGAAAAATGTTTTCATTAACCGTTATTAACTATATTATTTAGCTATCGGTTTATATGAAATACCTATATAACGCTTGTCATTTATAAGCATAATTAACATTCATTGGATTACAATAAAATGCAACATAATAAAATAGACCATACAACAGAAATCAAAATTAATTTGGCCATTCTATCTTGGGCTCTTAAATGTAACCTTTACTGTAGGTGAATTTAGCAAGTATTCAAATTATTTCCAAGGAGCTATAATGGTTATGGAGATTCTCAATCATCCAAATCATGACTGTTGCAAAGGCCCTTTTTCCAAAAGGCAACTAGACTTTCTTGGACTTTTTCTTTGAAAATATTTTGCTTCTCATCCAAGAAGCTCCTCATCCAAGAACTGAAGAAAGTTCTTGGATGAGAAGTGCAACATTTTCAAAGGAAAACACCCAAAAAAGGCCAGTGGCCTTTTGGAGAAAAACACTTTGGGAACGAGGAGCTATAATTTTGCAAGTTCTATCAAAATCACAACTTGCTTTTTGATTACAACGCCAACTTTGATACTCCCACACTAAATTGAATAATCCGATTAAGTTAAAGGTCACCACACACATTGGAAGAGAGAGTCATCCAAGAAAGAATGAGTTAACCCCTTTGCTTCTATGATGTTTCAGAATAGCCCCAGACAAACCTTTTCTCCTCTTGGGCAGGTTACCGCTAGAGCCAATCCCCAAGAAATCACCAACAACATCATGTCTTTAGCCCAACTCCCAGAAGATAGCCTTGGTAGACATCATACTCAACATATGCCAAAATTACTATGAGGCAGTGACCCCAACACAGCAGTTGTCTTCTGGCTCCCAATAGTGCCTTAGAGAAGCTCAGAAAAGATGTGTACAACTGCGTGCCCCTAAGATGCCCCAGGATGATCGAGGCCATGTGAAAATTAATTTAAGAACAAATCTGCATCCACGTTTTCTTCACTTAGCTTAGACACGTTTTCTTCACTTAGCTTAGACACGTTTTCTTCACTTAGCTTAGGTTCCCGCAGGCACACCCAGAATGGTTTTTCTTTCACCTCTTTCCACCTCTTCTTCTATAAGCTGAAAAGATGAAGATCAACTCAGACATTTCTAAGCCTCCCCAGCAGGTATGGTCACATGGAACTAAAACCAAGCATGTGTTCATATTTGACAGGGCATGCTTGAAATCTGCCTTGATCTCTTTCAGAGAGATGGGCAAGTGTGTTCAGAATAGCTTGCAAGCTGGGCTCCATTGTCAGTCTGCCAGCAACTCTTAGCAATGAGGTAGATTTTCTCCTTGATGATCTGTCCACAGTCCGATCCTTTCAGGTCTTCCAACAATGTATTCTCTGACAATGTAACTGAGTCCATCCACTTGGCTGCTAGTCATCCTCTTCTCTCTCCTTCTACCTTTCCCAGAATTAAAGCTTTGTCTAGAAAGCTAGATTTTTGTGTAAAGTAAGATAATTTGACCCTGGACACGTAGCCCTTTTTTGCATATTTGAATGGACAACCATTTGTCCAGAATGGTATAGGGCCGTGATGACGAACCTATGGCATGCATGCCGGAAGTGGCATACAGAGCCATGTCGCCTGGCATGTGTGGTGTTGCCCATCCCCCTTCTGGGTTTCTGGTGCATGCATGTGCGCTGGCATGTGCGTATAAGGATCAGCTGGCCTTCACACGTGCGGCAGTGTCAGAAAACAGAAGATCAGCTGGTCAGCTGATCGTCACACACACACACACACACACAAAACTTTTCTATTTCAGCAAGCTGGCCTGGCCTAACTCCCATTTTTTAAATTTTTTAAATTTTTTAATTTGTGATTTTATAAATTGGGTGTTTTAATCTGTGTTTCGGCCGAAATATTTAATAATTTTAAGGGATTTTTTAAATATTTGTATTATCTGTATTTTATCTTGGCTGTTCACTGCCCTGAGTCCTTTGGGAGTAGGGCGGTATAGAAATTTGATTAATAAATAAATAAATAAACATATGTGCCAGTAACCAGAAGACTAGCTGTCTGGTGCACATGCGTGTGCCGGAAACCGGAAGTTCATTTTCCAATGCACGCATGCCCACTGGGCAGCTCCTCTTAGTGCATGTATGCACTGGCTATGCCGTCGACACCTGCATGCAACTCCCTTGCCAGCCAGGAGTGCTGCCGCCAGTCGTTCCCAAGCACCCGCCTGCCTGCCTCACCACCACCGCTACCGCCAGGAATGATTCCAAAGCTGCGCTGCCCAGGATCCAGGTGGGCTGCTGCAGGGGGAGACCAGGTATGGTTGGCATGGCTGGATGCTGCCCGGAGTGCGAGGCTGGCAGGAGGAGGAGGAGCCGCCGCTGCTTCTGCAAAGAGGCAGCAGTGGCAGGCCTTTCGTGCCAACAGAGGTTGGTGCAGGAGGCTTTCCAGGTCCAAAACGGGATGAGGGGGCTGGGTGCATATGCAGGGGTACATGCAGCATGGTGTGGGGTGCATGTGTGGGGGGCAGGCATGCACAGGGGGCGTGCATTGCATTATGGGTGCCGACGCGCGGGCACTTTTGACACACGACAACAAAAAGGTTAGCCATCACTGTCCTAAGAGATGGGTGGGTGTTAACTTCCTTCAACACACAAAAACTCATGGTTGTAGGGGGCCGCAGTGACTCACGTGGTAAGACACTGAGCCTGTGCTCCACTGAAGTCAGCAGGTGGATGGATTTGCCAATTGGTTTGAAAGCTTTTCTTTAGTGCAGATAAAGAAATAAAAGAATGTTTAGGTTGAAAATAGCAAGAGGAACAACTACTTAGAAAACAAAATCCCTGCTACAAGACCTGACAGAACTCTGTAGGTGTTGGCCAAATCCCTCTTTTCTTATTTCTTTCAGAAGTTGTATTGTCTTTCTGACACAGCAGCCAACCAATTTATATAACATGGGAGGAGGGACAGAGAAAGAAGTGAGTTGCGACAAAATTTAAGGAAGTACAGGAAGTTGTTTCTTGGTTAGCCTGGACTGTCAAGAGAGATGGAACAACTGAATCCACAGAGCGTTCTGGTGACCGGTTCCAATCGGGGACTTGGCTTGGAGCTGGTCAGGCAGCTGGTACAGAAGAGTAACCCCCCAAAATGGATCTTTGCCACTTGCCGGGACCCGGCTGGACCCCGTGCTCAGGTAAGTCACATATTAAAATCAGTAGCCATCAGCTTGAGGACCTTAAGCTCTGTGTGGAAAGATTTATTTTTTCTTTAAGGGCAATTCAATTATCTCCTAGCTTAGGGATGGGAAACGATGGCCCTTTTATGACTTGTGGACTTCGAAATCCCAAAATTCCTGAGTCTGCCCTACTGGTTCAGAAGTTTTAGGAGTTGGAAGTCCACCAGTTATAAAGGAGCCATGGTTTACCCACCTCGGTCCTAGCTAGTGATGGTGCAGGCGTGATTGAGTCAGACAAGATGGAGGTAAAAGAAACATAAGACTTTGTTAAACGAAGACTGTTTATATTTCAAAAAAAATAACGATGCTTTTCTTTGCAGAATAGAGTCAGCAGGAGCCTTTACGATTATATAAATTTAAACAATTATATAAATCTTACGATTTATATTGATATTGTTTCCTGATTGCCAATTTGTACCCTATGACTATCATTAAGTGTTGTACCTTATGATTCTTGACGAATGTATCTTTTCTTTTATGTACACTGAGAGCATATGCACCAAGACAAATTCCTTGTGTGTCCAATCACACTTGGCCAATAAAAAAGTCTATTCTATTCTATTTTATTTGTTGTTGTTGTTGTTTATGCAGGGCACTTTTCTAAAGTTGTATTGATGCTGTGCTTTCAGACCTAAGCGAGAGTGACACCCATATTCTCTCCTTATTTTTTCTTCTTATCCCTTTTCCAATCAGCCATTTGCAGAATGTGCTTCTACAGCCTCAGGAGCTTTTTTCAGGACCATTTTAAGACTATCCCACTATTCTTCTCCCCCCCCATGTTTTATTTATTTTATTGATAATACTTTTCATCTCCATCGATTAGTACAGTTATACAGGGTACAGTTATTTGAAAATTCATAGTTCACATACTTGTTGTTGTATTCATTACAATAACATTAATAATATAACTCTATATTAAGATAATTTACAATAGTACATAACATCATCATCATAAACTTTTCTCCATAGTAACATTTTCTCTTCTTATATCTCCTCTTTCCTAACTTCTGTTTCTGTTCTCTAGCCATTGATAAAATACATCCCATGTCAGAAAATATTCAGTTTCTTCTCTGTTCTTAATAATAAGTGTTAATCTGTCCATTTCTACGCATTCCATTATCTTCTGAATCACCCTCTCATCTGACAGGATCTCCTCACACTTCTATTGTTGCTCAAAAACAATCCTAGCCGCAGTCAGTACATGTAAAATCAAATATGTAGTCTTTTTGTCGTATTTTTCCAGTAGGATGCCCAACAAAAATGTCTCTGGTCTGAGTTCAAAAGGCTTCTTTGTCATTTTTTCCAGCCAGATATGTATTTTCGACCAATATTTTTTAGTTTTGGGACATGCCCACCACATGTGGTAGTATGAACCCGGTGTTTGGTTACATTTCCAACATTTGGCTGATCTGTCTGATCTTATACATTTTAGCCAACCTTGCCGGTGTGAAGTGCCATCTATAAAACATTTTATACAGATTTTCTTTATATGCGTCCCACTATTCTTGAACTTCCTTTAAGGAAAGTGATTATTTTTTAGTTCTTCACCCACTTCTGAGCCTTTGGGAAACAGTGGACAATATTACCAGAGTTGCTCTCAAGAAGGGCTTCCCTGAGGTCTTAAGCTCATGCTTGTATCACAAGCAGTTTTACCAGGGGTGAAATCTACTTTCCTTCCCTACTGGTTCAGAAGTGCGCGCTCCGTGTCGTGTGCGATTTTGGACCCTCCGCACATGCACAAAGACTTTGTGCATGCGCAGAAGGTAAAAAAAGGTTACTTCCTGGTTAAAACCAGGAAGTAATGACGACTGGTTGGGTGGGCGGAGCCTCGCACTGCCGCTGCTACCAGTTCTCCAAACCACCTGCCGCTACCGGTTTGATCGAACCAGTCCGAACCGGTAGCATTTCACCCCTAAGTTTTACCTGCTCTATTTCTTTCTGTTCAGCTCTTCCTCAATTTGCCTTCAAATTTTCTAAGCATCAGACTCATTTTATTCCTTAAATTTTCCTCATTTCAGCAAGCAAAGTGTTATCACCAGCATGAAACTACTGGTGTTTCTTATAGCCTCACCTAGCCTCTCTTATGATATTTTCTTCAGATAAATGGTTTGCTAGTCTCTATATTCTTTAGCACGGGTCGTGTTTTGGCATCTATGGTATCCTTGGGTTGATACAATCCTCTTCACAATTTCAAGAAGAAGAAAAAAATCCCTGAAGGGGATAGAAAACTATTCTAACATGAAATCTGCTGACTAATCACCCACACTGCAGTTTCCACTAATTTCCTCTTCCTCACTGACTTTCCTCCAGATTTTGCACATACGAAGATGTGGTAAGATATGAAAAAAAGAAGTTGCAGAAACACATTTGCAGAAGTTAGCTATCAAGGAAAAGGCACTAAGTTTGTGGTTTTTTCCCCCCCTTTCAGGACCTGAAGAATTTGGCTGCTGAACACCCGCAAATTGTCATCATTGCATTGGGTATGTGCCCTGAAAATCTCTTTGGTTCTTCATTATGTGTGTCCAATCACACTTGGCCAATAAAGAATATTCTATATTCTATTAGCTGGGAGATTAAAGAATTGAAAGGCATTGATTCCATGCACCCACATCATAGCTGATGAACATTGTCCGGTATTCTAATAGGATATCTAGCCTGAATTCCAAAACCAGACAAAGAAACATCCTGCTTGGTAGATGCATTGGAAGTATACCGTGTTTCCCCAAAAATAAGACTCTGTCTTATATTTTTTTGAACCCTGAAATAAGCGCTTGGCCTTGTTGCCATGCGCTCAAAAGCCCGATTGGGCTTATTATCAGGGGATGTCTTATTTTGGGGGAAACAGGGTAATATCCCACATTGTTGCATTCTGTATCAGAACAACACAGAGTGCACTTACCAAAACAAATAAATATATCTTAAATACGTCATGGCTTCACACAATGCTTTATCCCATCTGTACTTTAATGAAACAATTGAGCTAAGATATTGTTTTGGTTTTGTGAAGAAACCCTGCACGTTTCAAAACCATCGGTTGGACTACATGCAAGGGTGAAATGCTCCCGGTTCGGACCGGATCAGGTGATCCGGTAGTGATTGTGGCAGGTGGTTCGGAGAACCGGTAGCGATGGCGGTGTGAGGCTCCGCCCACCCACCCGGGTGTCATTACTTCCTGCTTTTAAAAGGTTAAAAAAAAGGCTCTGACGACCACGCGCCATAGCTGTGATCGCACAGCCTTTTATTTAACCTTTTAAAAGCATTTTTTACAACCTATTCGCCCGAATAGGTTGTAAAAAAATGCTTTAAAAAGTAAAAAAAAAAGTTGGCCACACCCACCCAGTCACATTTTTTTTTAATTTGATTTATATGCCGCCCTTCTCCGGAGACTCAGGGTGGTTTACAAGGCGTTAAGCAATAGCCTTCATACTTTTGTATATTTATACAAAGTCAGCTTATTGCCCCCACAAACTGGGTCCTCATTTCACCTACCTTAGAAAGGATGGAAGGCTGAGTCAACCTTGAGCCTGGAAAGATTTGAACCTGCAGAAATTGCAGGCAGCTGTGTTAATAACAGGGTGCATTAAACCACTGTACTACTTACCCCACCACCACCAAGCCACACCCACAGAACCGGTAATAACAAATTTTACATTTCACCACTGACTATATGCCTCTACAATCTTAAGACTAATGTAATTTTGTTAAAAAAAAGAAAGAAAGAAAGAAAGAAAGAAAGAAAGAAAGAAAGAAAGAAAGAAAGAAAGGAAAAATGTAATATGCACAAAATACAGAATACATTTATTTGACTATAGTTCGGTATGCAAAGCTGGATACCCAATAACACACACATTTATTTCCCACTGTAGACACGGACGATCCATCCAGTGTCAAGGCTGCCGCAGCCAAAGTTACAGCATGCCTGAATGGAGCTGGATTGAACCTCCTGATTAATAATGCAGGGATTCTCAATGTGAGCAGTTTGGAGACTGAAACACCTGAGAACATGGCTGAAACCTACAAAACCAATGTGATTGGGCCTATGGTAGTTGTCCAGGTAAGGGAACCTCGTGGTCCTTTCCCCTTTGAGATGAAAGAATGTTTAGAGGCAGCCTTCCGTATAACAATATTCATAGACTGGAATAGGCATAGCAACAGGTCAGCCAATGGGAACTGTTTGGATAGACATGGCAACAGGTCAGCCAATGGGGAGTGTTTGGATAGACATGGTAACAGGTCAGCCAATAGGGACTGTTTGGATAGACATGGCAACAGGTCAGCCAATGGGAACTGTTTGGATAGACATGGTAACAGGTCAGCCAATGGGGACTGTTTGAATAGACATGGCAACAGGTCAGCCAATGGGGACTGTTTGATAGACATGGCAACAGGTCAGCCAATGGGACTGTTTGAATAGACATGGCAACAGGTCAGCCAATGGGGACTGTTTGGATAGACAAGGTAAACAGGTCAGCCAATGGGGACTGTTTGGATAGACAAGGTAACAGGTCAGCCAATGGGGACTGTTTGGGAAACTGAAACATAGTATTTTTTTTATATTTTTTTGAAAATTTTTTATTTTTAAACAAAACTTAAAACATAAAACAATTGTCATCCATTACAATTACAGAAAGTGTATTGATCGGTTACGAATCTTTTGTGCTTAATCCTCTATCCCACATTTTTTTATTTAACAGTTTATTACATTATTATTCTCCTTTACCAATTATTTAACAGTAAATTATCCTCTATAAGGGGGGAAAAAACCCTTTATATATTTTATTACCTTATCCATTTCATTTCATATTTCATTTCCATTCTTTCTTGTCTAACCATTGATAAAATAAATCCCATATCAAATAATATTGTTTATCTTCTTGTTCCCTAATTTCAAATGTCAATTTACTCATTTCAGCACACTCCAAAATTTTCTTGATAACGTTGTCATCCGTGGGTATCTTCTCACCTTTCCAGTTTCTAGCAAATACAATTCTAGCTGCCGTTAAAACATTCACAATTAAATATCTCATTTCTCTATTATATATTTCTGGTAAAATCCCCAATAAAAATATCTCTGGTTTAAAGTCAATATGTGAAACATAGCATTCGTTTGTATGGGGCCGTAAGAGACAGTTTGGAGTCTGGGCGTGGCTTAGACTTGCTGAACTGTATATAAGAGTTGGTTTGGCCTCTGTAATGGCTGCCTCTGTACAATATATTAGCCTCTGTATCTCTCTACAAAGAGATACGTCCACGCCTTGCCTCTCTGCTCAAATAATCCCCTTGCAGATTTGTGGCTTTAAGAATGGATTCTGAACTCTTTGAACTCTTTCAGAATGGGATATCAAGACCTGAATAAAAATTTTGCCCCGCTAGCCAAGCAGACTATAATAAGACTGGATAGACTATGAATATATTATGGACGACAATTGTGCAGATTTGAACAGGGGTGTGTTTAATGGGTTCAATCTGATTAGACTACAGCACAATCCTGAAATTTCCTGATGAACAATTGGTAAATCTTTAGGGCCCTGGTGGCAAACCCATGGCAAGTGTGCCAGAGGTGGCTCACAGAGCCCTCTCTGTGGGCACATGTGCTGTCACCCCAGCCTAGCTCCATCGGGTTTCTCCAGGGTAGGGGGGGGGAAGAGAGAGAGAGAAAGGGAGAGAGGGAGGGAAAGAGAGAAAGAGACAGAGAAAGAGAGAAAAACAGAGAAAGAAAGAGAGAGGGGATGAAGAAAGAGAGGGGGAGGGAAAGAGAAATGGTATTACAAAACTTTTTCTTTTTTATTGTTGCTAAACGTAACATTTCAAAAGGAGAAAAAAAATGAAGGGGCATAAAAGTGCAATTTATCAAGTTCTTCTTAGAACAATTAGCTGAACTCTGCCTTGTTTATCATTATTTTAGGTAGTAAAACCTCAGTATTCAGGTTAAATTGCCGTGTTGGCACTTTGCGATAAATAAATGGGTTTTGGGTTGAAGTTTGGGCCCTTGGTCTCTAAAAGATTCGCCATCACTGCTTTAGGGCCTCTACATTGGGAATGGAAAATCCCAACCCTCCTTACAAAAGGTTTGACTGGCCTTCATTTGTTCCTTTCATCCTCCAGGTGTTCCTTCCTTTGCTGAGGAAAGCAGCTCAAGAAAGTCCCCTGAAAGGCATGAGCTGCAGCAAAGCAGCCATCGTCAACATTTCTAGTGAAGGAGGTTCCATCACAAATGTCCTTGAATGGCAGAAAGGCCACGTCATTGCTTATCGCTGTAGTAAGGTACAGATGAACCCATGATCAGAGAATGCCAATTCTGTTGTTATCATAAGTAGGAGAAGGAGAGTATGCTTGAATTTTATATCCATCTTCCCACCATAACTGTTAAGTGTTGTTTCATCAGAAGCGTCTACCGAGAATTAATCACTTGCTGTCTTAATGATGCTGAATATGGTTAGCACAAGCCATTGGAAACCAGGCGGATTTCTGTTTTGGAGTGTTGCAGCAAACTGGATACCATGTCCATTGAGTTTCACCTTAGAGCAATGTTTCTCAACCTTGACAACTTCAAGATGTGTGGGCTTCAATCTCCAGAATTGAAGGAATTTGGAGGAATTGAACTCTATATTATACATGGCAAAGTTGAAAAGCACTGCCCTAATGTGCCAACTACCACATATTTTTTGGATTATAAAACACACTTTTTTATCTCCCAAAAGGAGGTTGAAAATATCTGTGCGTTTTATAGACCAAATATTGCCAAAGCCCTACCTATCCTCTGGCTGTTTTTTTTGCCTCCGCACACCCCGTTTTCGAGGCTTTTTTTGGCCATTTTTTCCAGAAAAAAAACAGCCTGAAAAAAGCCGAAAAAACAGGCCGAAAAAAGCTGAAAAAACGGCCCGAAAAAAGCCTTGAAAATGGGCCAAAAAAAGCCTCAAAAATAGGCTAAAAAGCCTAGAAAACAGGCAGAAAAAAGCCTTGAGAATGGGCTGGAAAAAGGCTGGAAAAGGCCTCCCCAAAAGACCTGGAAATGGGGGGCGCGGAGGTCAAAATATTTTTTTTGTTGTTGATTTCCTCTTCTAATTTAGGTGCGTTTTATAGTCAGGTGCGTCTTACAATCCGAAAAATATGGTAGGCCCTTGGAAACATCTATCAAAAACTGAGCCTCTGGATGCCTGCTGATCTAGTTCATAACCAGGCAGAGAGGGCCAAAGTCTCAACCAATCATTATTATTATTATAATCATTATTATGGTATATGATGGTTTGCCTCATAAAGAATGGTAAAAATAATATAAATCCATCGACAGAGATAAGGAGATCCTGTGAATATTTTCTTAAAATATTTTAAAAGAAATATTTGAACATTTCTATCAATAACCATGGCCTACAGTCAAAGATAAGAGCATCAAACATCTTCACTGCCTGCCTCCCTGCCTCCTTCCTGCCAAGGAGCAAATGATCAATGGCAGGGGTGGGTTCTACTTACCTTTACTACTGGTTTGCAACGGGGCCGCACGCGTGCTTCTATGCATGCGCAGAAGCTTCCTGATGATAGCCAGGTCGGTAGGCGAAGCCTCCTGCCGGTTTTACTACCGGTTCTTGCGAACCGGTCCGAACCGGGGGCAACCCACCACTGGTCAATGGGGATAACTCTTCAAATTGCATTAGAGACAGACAGGCTTTGGAAGAAGAGTGCCTTCAGATGTGCTATCAAATATGATGTCAGGGTTCCAAGTAACACCCCCAATGAAATCAAACTCCCAAGGCTTGAAGTTCCTCAAAGCTAACTTTTATTAGAGATGTCATATTGGCACATCTGGTAAACCCCGAATCTGAGAGCTTCCGGGTTTTCCACACCCAAAAGAAAGTTCAAGACCTTGCCGACATCTCCCACATATCCACCACACATCCAATCAGTTACTGTCCAGAACAGAAGATACCTCCTCATTCTTCTCCACACAGCTCCAGGGCACCATGGCCTTGACTTTCTATAAAGAATTTTATTATGACTACGTATCTTCTTCCCTCTATGCAATCCCCCCTCTCAATTTCCCACAGTAGGATTTCTGGCAGGCCTGAAGCCTGAAGGCACAAAGGTAGAAAGATGGCTTCCAGGTCTGAAATATGATCTTTGGCGTAGCCACAAGCAGAACTCATTCCTTCCTTTAAGGGCAGAGAACATGCCCTGAGTAGCAGGTTCCATTGAAGTTTCGATTTTTTTTTCCTCCTGCCAATCAACACTGAATCACAACCAATAGGATTGGAGATGGGAAGAAGTGAGACAGACCGAAAAAACAGATCAGAAGGAGATGAAAGCACATCCTTCTCAACACAACACATGAATGTTTTGGTGTTCCGCAGGCTTGGGCATTCAACATATTGCCCAAGGCAGATTTTCAGTTAGAGAAACTGTCAGGGTATGTATGCTGTAAGATGATGGAAGTTTGTAAATGGAGGCAACTGAAAGCTGATGCAATGGGAATGAGGCAGCAGGATTATTGCCACTTTAAGAAACTGGGTAAGAAGCTGTCTATATAAGGGAAGCCATTAGAGGGTGTCTCCCTTCTCCTCATGTTCACTCTCGTCTTGTATCTCATTGCTCTCCTTGTGTCAGTAGCAGTATGATAAGATATTTAACAATATATAAGTCTGTAAATATTTAGCTGTATATTAACCACTGTTATTTATCTAAAGGCTTGTGTGCTGTGTACTGTGTTTTGCTCCTGGGTTTATCTCATAATACTAGTTACGCTGCCTAAACTCTGACAGAAGCTAACTTGAAACGTGGTGGCATCTTACAGCATTCAGATGGAAGCATTCATTCTATCTTGGGGCTGCCCTTGGGATGTGTCCGGAGGTTTCAGCTAGTCCAAAATGCAGCCACATGGGTAGTTACGGGGGCGTCTAGATACTCCCGTGTAACACCTCTCCTGCATGAGCTGCACTGGCTACCGGTGGCACTCCAGATACGTTTCAAAGTGCTGGTGCTCACCTATAAAGCCCTTCATGGCTTAGGCCCGGGGTACTTGCAGGACCATCTCTAGCCGTTCTCCCATCGTCCTGTGCGCTCTCACAGAGTCGGCCTCCTCAGGGTGCCGTCGGCCAAACAATGTCGGCTGACAACCCCCAGGGGGAGGGCGTTCTCTGTGGGAGCCCTGACCCTCTGGAATGGATTGCCCACTGAGCTCAGGACAGCCCCCGACCTTCTTTCCTTCCGCCGCGAGCTGAAGACGTGGCTCTTCCGCCAATTAAACTGATCCGTTTGGGGGTACACTGGTATAATTTTAAATCGTTTTTTAACTGGGTTATTGATTTTAATTTTGTATTGTATTGTGATTTGTATTGAAGTTGTCATTTTGTAAGCCGCCTTGAGTCCCTAGGGAGAAAGGCGGCATATAAATCACAATAAATAAATAAATAAATCTTCTCCTTCCCTCTCTCCCTCACAGTCTGCTCTGAATATGCTCTCTAAATGCCAGTCCTTGTATCTTGCCAAAGATGAGATCTTGTGCATTGCGTTGCATCCTGGATGGGTACAGACTGACATGGGAAATAAAGTGGTAAGTGAATTGGGGTGGGGGGGATCCCAAATTTTATAGAGTGGACAAGAAGCAAAGTCAGACAAAATTAGCTGGGCTAGATATGGAGTATTGCAAACAGGGGTGGGCTGCTGGGGGTTCGCAGGGGTTCGTAGGGGTTCGCAGGGGTTCGGGAGAACCTCTAGCTAAGATTCTGTGCAGTTCGGAGAACCTCCAAATCCCACTCCTGGCTGGAGGGAATGGGGAGGGAATGGGGATTTTGCAGATCCTTCCCCTGCCACGCCCACCAAGCCACATCAAGCCACACCCACAGAACCAGTAGTAAACAAATTTGAATTTCACCACTGGATGGGGGCAACATAATTATTATTGTGCTGATGGTCATTCTCAAAAGTCAACAAACAGGACTCTCTTCCAAAACCCATCCTGGTTCTTCTTCAGAAATATCTGTCCTCTGATATAACATCAGGACCAATAACATTTCCTTGTAAATACATCTTGGGGAGATACACACACACACACACACATTAAACTATTGAGCTACGGTGGTGCAATGGTTAGAGTGCAGTACTGCAGGCTATTTCTTTTGCCTGCCAGCTGCCTTCAATTTGGCGGTTCAAATCTCACCAGGCTCAAGGTTGACTCGGCCCTCCATCCTTCCGAGGTGGGTAAAATGAGGACCCAGATTGTTGGGGGCAATAGGCTGATTCTGTAAAACCGCTTAGAGAGGGCTGTAAAGCACTGTATGTCAAGTTTCCGAAAGATGCCCTAATTAATTCATGAGCCACGATCCAAACTTCAAAGAAAATATATTCATTTATTAGGAGCAACATTCCGGCAATACTCGGATGCAGTTAGGACTGATCCCACGTAGATTTACGTTCCCCTATGACCCTGTCTCTCCCCTCCTCTCTGGCCATGTCATAAATCACATTCTCCAATTACCCACTTTGGCTGGCTATGAAACCTAACACCCTCCTTCTGATTGCGGTCAGAAAAAATGTATGGAATTCACTTCAGTTCTCCCTCCCTCCTGCTCATGGCAACTTGAAAGCTTTGCAAGTTGACATTATAAAGCGGTATATAAGTCTTAAGTGCTTATTGCTACTGCCTTCAATTTTCCTTCTTAAAGCTGGCTTCCCACCATCTTCTGGAGATTGGAATGTGCATAACAAAGTTTGGTCAAAATAAATTTTCCGGTTTTGATGTCCCTGGCTGTTAATGAAAGTCGTTCTCGGTTGACGTTACCTAGTCTTTTCATCTTTTTTTTTTTGCAATGAACTTCCTTCATCCCTTTCCTGTTTTTTTTTCTCCCCCCAGGGAAAAGCGCCACTGACACTGGAGCAGAGTTTGCAGGCTATTCTGCACACCCTTGGCCGTCTCTCTGAGGAAAACACTGGCACATTTGTTAACTGGGAAGGGAATCTTGTTCCCTGGTGAGGCAACCAAGAACCTGCTCCACTGTGTTGCAGGATGATGTTCTCATCGAAGGCAACGCAACTTTCTATCTTCTATCGATGCTCTCTACACGGTGCTCTTCTGCATGGGCTCCAAATCTCGCTCGCTTCAGCTAATCTATCTGGTGCCCGTAAAACCTTGCTAGGCCAGGCTCTATCAGGCTGCAGGACCCAATGATCTGTTTAGATATAGGTATTCCTCAACCTATGACCATAATTGACCCCAACGTTTATGTTGTTAAGTGAGAAATCTGCTAAGTTTTGCCCCATTTTACAACTTTTCTTGCCCCAGTTGTTATGTGAACCATTAAATTAGAAACACGGTTATTAAGTGAATCTGGCTTGCCTCCATTGACTTTGAAGGTCGCAAAAGGGGATTGTGTGACCCTCGGGATATTGCAATCGTCATAAATACGAACCAATTGTCAAGCATCTGAATGTAAATCATGTGGTCGTGGGGATACTGCTACGGTCATAAGTGTGGAAGAATGGTAGTAAATCCCTTTTTTTCAGCGCTGTTGTAACTTCGGACGGTCACTAAATGAACTGTTGTAAGTCAAAGACCTGTATTTCTAGCTTATTTTTTGGCTGCAAGGTGAATTTCAAAAGTTCCATAATGAGCTGGAAGACATCACTTACTTGGTACAGATTACAATGACCTTTGGAAGAGAAAATTATCCAGGAATATCATTATTGTTCTGTTTCATGATGTTTCAAAAGCTTTTGGGGCAAGCTTTTCCCCTTCCCTTAAGGCAGAAATTCCAAAAAAGCCAGCACAAAAATACCGCTGGAACCAATTCCAAAAATTGCCGGAATCACTACAACGTCATGTCTTCAGCCCCATTCTAGAAGATGGCCTTGGTAGACACCACACTCAATGTTCTTTAAGTTACTGCCGGCCAAGCCAAAGGAACATTCTTTTTCTGCATTTCATTAATGTCTTAGTCAAGAGAAGAAAACATGTCACAACTTCATGTATCTGTATGAAAATTAAGTGAAAATTTAAAAATCGTCTGCATTCAAATTACTTGGCTACATTATTTTTCAGTATCTTAATATCCTGTAGGACAATGTTCCCCAACCTTTCCTGGTTGATGACCTGGTGCTTGGGGAGATGTATTTTGTGTGAGGGGCAGGCGGGTGCACCCGCTGCTCGCGTGGCCCGGTTCTGAAAGGGCCGCAGCCTCGTAGTAGGCTGCAACTCAGGGACCTGCTGTAGGATCACAAAGAGTCATTCCTGTTTCATCTCCTTTGAACTCTTCTTCTCCCAGAAATTCTTTAACACATTAAGAGTTGGAAGGGACCTTGTAGGTCTTGTAGTCCAACCAGAGGTGGGTTTCAGCAGGTTCTGACCAGTTCTGGAGAACTGGTAGCGGAAATTTTGAGTAGTTCGGAGAACCGGTAAATACCACCTCTGACTGGCCCCACCCCCATCTATTCTCTGCCTCCCGAGTCCCAGCTGATCAGGAGGAAATGGGGATTTTGCAGTAACCTTCCCCTGGAATGGGGAGGGAAGAGAGATTTTACAGTATCCTTCCCCTGGAGTGAGGTGGGAATGGAGATTTTACAGTATCCTTCCCCTGCCACGCCCACCAAGCACACCCACCAAGCCATGCCATGCCCACCAAGCCACACCCACAGAACCGGTAGTAAAAGAAATTTGAAACCCACCACTGAGTCCAACCCACCTCCCTCCACCCAACCAGGAGACCTTACACCATTTCTGACAAATGGCAGTCCAATCTCTTCTTGAAAACTTCCAGTGATGAAGCTCCCACAACTTCCAAAGGCAAGCTGTTCCATTGGTTGATTGTTTCTCACTGTCCGAAAATTTCTCCTTATTTCTAGGTAGAATCTCTCCTTGATCAGTTTCCATCCATTATTCCTCATCTGGCCTTCGGGTGCTTTGGAAGCGCCTCCGCTCTCTGTGGCAGCCCCTCAAATATTGGAACACTGCTATCATGTCTCCCCTGGTCCTTCTCTTTACTAGACTAGCCATGCCCAGTACTTGCAACCGTTCATCGTATGTTTTGGCCTCCAGTCCCCTAATCCTCTTGGTTGCTCTTCTCTGCACTCTTTCTAGAGTCTCCACATCTTTTTTTATAGTGTGGTGACCACAACTAGATGCAGTATTCTAGGTGTGGTCTTACTAAAGCTTTATAGAGTGGTGTTAGTACCTCCCTTGATCTTGATTGTATCCCTCTGTTAATGCAATTTAGGATTGCATTGGCTTTTTTGACTGCTGCCACACACTGTTGCCTCAGATTTTATTTAATTAATTAATTAATTAATTAAGATTTAATCAATCTTCTATCCTCTAATTTAATTAATTATTTAAATTCAGAGGATAGAACCGTGATGGCAAACCTAGGGCACGCATGCCACAGGTGGCACGCGGAGACATATGGGTGGGCACGCAAGCTCTGCTCTGGCGCACATGTGCACACTGGCCAGCTGATTTTCAGGCCTTCTGGGCCCACCAGAAGTCGGGAAACAGGCTGTTTCTGGCCTCTGGAGAGCCTCTGGGGGGGTGGGGAAGGCCGTTTTTGCCCTCCCCAGGCTCCTAGAAAGGCTCTGGAGCCTGGGGAGGGGGAAAACCAGGTCTACCAGGGCCACTGTGCCATTGCATGCCAAAAACGGGGGGAGTGCGGGGGGGATCACATGTGCATGCGTGGGGGCGGGGTGCATAAAATTATGGGTGTGGGCACGCCCGCCCTCCCCCCGCTTTTGGCAAAAAGGTTAGCCATCACTGGGATAGAAGATTAACTCAATCTTATCTATGCATTAAGAGCACCCATAAACACATAAATCTCAAACCAATTATGTATTCAAATTTGGAAGGGCACGCCTGACATTGTGACTATTGTGTAAGGTTACATCAAGAGTTTATGAACATTCAGTACCCACTGAACTTGTTCTTTTTTTTTTATTATTTTTTTAAAAAAAATGATTTTATTGAATATACAATTTAAAAACATTAGACTTGGTGTGACTTGTCTGGTACATACTTTTCTAACACCTTTTCTTTCATATATATTACAATACAACATCATGCATATTCCATATATACTTTTTGTACATTCAATCACACTTCAGTTACATACATATTGCAGTTGGAAAGGAGGGATGGAAGGGAACCAGCTGATCTATTAAATTTTCTTATTTTAAGTTGTAGGCAGTGAATATTGAAATAAACTTTTGAACATTATCATTAACCAGTTATGGCGGGAAGGTAGTCGTAAAATTTTCATATTAATGAAAGCAACGGAATTGATTCCTTCTTTGTTCATAGGCTCATCCGTACGTTAATGCAGCAATTAAAACACCGCCTGATCCAGTTGCCATCCAAACAGGCTCTATAAATAATACATTATCTAAAGCATTATTTAAAGCATACCTAAAGCATTGACAATTTAATTTAATTTAATTTAATTTAATTAATTCAATTTATATGCCACCCCCTCCGAAGACTCAAATTGAGATTTTCAGGCTAGACCTGTCTTGGGTTGGCTGGATTTGCTAAGTGGTTTGGAAGCTTGTCTTCAGGGCTGAAGACAGAGGAGATATTCTTTAAATAAAAGAAGATTTATGTAGAAAACAACAGAAGAGAAACAGCTGCTTAAGGAACAAAATCCCTACAGCAAGAACCGGTCAAACATTGTAGGTGTTTGCCAAATCCCTCCTTTCGTATTCTCTTCAGAAGTTCTATTTCCTTTCCGACACAAGAGCTGAGCACTTTGCATAATTGGCTGGTGGGACTGGGAACAAGTTGAGTTGCAACAAGATTGAAGAAAGTGCACAAAAGTTTCTTTTTTTTTTACCTTGGGTGTCAAGAGAGATGGAACAACTGAATCCATGCAGCGTTCTGGTGACTGGCTCCAATCGTGGACTTGGCTTGGAGCTGATCCGACATCTGATGGGCAAGAGCAACCCTCCAAAATGGATCTTTGCCACTTGCCGGGACCCGGCTGGATCCGGTTCTCAGGTGAGGCCTGGGGTGCCTTCAGTCCTAGATGGGAAGAACAATTTTTTTGTTTATTATTATTATTATTGGTTATTGGTTCGATTCATATGCTGCCCTTCTCTGGAGACTCAGGGCGGCTTACAATGCGTTAAGCAATAGCCTTCATACTTTTGTATATCCCTGCTTAGTAGGGCTTTCGGCCCCCCCAAGCGGTGTTCTTTTTTATACAAAGTCAGCTTATTCTTTTTCTTTAATGGAAATTTGCTTATCTCCTAAGTGGTAACGGTGCTGGCATGGTTGAGTTAGGCACGATGGAGATAAAGAAACACATGAGTTTGTTAAATGAAGACTGGTTATATTTAAAATGCCACTTTTAAAATATATTTAAAATACCAGTGAGCTTAATTTCTCCAATCAATTGATTGGAAGATCCTTACGAAGGTTGTATATTTATTATTATTATTATTATTTATTAAATTTATATCCCGCCCTTCTCCCCGGAGGGACTCAGGGCGGTGAACAGCCGAGAATTAAACTAACATGCAATATAAAAGTTAAAATAATTAAAAATAAATTAAATTAAACGGCCACCCCAATTTAAAACCCCTAGCAATATAATTAAAAACCCCTAAAACCTATTCAGGCCAGGCCGGAATTATAAATTATAATTATAAATTATAAATCTTGGAATATGAAGTAGCCAGTTAAGTAATCACTTTGCCAAAGGATTAGAAACGGTTGAAACTACCAGTAGGTACTCTGGTTGAAATACATGTTGAAAAGTTGAGAGTAAATTACAAAATAATTACAACAAAATGGGGAATTTTTTCAATTACCGCACTAAATTTGCAGATTTTCTTTCTTTCAGGACCTGAAGAATTTGGCTGCTAAAAACCCGCAAATTGTCATCATCACACTGGGTATGTGTCCTGAAAAATCTCTTTGGTCCTTCTTTAGGGAACGGGAAAATGCTGAAATTCAGCACCCCCCCCCCCCCCCACCCCCCCCCCCCCCCCCCCCCCCCCCCCCCATAATTCATGGCAGACTGATAGCTAGCGAATGTGAAGCTCAAGCACATTTGGTGGTAGTTCTGAGAATGAACTTCATTTGTGGATCATCTTTTTCATGTAAGGTCCTTCTTGTATCATTAGTGAGAGCATCTGGCCTCCTTGTCTTCTGTTGATCTTTCTTCTTCATTGTCTTTTGATTTTTCCAAGCTTTAAGATCTCCCCCAATTTCCCTTTGCGTTATGTGTTTTACATGTTTAACTTTTAACTTCATTATTTGTGTGCATCCAACGAGCAGTAGTTTAACCTCATCTGGCACTTAAAGACAGATATTTCTTGAAGTTCGGACAATGAAACTCTGCACAATTTTACTTTGTTCAGCTGTCTGACTGTCCACAGTTCACACGATTCACAGTCATGCAAGTTTATTGAAAAGACAGTCTTGTTATTGTGGTTGGTGTTTGTGAACCGACATTATCATCTTCAGTAGAATCCAAAAACAGATTCTACGACGATCTGGCTGCTACTATCAAGAAAATCCCTGAGAAAGAACCACTGTTTATCCTTGGTGATTTTAATTCCAGAGTTGGAGCTGATTATAGTTCTTGGCCCACTTGTTTAGGTCAGTTCGGCATCCGGAAGATGGACGAAAATTCCCAATGCCTGCTGGAGTTTTGCTGCTACGATGGTTTTTGTGTTAGCAATACAAAAAAACAAAGCCTCAACACAGAGTCTCTTGGAGACATTCAAGATCGAAGCATTGGCACCAGCTCGACTTGGTTCTTACCAGGCGCTCCAACCTCCCCAATATTACAATCACACGCAACTATCAGGATGCTGATTGTGATACAGACCACTCCTTGGTGTGCAGCAGAATAAAACTGTAAACAAAGAGATTGCATCACTTGAAGAAGGAAGGAAGACCATGAATCGACATCAATAAGACCTGCAATCAGGGCAAAGTAGGGGAATTTGCACAAGCACTCAAGGAAACTCTTCCAGGCCCAGCTGAAGTAAATGCATCTGAACGAGGGGAATATTTCAAGAATGCTGTTTATAACAATGCCTTGTCAGTATTTGGTAAAGAGATCAGAAAGACAACAGATTGGTTTGAAGCCCATTCGGAAGACTTGACACCAGCCATCGAGGAAAAAAGGAGAGCTCTAATTACATATAAAGCCTGTTCCAGTGAGCGCAACCGACAAGTTCTGCGAGCTGCTCATAGCAAAGTTCAACAGACCGCCAGGAGATGTGCTAACAATTATTGGCTGCAGCTTTGCTCTCGGATCCAGATAGCAGCTGACACAGGCAACATCAAGGGGATGTATGATGGCATCAAGCAGGCCTTAGGTCCAACACAGAAGAAATCTGCCCCTCTGCTATGGGTGAGGTTATTCAGGACCGAGCACAGCAGATGGCACGCTGAGTGCAGCACTATATTATATTCCAGAGAAAATGTGGTAACTGAAGAAGCATTAAATAACATTGAGTGCCTGCCTGTCTTGGAGGAGCTTGACAGTGAGCCAACTTTAGAAGAACTAAGTGCGGCCCTGGATTCCCGTGCCTCTGGCAAGGCACCCGGGAAAGATAATATCCCTGCTGAAGTTCTGAAGTGCTGCAAAGAGAACATCCCCACTGAACTGCATGAAATCTTCTGTCTTTGTTGGAAGGAAGATGGAGTACCACAGGACATGAAGGATACAAATATCGTCACACTGTACAAGAACAAAGGTGACAGGGGTGACTGTAACAACTACCATGGCATCTCTCTTTTTAGTGTTGTAGGGAAGCTGCTTGCCTGTGTCGTACGGAAGAGGCTCCAGGTGCTTTTTTTTTTTTTTAATTTGATTTGTATGCCGCCCTTCTCCGAAGACTCAGGGCGGCTTACAATGTGCTCAGCAATAGCCTTCATACTTCTGTATATTTATACAAAGTCAGCTTATTGCCCCCCACAAACTGGGTCCTCATTTCACCTACCTTAGAAAGGATGGAAGGCTGAGTCAACCTTGAGCCTTGGCGAGATTCGAACCCTGCAGTAATTGCAGGCAGCTGGTCTTAATAACCAGCTTAATAACAGGGTGCCTTAAACCCCTGTACTACCAAGGCTCTCTCTTGCAGAGAGAGAATCACAGTGTGGATTTCGAGCCAACAGGTCCACTACTGACATGGTATTTTCCCTTAGACAGTTGCAGGAGAAATGCAGGGAACAAAGACAGCCACTTTTCGTAGCCTTCAAAGATCTTACAAAGGCTTTTTAACTTGGTTAGCAGGGACAGCCTTTATACAATTCTCCCCAAGATTAGATGTCCATCTCAGCTCCTCAACATCATCAGATCCTTTCATGAGGAAATGAAGGGCACTATAGTTTTTGATGGCTTAACATCAGATTCCTTTGATATTTGAAGTGGAGTGAAGCAGGGCTGTGTCCTCGCGCCAACTTTATTCGGGATCTTTTTTGCTGTCACGCTGAAACGTGCTTTTGGAACTGCAACAGAGGGTATTTACCTCCGGACCAGATCAGACTGAAAACTTTTTAATCTCTCTAGATTGAGAGCAAAGTCTAAAGTCCCGCTGAAATGCTTACGGGATTTCCTCTTCGATGACGATGCTGCCATCACTGCTCACTCTGCTGAAGACCTTCAACAACTTATGGACAGTTTTAGCAAGGCCTGCCAAGACTTTGGACTAACAATCAGCCTGAAAAAAACAACAAGTCATAGGTCAGGACATGGATTCACCTCCCTGTATTACAATCTCTGCACAAGAACTGGAGGTCGTCCATGACTTTGTGTACCTCGGCTCAACTATCTCTGACACTCTCTCTTTAGATACTGAGCTGAATAAACGTATTGGTAAAGCGGCCACCATATTTTCCAGACTTACAAAGAGAGTATGGCTTAATAAGAAGCTGACAGAATATACGAAGTGTCAGCACTTCAAGCTGCATTTACTCTAGTGCTGACATAAGAAGGAGAAGCGGAGGCATCTGGAAAGGGATATTTGACTTTTCACCTACTTATTTTCCCTGGAGATAATATCCCCTAGGAGATGGGATGGGAGGGGGGAAATTCCTTTGAGCTGGAGCAGTAAATTAGGGGTAGAGTGACTTGGAAGATGGCCAATGTGTGCAGGGGAGTGGGGGAACGGAAAGGGAGGGTTTTAGGTCTGGAAGTCAGTGTTGGCTGTGATGGAGTCGGAGTTAGAATATCGTGCTTAATAAATGGGAAGTTTTCGTCAAAGACTTTGTTTGAAATGCCATTTATTTGAGATGACCTCGAATCTGAAACAAAGATCTATAGAGCCTGCATCCTTAGCACACTCTTGTACTGCAGTGAGTCTTGGAACCTTTACGCATGGCAGGAGAGAAAGTTGAACACCTTTCATATGTGCTGTCTCTGACGTATTTTTGGCATCACCTGGCAGGACAAAGTTCCAAATAGCAGTCTTGGAATGTGCTGGAATTTCTAGCATGTATACACTATTGAAACAGCAACGTCTACTCTGGCTTGGGCATGTCGTGAGAATGGCTGATGGTCGGATTCCGAAAGATCTCCTGTATGGAGAATTAGTGCAGGGAAAGCGCCTCAGAGGGAGACCACAGCTGCGATATAAGGATATCTGCAAGAGGGACCTAAAGGCCCTGGGAATGGACATTAACAACTGGGAAATCTTGACCTCCGACTGTTCAGCTTGGAGGCTAAAGACGCAGCATGGCCTTCTCCAATTCGAAGAGACACTTGTTCGGTAGGCTGAGGCAAAGAGGCAGTCCCGGAACCAGTGAAATCTGGGGGCTGCGCAGGGGACAGAATGTATCTGCCCTCAGTGTGGAAGGGATTGCCACTCTCGAATTGGCCTTTTTACTCACACTAGATGCTATTTTAGGACCTCTTTCCAGAGCACGATACCATAGTCTCTTGAGACTGAAGGATGCCAATGTATGCTTGTGAGTGTAATGGCTTTCCATGTTAATATTTGCCAACATCTGTCATAGTCTTTCCCAAAAGAGCAGACATGTTACGGCTGCAATCAGAATTTCTGTGGATTCCTGTGCCCAAGAAGATATATTTCATTGCCTCTTGAAAGGATCTTAGAGTTTTCTTTAATACTTAGCAGGAAACAGATTTGAATTATGTTCAAGAAGGGATTCCTAACTTCCAGACATCAGATGAGTATCATCAGCATATCTAAGATGGCGGATGTCTCTTCCAGCAATTTTCGAATAGAATAGAATAACAGAGTTGGAAGGGACCTTGGAGGTCTTCTAGTCCAACCCCCTGCTTAGGCAGGAAACCCTGCACCGCTTCAGACAAATGGTTATCCAACATCTTCTTAACAACTTCCAGTCTTGGAGCATTCACAACTTCTGGAGGCAAGTCGTTCCACTGATTAATTGTCCTAACTGTCAGGAAATTTCTCCTCAGTTCTAGGTTGCTTCTCTCCTTGATTAGTTTCCACCCATTGCTTCTTGTCCTCTTCCAACTCCTCTTGTGTCTCTTTTAACATTTACTCATGACATGTTTTCATTTATGATACAACATACCCTCACAGCAGTCCATCCAATCCTTCTGTAGGTGAATGTGACTTGACCGTGAGATGGGCGGCATACAAATTGAATAAATAAATAAGCAAACCTTAGCAGCAGCATCCTGCAAATTTTTAAACCATTCCACAGGGTATTTCATCTCCCCCCACTACAACTTTTGTGTTAGAAATTGGTGTGCTTCTCATACCACAATATCTCATGCGCGTTTGATGCTGATTGATTGGCTGAATCACAGTTTGATGGGTTTGCATCATATGCTAAGCCGCAAATCAGAGGCTACCCATAAAACAGAAACCCAATCAGTATTACTGTCACTTTCTCTGTCAGAAGAACCCCATCAGTTTTAACAGTAACAGAGTTGGAAGGGACCTTAGAGGTCTTCTAGTCCAACCCACTGGTCACGGAGGAGACCTGTACTAGGGATTCAAACCGCCGAACTGCCAACCTTTCTTTCTTTCCTTTTTTTTTTTTTGTAAAACAAGTTTTATTGGTTTTTTTCTTTTCTCCTCTCCCACCTTCAACCACATCTTTCTTTTTTAGTGTTGGTCGTTTCTTATCTTATACAATTAGTCAAATTCAAATACATTTTACTCAATTTAAAAATTTAAATAATAAATAAATAAATTGCAATTTATGTCAATATCGTCTTCCCCCCTTTCCTTTTTTTGAATATACCTCAGTATTTCTTTACTTGCATACATAAACATCTTCTTCATTTATCCCTAAATTCTAACTTTACTATTTATACATATTTGTCCTCTTTTATTCTTAAAGAATTCATTCTTTTTCTTAATATATTTATATTTGTTTGTTCAGAGCTGCCTTTCTTCCACTTCATCTTTTTTTTTATTGTACAGCAATCTTTCGCCTCAAACCTAGCCTCTCCCTCTTCTCCTTCCAACTTTCTTTCCCCGCCTTCTTCTTCTCTTCTCTACTTCCCCTTCCCTTCTCCTTCTCCTCCTCTCTTCCTCCTTGTCTTACCTTCTCTCCTACTCTGCTTTCCCTTCCCTTCTTTCCTCCCTACTCTTAGTTTAGTTTAGTTTATTTGATTTGTATACCGCCCTACTCCCGAAGGACTCAGGGCGGTGAACAGCCAAGCAATAAAATACATAAATACACAAAATTTAAAAACCAGATAAAATCAATTCCATCCCTCTCTCTCCTTCCTCCTCCCTTCCAATTCCTTCATCTCTCTCTATGGCTGATTTCAATCTTTCTGATTGACAAGCTCAGTGTCTTAGCCACTGAGCTATTTTTCTAACTTCTTGCGTTGCTTTATCCCATCCCTAGTTTAATAAAACATACGAGATCAAATATTGTATTGTCTTTACTGGCTTCGCGAAGAAGAAGCCCTGCATCCTTCAAAACGATCAGTGGATCACATGTTTCTGCAGTCTTAAAACTAATCCCAGGAAAGACATTTTATAAAAAAAAGAAAGAAAGAAAAGAAAGAAAATGCAATATCCACAAAATAGAAGTACATTTATTGGAACATTGTGTGGTATGCAAAATCAGATATGGAATAACTTACCTTTATTTTTACCCCCTTCGCCCCCCTGTAGACACAACTGATCCATCCAGCGTCAAGGCTGCCGCAGCCAATGTTACAAAATGCCTAAAAGGGGCTGGATTAAACCTCCTGATTAATAATGCAGGGATTATAAATATGAGCAGTTTGGAGGATGAAACACCAGAGAGCATGGCTGAGACCTACAGAACCAATGTGATTGGGGCCATGATGGTCGTCCAGGTAAGGGAACTTTGTGGCCCTTTCTTCTTTGGGTGAAAGAAAACCTACTTTAAAAGGTAAAGGTTCCCCTCGCACGTATGAGCTAGTCGTTCCCGACTCTAGGGAGCGGTGCTCATCTCAGTTTCAAAGCCGAAGAGCCAGCGCTGTCCGAAGACGTCTCCGTGGTCATGTGGCCGGCATGACTCAATGCCAAAGGTACACAGAATGCTGTTCCCTTCCCACCAAAGGTGGTCCCTATTTTTCTACTTGCCTTTTTTGATGTGCTTTCGAACTGCTAGGTTAGTAGAAGCTGGGACAAGTATTGGGAGCTCACCCCGTTATGCGACACTCGGGATTCAAACCGCTGAACTCCTGACCTTTCGATTGACAAGCTCAGTATCTTAGCTATTGAGCCACCGTGTCCGTTACTTACTTACCTACTTAGTGGCAGGCATATCACACAACAGATGTTGGCTTCTACCACCCACCCACCCCCCAACTGAGGAATTCCAAGCTGATGCTGGACTTTCTGCAGAGAACTCCCTGAGGGATTTTTGTCCATTCCCTCCCTCTCCACCCAACACCTCCCCCCAACCCCAGATTTGTGCTTTTAAAAATGAATTCCCGAGTTCTTTGAACTTTTTAAGAATGGGATATTTTTATTCTTATATTCAAGACCTGCATAGACTAGGACAGACTATGGATAGACTATCAATATACAATGGATAGAGGGATGCTGTGGCTCAGTGGCTAAGATGCTGAGCTTGTCGATCAGAAGGTCGGCAGTTCAGCGGTTTGAATCCTGAGTGCCGCGTAACAGGGTGAGCTCCCGTTACTTGTCCCAGCTTCTGCCAACCTAGCAGTTCGAAAGCACGTAAAAAATGCAAGTAGAAAAATAGGGACCACCTTTGGTGGGAAGGGAACAGCGTTCCGTGTGCCTTTGGCATTTAGTCATGCCGGCCACATGACCACGGAGACATCATCGGACAGCACTGGCTCTTCGGCTTTGAAACGGAGATGAACGCCGCCCCCTAGAGTCGGGAATCCCCACTAGCATATATATGCGAGGCGAATCTTTACCTTTACCTTTTATACAAGGGATGGGAAAAGTGTATTGAATGACACAGAGATGTTAAGCGGATTCCATCTGGTTACCCTACAGGACAATTCTAATGTTGCCTTGCAAGTAATTGGCAACTCTTTGGGGCCTTTCCATTGGGAATTTGTATTGATTGGGAGATGTCCCCTAACCCTCCTTGCAAAAGGTTGGAATGCCTTTCATTTGTTCCTTTCATTCTTCAGGCGTTCCTTCCTTTGCTGAGGAAAGCAGCTCAAGAAACCCCTCTGGAAGGCATGAGCTGCAGCAAAGCGGGCATCATCAACATTTCTAGCCAAGCAGGTTCCATCACAAGCATCTTTGAATGGCAGTGGAGCCACGTCATTGCTTATCGCTGTAGTAAGGTACAGATAAGTCTATCATCAAACAATGGCTTGATCAGTTTTGTTTTTATCCTAAGTAGGAGAAGAGTATGCTTGAATTTTTTCATGCATCTTCCCATCATTATTTATTTATGCACCTTCCCATCATATTCACTAAGTCTGCATTACTATTACTATTAGTCTTCTCATCGGTCCTATCACCCATCTCCTCCCACTTATGACTGTATGACTGTAACTTGTTCCTGTATCCTTACGATTTATATTGTACCGTTTCTTTTTATGTACACTGAGAGCATATGCACCAAAGACAAATTCCTGTGTGTGTCCAATCACACTTCTTTTTATGTACACTGAGAGCATATGCACAAAGACAAATTCCGTGTGTGTCCAATCACACTTCTTTTTATGTACACTGAGAGCATATGCACCAAAGACAAATTCCTTGTGTGTCCAATCACACTTCTTTTTATGTACACTGAGAGCATATGCACCAAAGACAAATTCTGTGTGTGTCCAATCACACTTCTTTTTATGTACACTGAGAGCATATGCACCAAAGACAAATTCCTTGTGTGTCCAATCACACTTCTTTTTATGTACACTGAGAGCATATGCACCAAAGACAAATTCCTTGTGTGTCCAATCACACTTCTTTTTATGTACACTGAGAGCATATGCACCAAAGACAAATTCCGTGTGTGTCCAATCACACTTCTTTTTATGTACACTGAGAGCATATGCACCAAAGACAAATTCCTTGTGTGTCCAATCACACTTGGCCAATAAAGAATTCTATAATCATAACTGGTCGATTTGGTTCCACCAGAAACCTCTTGGCCTAAAATTGATTTAATGTTCTGTTTCTTCTGATGAGGAGCAAATGCAGGGATGGGTTCTAATTTTTTTTTACTACCAGTTCTGTGGGTGTGGCTTATTTTGTGGGTGTGGCTTGATGGTCATGTGACAATTATTTAAGATTTAGCAGAGGTACTGGTCTACCAGGCTTTTAACTGCTTGCAGAGCTGTACTGAACTACCCATTTATTTTTGCAGGCACTGGTCTACCCATTTATTTTTGCAGGCACTGGTCTACCCATTTATTTTTGCAGGCATCGGTCTACCCATTTGTTTTCTTTTAACACTGATCAGCTGTAGGGCGGCCCTTTGAAGCCCCGCGACAAGAGTTTAACAGTTTTTTTCCCTCTAGCCATCAGCTGGGACTCAGGAGGCAGCAATAGATTGTGGGTGGGGCCAAATAAAAGGTAAGAATAACGCGGGGGGTGGGGGGGCGGTGGGGAGGCAGAACCAGTTCAGTGACGTCATATTGTCACCGCTACCGGCTCAGGGGAACCAGGCCGAACCGGGAGAAACCCAACACTGAGGAAATGGTCAATGATGATAGCTCTTCAGATTCCATTAGAGACAGACAGCTATTTGGGCATGAGAATACTTCCAGATGTGCTATCAGATATGATCATTGGGATAGCCATCAGCTTTCAAACCAGAAAAACATTCCTTCAAATAAGGGCAGAGAACATGCCCTGAGTAGGTTCAACTGAAGTTTTGAGTAATTCTTTTGTCCTTCTGTCAATCAACACTGAATCACAACCAATAGTACTGGAGAGGGGAAGAAGTGAGACAGACCTGGAAAACAGATCAGGAGGAGATAAAAGCACATCCTTCTCAACACAACACATGAATGTTTTGGTCTTCCGCAGGCCTGGGCATTCAACAAATTGCCCAAGGCAGTATTGTGGTCCGCCAGCAGCCTGCAGAGCTGGCAGCAGAGTTGGACAGTGAGGAAGCTGGGGAGGGCAATGGGCCAGTCCTGGAGTCTGGGGAAGGCCCGGACGAGGGCTTTGCGTCAGAGGCAGAGATGGGGCCAGGGCCATCTGGGAGTGATGCGTGGACTCCGGAGCCTCCAGAGGTGGACAGCAGAGAGGCAGAGGAACAGAAGGAGCCTGTTCCTAGTGCACGCATGCAAAGAGCTACCAGAAGGCAAGAGCAGCTAAAGCAAAAAGGACAACTTGGGAGTAAGGCCAGGAGATGATTGGCCCCTCTCATAAGGCTTAAAAGAGCAGCAAAGGCTCTTGGGCTCTTTATAGGAAAGCAACGTTGTTAAATCTGTTTTCCAGTCGGCGTCTCTTGTTTCTGAACTTCGTGGGGCTTAGAATGACGTAGCATCTTAGAGCATTCAGATGAAGCATTCATTCTATTTTCTCCTTCCCTCTCTCCCTCACAGTCTGCTCTGAATATGCTCTCTAAATGCCAGTCCTTGTACGTTGCCAAAGATGGGATCTTGTGCGTTGCGTTGCATCCTGGATGGATACAGACCGACATGGCAAAATCAATGGTAAGCAGACTGGAGGGAGGAAGGGGAAAAAAACAATTTATACAGTGGACAAGAAAACAAGGATAAAATTAGCTGAACTGGGAATGTAATGTTCTAAAGAGCTCCAGATCATTTTGAAACTTTTCCTGGATCACGCCATTCCAGATAGCAATCAAAAAGGAAGTGAGCCTTTATGGTTTCCCCACTGACATCATCTTAATTTCAGAGTCAGATCAAGCTAGATCTATACTAAGGCAAAAAAAAAATAAAAAAATCTTAAGATATAGAAGGTCAGATAGAAATTGCTGCTTTCAATTATTATATGCAGGTAGTCCTTCACTTATGACCACCATTGCGCTGCACATTTCTGTGGCTAAATGAGACATTTGTTAAGGGAGTTTTGCCCCGTCTTACGATCTTTCTTGACACGATTGTTAAGTAAATCCCTGCAGCTGTTAAGTTAGTAACACCGTTGTTAAGTGAATCTGGCTTCCCTTTTGATTTTGCTTGCACAGAAGGCCGCAAATCAGGGGTGAAATCCAGCAGGTTCTGACAGGTTCTGGAGAACCGGTAGCGGAAATTTGGAGTAGTTCGGAGAACCGGCAAATTCCACTTCTGGCTGGCCCCAGAGTGGGGTGGGAATGGAGATTTTGCAATATCCTTCCCCCAGGAGTGGGGAGGGAATGGAGGTTTTGCAGTATCTTTCCCCGCCACGCCTACCAAGCCACGCCAACCAAGCCACACCACACCCACCAAGCCACGCCCACAGAACCGGTAGTAAAAAAAATTGGATTTCACCACTGTCTTAAACTGTGAGGCCCATAGTCATTAAATACTAAAACGCATGCGCTTCTCTGAATGTTCTACAAGGGCCTTCACTACCAGATGAATAACCCGTTATTTAAAATTTTCGGGGCCCTCTGATAATTTATATTTGCTATTACACCATCAAGGGGTGGGGGGATAGTGATCTCTCTAAAAAAAAGAGCCATGTTTTGCTACATTAGGCATAAGCTTCACCCACAAATGTTTGTTAATAATTCTTGTTGGTTAGGAGAGAGTTTTGCATCATTTATTTTACTGAGTGTACTTTTTACTGGTCAATGAACGAAATTAAAGTTTTGTTCTGTTTGCTTCTCTGGAACATGTTGAACCCAAAACCAGTCATGTGAAATGAAGGCTTTTCAATTCTGTAAACTCCAGATGGGTTTTTTTTTTTTTTTTTACGATGCTATGGGCAGTTCCCTCCACTGAACCAAATGGGAGTCAAGTGGGGTTCTCTTAATTATGGATATTAGGGTGTGTGTAAAAAGTATTTGTTGCTTATGCAACAAGCAGAGCAGAAACACACAGGGAAGGAGATAAACGTGCAGCTCGTGTGAGAAAAATACTTTATATACAAGATAATAAGCAGTCTCGGTGTAGGTAAAACAGTCCAAGGTCATAAACAGTAATATCAGTCCAGTAAGTATCTTCCCTTACCAAAGCAAACAGACTTTAGTAACTCTCGGTATACAGTACCATATAACAATTCAGTCTAACATCAATCAGCAGAAAGACGCAGGAAGCAACAGGAGCAATCAGGAAACAAGAACACTTCTCTGCGCTGCTTATTTATGCACTGTAGCCTAATTACAGGGTTCAGCAAACCCTGATTACGTGGCTCAGTTGTTTCTTAAAGAAACAGATATATTGCCTGACCAACAAGTTAGGAGTAAGCTACAAGCTGAACCTAACAATGGAGGCGACATGCCAGCATCACAGATACTTGCTGGTGTTCATCATTCTCAGAAGACTTGGTCCTTTTTCATCAAGAGTTGTCCTTCGATTATAATTTCACGTCTAATAATGTTTTCTTGCTATTGGAATCGTACCCTATTACACTATTTCCTTGAATTCTCCCAGTGATGTTACTACTGTAGGCTTTTAGACTTTTTCCACTATCAATGTCCTTCATCTTGACTATGTGTCAGATTGGTCTAGCAAATGGCAACTTCAAATCTCAACCAACAAATGCTCTGTCTGGCAAAAAAAATCAAAACATAAAATACAAATTAGATGGACATGACCATCTAAATCTGTTCTTAATTATTGGGGTGTTTTAAATCTGTCTTGGGCCAATTTGGTTTTATTTTGCTTTTAAATTTTGTATTTATGTGCTTTATCTTGTGGCTGTTCACCGCCCTGAGTCCTTCGGGAGTAGGGCGGTATATAAATCAAATAAAACCGAAACCGAAACCTTCCCCTGCCGTGCCCACCAAGCCACGCCCACCAAGCCACACCCACAGAACCGGTAGTAAAAAAAATTTGAAACCCACCACTGGAATCTCCATAGATGTTTTGAAGGAGAAAATAGGTACCTTAAATCTATAGAAGTGAAGATTTTGCATCCTCACTCGGTCAAGGACCTTGGAATACTTATTTCTAAAGATCTAAGTGCCAAAGCCCACTATAACAACATTGCCAAAAAGGCATTAAGAGTTGTTAACCTAATCTTGTGTAGCTTCTTCTCTGGTAATATTGTACTACTAACTAGAGCATATAAAACATTTGCTAGACCAATTCTCGAATACAGCTCATCTGTCTGGAACCCGCACTGCATATCAGACATAAATACAATTGAACGAGTCCAGAGATATTTCACGAGAAGAGTCCTCCATTCCTCTACCCGCAATAAAATACCTTATGCCACCACACTTCAAATTTTGGGCTTAGACAACTTAGAACTACGCCAACTTTGGTCTGACCTAAGCGTAGTACATAAAATTATCTGCCTCAATGTCCTACCAGCCAATGAATACTTCAGCTTCAACCAAAACAATACAAGAGCACACAAGAGGTACAAACTCATGGTACACCGATCCAAACTAGACTGCAGAAAATATAACTTCAGCAACAGACCGATCAGTGCCTGGAATTCACTACCTGTCTCTGTGGTTTCTTCCCCAAACCGGCATAACTTTACCCTTAGACTGTCTACTGTTGACCTCACCCCATTCCTAAGAGGTCTGTAAGGGACGTGCATTAGCGCACCAGGGTGCCTAATGTCCCTTTCCTAATATTCCTTTTTACTCTTACTCTTTTCATGTATTCAAATTATGTTTATACTTTTACCTGTTATCTTATATATGCTTGACCAATAAATAAATAAATATAAATAAAATAAATCTTTTGCCTATTTCTTTCCAGGGATCACCTCCACTGACAACGGAGCAGAGTTTGCAGGCTATTCTGAACACCCTTGGCCGTCTCTCTGAGAAAAATACGGGCACATTTGTTAACTGGGAAGGGAATCTTATTCCCTGGTGAAACAACCAAGATTCTGCTATTCCCCGTTGCAGGACGATGTTCTCATTGAAGGCAATGCAAGTTTCTATCGTCTGTCGGTGCTCACTCTATCCTGCTCGGTTGCATGTTCTCCAACTCTCCCTTACTTCAGTTTCTCTGTCTGGTACCCATAAAACCTTGCTCAGCCAGGCTCTTTCACATTACAGCTCCCAGTCATCCATCTGAATAGTTCTAGGGTCATTGGCAGCCATCTGTAAAGCAGTGATTTCTTACTGGAGAATTTTCTTTCCAGATCTCTGGTATCTCTCTAAACCAGGGGTGTCAAACTCGATTTCATTGAGGGCCGCATCAGGATTGTGACCTTGGGGGGTGGGGGATAAGGAGGACATGGCCAGGGGGCATGGCCAGCTTGACATCATTTGTGTCGAGGCCGCCTGTGGTGGCCCAAGCGCTCTGCCAGCTCCGTTTTCAGTTGTGCTCCATTTTTGAGCTCCGTTTTCGGTTATGATAGCCTCCTGCAACCCTCTGCCAGCGAAAATGAAGCTTGGGTGGGCTGCCCGCAGCCCTTGCAAGCTCCATTTTCGCCTGTGATGGCCTCCTGCAATCCTCTGCCAGCAAAAACGGAGCTCCATTTTCGCTGGCAGAGGCACTGCAGGCCAGTCCTTTGCTGTTTCCAGGGTGGCCCCATGGACCAGATCTAAGCACCCCGCGAGCTGGATCTGGCCCTGGAGCATTGAGTTTGACACCCCTGCTCTAAACCATACAGTTATGCCTACAAGAATCAAATCCTGTTCTCCAACTCCATCTCTGGGGAAATGGCTCTTCACTTGGACTGTGAATTCTCTTGCAAAAATGCCATCTGGAACTTCCAATACGTTGTTCTATTTTTAAAAAATATTATAAATGAAATAATCGTGAAATAAATGAAAATTGAGGACAAATGGCTTAGGACTGGGGTATATACGAGACCGCCTGCTGCCAGCAACAGCCTCCCACCGGCCAATACGCTCCCACAGAGAGGGGCTCCTCAGGGTAACGTTGGCCAGACAATGCTGACTGGCGACACCCAGGGGGAGAGCCTTCTCTGTGGGGGCACCAGGCCTCTGGAATGAGCTGCCTCTTGAGATTCGTCTCACCCCCGACCTGCGTACCTTTTGCCACGCCTTGAAGACCCTCTTGTTCCAACAAGCTGGCCTGGCCTAATATGAATTTTAGAATGGGTGTATGTGTGTTTTAACCTATGGGCCAAATTTTTATATATTCAATTTTAAATTGTTTTAAATTTTGTATATTTATATGTGTTTTAATATGGCTGTACACCGCCCTGAGTCCTTCGGGAGAAGGGCGGTATAGAAATCTAATAAATCAAATCAAATCAAATCTCTCTTTTGTTAATGATACTATAAATTGTCAAGTCACTAGGACACGTGATGGCCTCAAAATTTGAGATTCTCGGCAAGAGATTTGTTGGGTCCCCATGAAAGATTGAGATTTGTAAGCTACGAGCAACTTATGAATTCTGATGAATCCGATTCTTTTCTAAATGGCTTCTTGACAGGCATAAGAAAAATGCTGTTGATATCCAATTGGTGCCGCGGCGATCCAGTCAGGGAAATGGCGGGGCTCTCACGAGCCCCGCGAAAACCCCGACTATCGAGCTGCCACCAACAGGTCTGCGGACCTATATGAGTTTTTAAATGTTTTGAATGCTTAAATGAATTTTTGAATTTTAAAATAAATATGAAGAGAGATGACTTTAAAGGAAATTTACAATCCAGGAGAAAATATGTGAGAAGATATCTGTTAAAATAATGTTGAGTTAAAAATTGTGGGAGAATGCGTTGAAAAAGCAACTTATGTAATATGCTGTGAATTAGTTAAAATAAAACAGCTAAAATAATAGAAGTAGGCGTGGAGGAAAGCATGCTGGTATACCAGCTAAACAAGAGGTGGAGATTTGGAGGAGAATATGCTGGAAATCAGCCAAAATAAAATATGCTGGAAATCAACCAAATAACAGTGGGAGATTTGGAGGAGAATATGCTGGAAATCAGCGAAAATAAAACATGCTGGAAATCAGCCAAACAAAAGTTGGAGGTATGGAGGAGAATATGCTGTAAACCAGCCAAAATAAAATATGCTGGAAATCAGCCAAACAAATAGGAGGAGATATGGAGGAGGATATGGATTTTGAGATAAATCTGTGTAATATGAAATATGTAAAATTAAAGGTAAATTGATAAAGTTTAAGATTTAAAGATTTGATGAAGGGGTCTAGAGATTAAGAAATATGGATAGAACTTTGATCTATAAATTGAAATAAAAAATAGAGCTGTAGTCAATTTGAAACTAAGATGTGTGGTGATAAAATTGTAAGGTAAATAATCAACCAAGAGGTTAGAATATTTTTAAAAATCTTATGTTTTGATATTGATGTTAAAAGGTGTAATGAAGGGAGCTTGGGAAAGAACCAGATATAATTGAATTTATAAATGGATATATAAAATGAATTAAGCTTCTATTTGGAAATTAAATTGGTGGTGATATAATAGAATGGTTCTGATCAACATACTAGAATCTATATATTTTTTTTAAAAAAAAATTCTTATTATGTTCTGATCTTTAACTTTAAAAGATGTAATGGAAAATTGTAAATGAAACTTTTTAATATTTAAATGATTGTACCTATCTATGACCAGATTGAGACTTTGCTCTTGAAACATATATATTATATGTTTTATGTTGGAAAAAAAATAAAAAAATACTTTTCAAAAAAAAAAAAGAAAGAAAAATGCTGTTTTGGGGTGACTTGACCCGTTACCACCTGATGGTAATGTTTGAGAACATTGATTGTGGTGTCTATCATAGCCATCTTCTCTAATAGGACTGAACACATGATCTTGTGGTGATTCTGGCAATTTCTTGGGGGCTTTTCCCAGGGGTAGAAGACATTGAGCTAGAAACCAGGTGAGAGAGAATTCTAGCCCTGCCTTGGGCAAGCAAACCGGCTGGGTGACTTTGGATCGGTCACTCTCTTTCAGCTCAACTCAACTCAAAGATTGTTATTGGGCAAATAGCAGGAGGAAGAAGTAATAGATAAGTTGATCACGTCTATTAAAATAATAAAAGTGGGATTTTAAAAAAATCTTAAAACGAAGCTTGCTTTTGTATTCTTGAATAGCTATATTTTTCCAAAGTGTGCAGAAAATATTGCCAAATAGGGATTATTTTTAGTGATTTAGGTTGCTTATGTGTGTTCACACAAACTTTAATACATTTAGTGGCTGCTGCCATCTTATGGAACTAAAATGTACAGTATTATAGTTCACGTCTATGGCTTTCGGCATATTTGCTGTTTTAGGCTACACAGAATATGTTGCAATATTTTTAGGATCAGACTCAATAATAATAATGAGAGTTAGAGGTTTAAATATATTTCTCTTTAATTATAATAGGCATTCTATATTCACTGAATATTCACAGATAGAAGCAAAGAAAATGGTGAAGGTGGCTCCTTATATATACAAAGGGTGGAGCCAAGAGTGGGAGTGGTGAATTATGAATACATTAAGAGTCAAAGAATAAGTTAACCCCTGATATCCCATATATACATTATTTACACATTAGGGAATAAGGCATTTACATCTGACAGAATATTTTCACTGACTGCCTGTGTTCAATTCTGGCAGAATAAAGAGCACCAGTTTTATGGTATAGTTAAGTGTTCTGCCCCAGCTACAGACCCCAAAGAACGCAGCATACACGAAGTCCGTTCAAACCTTATTTTACTAAATAAACCAGTTTTTTACAACAACGGCTGTTAATTAACTGCATTAACAGCCGCCAAGAATTCAAAGAATAATAACTGAAAGCTTACTGTGGTTGGCAGACTGCCCAGAAGCAATTTGCAGGAAGCTGATAAGATAAGCAAGACAAGACATGAAGGTATGTGAACAAAGTTGTTCCCTGCAAATTGCTTCAGTCAGTATTCCTCCTTAAATAGGCTAAGGGAGTGGCCAATTAGCCCCAAGCCTTACTCTCAAGGAGACTTCCTCCTGAGGAGCCATTCCTGCCTTTTGGCAGCTCTGCACCCCCGTGCATCAAGAAGAGGCTCCTCCTCTTCATCCTCTTCACTTATAGGAGCTTCTGGAGGTTCTGAAGGCCCTGGCTGAATCCCCACCTCTGGCACCACATCTTCTCCAGCCTCCTCATTGTCCAACTCGAGTGCTAGCTGCACAGGCTGCTGGCGCAGCACCACACCAGCCTCCTCGCTGTCTGAAACAGCTACTAGTTGCACAGGCTGCATACGGGCCACAACAGTTAAGTAAGAAGGTAAGAAATGGTGGAAGGTATTAGTAGCTCACGTGATAGGTAGCTAAACCAACCAACGACGGTGTCAACCACCAACCAACTCACATTACCTCCAGCCAGGGTGACCCCACCACCAGATGACACTCACAAGGCGTGACCAGTTGGTTACGTGACCAACTAACCACATATACCTATAAAAGCAGAAGAGAAGTGAAATAAGACGCTTCAGCTGATGTTTCGCTCATGTTACCTAGCATGGTGACAAAACGTTTGGAAACTAAGCAAGAAGCTTGGAGAACAAACCACCACCAAACATAAAGACTTCCCCTGTCCAGTCGTTTCTGACTCTAGTCTAGGGCATGGTGCTCATCTCCGTTTCTTGGCCAAGGAAGCCAGCGTTGTCCGAAGACAATTTCCATGAACATGTGACTAGCATGGCTATAATCTAAAGCTGAACTGAACACTGTTACATTCCCACCAAAGTGATACCTATTTATCTACTCGCATTTGCATGCTTTTGAACTGCTAGGTAGGCATGAGTTGGAGCAAGTAACGGGAGCTCACCCTATCACGAGCGCCTGGGTCTCGAACCTGGGCTGTCAGCTCTCCAGCTAACAACCTCCGCATCTTTAACTGCAGAACCATTGCGCCCCTTATGATTAAGTACTTTGATCTGTGTAAAAGTCTAAATGGATGATGTAATGGTAAGTGTTGAATATTCAAATACAGTCAGTCCCTAGTGGCCAAGTTAGTTACTACCTATTCTCTGATTGGTTGGAAGATGACAGCTCCGGGTATAAAAGGGAGCTGTCAAGCGCGGGAGTTTCGGCATGTTATGTATATTGAAGAGAGTTGAATAAACATTACTGTTGCTTAATTAATTAATTAATTAATTAATTACTGATTTACAGTAAATATAATAGCAATAGTAGGCAGCCGTTAATCTGTTCATCCATTTAGCAACAGACTCGCACATAAATAGCCACATGTTTAGCGACAAGTTAAGTGCTCATAATCTCATTTTTTTTAAAAAAAAAAAATTCCAGCTGCTTGTAGAATTTTTAGCTGCATCCCAAGCTTTGCTTAAACGGATGGCCATGAAAATGAAGAAATGGCACATTTATCTCATGTTCGTCATATGTGACACACTTCTAAATATATGTAATCTCCACAAAGGAAGAATTAGGACCCTAGATACGATTTAGAGCAGTTGGTGGGTTTATCCTTTTCAAAGGTGTCATTTTTAAGCCAGTTTAACAGTTGATGGCATACCGTGTTTTCCCAAAACACGCCTTGTGTCAGGCGTGCCTCCTTTCAGATTTCAAGAAAAAATAACCCCGACTCCATTTTCATAGATAAAGGTACTTTTACTGAAATTGAACTGAATGCAACCAATGAAAAGCAAGATCTGAGGCATAGGCGTGAAAATCCCATATAGAAAGCATCCCCTCCCAACTGTCCAGCGTAAATCATCCAATCCAAAGGTCTTCTAAGGATCAGGTGGAAGCACATGTCTGGCAGCGTCATCATCTTGGAATGCCACGACTGTTGACCTGATATCAACTTCAAAGAAAACTTCAAACAGAGCCTTGGTAGTACAGTGGTTTAATGCACCCTGTTATTAACACAGCTGCCTGCAATTTCTGCAGGTTCGAATCTTACCAGGCTCAAGGTTGACTCAGCCTTCCATCCTTTCCAAGGTAGGTTAAATGAGGACCCAGTTTTTGGGGGCAATAAGCTGACTTTGTATAAATATACAAAAGTATGAAGGCGATTGCTTAACACATTGTAAGCCGCCCTGAGTCTCCGGAGAAGGGCGGCATATAAATCAAATTTAAAAAAAAGAAAGAAAGAAAAGAAAAGACTACAGCTAAGATTCACTTTCATTTTCCCCTCCAGCATGCTTCCCCCCCAAGCTCTCCTAACTCCCCCTCCCCTCCGTTTCCATGGCAGCCGAGCAAGCAAGCGTTGAAAGAGCGGAGGCTGGCACCTTGTCTTATATTTTTTTGAACCCTGAAATAAGCTCTTGACCTTATTGCCATGCACTCAAAAGCCCAATTGGGCATTTATTATCAGGGGATGTCTTATTTTAGGGGAAACAGGGTAGTTCTTATTTGATAAAGGGATTCCTTCTCAAGCAGAGAAACTTGAGATTAGTTCAGTAGCAGATATTCTAAATTTGATCACCTTTCTTTTAAAAAATACATTTAGAATCCTGGTTGTGAAACTGCACAGGTGACACGAGTATACGAGTTGTGGTTTAAAACCACAAGTCACCAATTGTGTGAGCCGTTCTTTAAATCGCAGTCAGCAATAGTTTCATTCAAGGGAAACTGATATTTGTTGCAAGTTAGGGCTGTAAAATACTTCTTTTTCGTCCATCCTAAATCTCTAGCCCCGTGATGGCAAACCTATGGCACGCGTGCCACAGGTGGCATGCAGAGTCATATTGGTGGGCATGCGAGCATTGCCCTAGCTCAGCTCCGGAGTGCATTCATGTGCCGGCCAGCTGATTTTCGGGCCTTCTGGGCCCACCGGAAGTCGGGAAACGGGCTGTTTCCGGCCTCCAGAGGGCCTCCGGGGTGTGTGGGGAAGGCCGTTTTCGCCTTCCCCAGGCTCGTAGAAAGGCTCTGGAGCCTGGGGAGGGTAAAAAATGGGCCTAACAGGCCCATCGTGCCATTGTGTGCCAAAAGCGGGGGGAGTGCAGGGGGGGGTCGCATGTGCATGCGTGGGGGCGGGGCGCATTGAATTATGGGCATGCGCATGCACAACCCCCCCCGCTCCCTCCACTTTTGGCATGTGACGGCAAAAAGGTTAGCCATCACTGCTGTAGCCAGTCGGCTTTCTTGAGTCATATAAACCGCTAGTTTTGGACCAGGTTAATAATTCACTTTCCGTTATCCAGAAAACATGATGGTTTACCTTCAGATGCCATTCTTATATCTCCCCCCTTTATGTTTAATTTAATGTATTTATTTATTCAATTTACAGGTAGTCCTTGACTTACGTCCACAATTGAGCCCAACATTTCTGTTGCTAAGCGAGACAGATGTCGAGGGAATTTTGCCGCATTTTGCGACTCTTCTTGCCACGGTTCTTAAATGAACCACTGCAGTTGTTAAGTCAGTTAAGTGAATCTGGCTTCCCTCTTGACTTTGCTTGTCAGAAGCTCACGAGGGGATCACGAGACCCCAGGACACTGCAACCGTCATAAATACGAGTCAGTTGCCAACCGCCTGAATTTTGATCATGTGACGATGGGGATGTTGCAATGGTAAGTGTGAAAAACGGTCATAAATCCTGTAGTAACTTCAAATGGTCATTAAATGAACTGTTGTAAGTTGAGGACTACCTGCATACGCCACCCATCTCATTAGCCAAAGGGATTCTGGGGCAGCTTGGAATACAATAAAAGCAGAAATATAAAAACATTAACAGGTAACAGGTATTATATAAAACGAATAACCAGGTATACGAGGTGGGATCTTCTCTCTTACTGCTCCAGCTTTAAAGACCCCCATCGGGGCCCAAAACCAGTTAGCAGAGCCAAGGTTTTAAGGTTTTTAAGGAAAGTTACAAATCAAACTTTTATTGTGGTCAGTCTTCAGGGATCTTCTTCAGGTCTTCTTAACAGGCAGGGTAATTGAATATTGCTGGATTACCAAGGAAGCAGTTTTCCATCCACGTTCACGAAAGTGCCAGTTTCTTTCTCAGAGAGGTGGGCCAGTGTTTTGAGAATTTCTTGTACACCGTCCTCAGCTGTAGTTGGGGCTCTCAACTGGAAAGAAAAGAAAAGAAAAGAAAAGAAAAGAAAGGGAGGGAGGGAGGGAGGGAGGAAGAAGGGAAGGAGGAAGGAAGGAAGGAGAAGAGAGGGAGGGGAGGGAAGGAAGGAAGGAGAAGGGGAGGGAGGGAGAGAGGGAGGAAGGGAGGGAGGGAGGAAGGAAGGAAAAGGAAGGAATGAAAGAAGGAAGGAGAAGGGGAGGGAGGAGGAAGGAAGGGAGGAGAAGGGGAGGGAGGGAAAGAGGGAGGAGAGGGAGGGAGGAAGGAAGGAAGGAGAAGAGGAGGGAGGAAGGAAAGAAGGAACGAGAAGGGGGAGGAAGGAAGGAAGGAAAGAAGGAAGGAGAAGGGGAGGAGGGGAGAGGGAGGAAGGAAGGAAAGGAAGGAAGGAAGGAAGGAAGGAAGGAAGGAAGGAAGGAAAAGAAACAAAAGAAAAAACAAAAGAGAAATAAAAGAATAAACATGAATGAAATATGCCAACTTTTCCCCTAATTTATTTGCAAATTCAATTTTTTTATTTTGCATAATTAATTTTACCTCCATTTCTCTTACTGATGTCGTAAACTTTTTAATTAGTTGTGAAATAACTTTCTTTTTCATTCTTTTTTTCATTTTTATCCGATGCAATGAGATACTTAATGGACTGCTTACTATAAGATGGTAATAGTTGAGATACGTAAGCCATGATTAAGAAATAAATGTTATGGCAAAAATAGAATATATAAAATTGTGTTAAAGATGGAACAAAAAGCTGAACAAATTTATGACCGGATCAATGCTCTGTTCCGAAAAGATGTATTGTATGTTTGTCTGTGTGGTTTAAAAATTTTTTTTTAAAAAAAATTGCAAAAAAAAAAAAAAAGATACTTAATGGACTATTCAACATCTTTCGTTTAAAAAAAAAAAAATCCCAACCGAGTCTAATGAACAGAGGACAAAATGTATTGCCACAAAACCTATTCCTAGCTACTGACTTAAAAAAAGAAGAATTGGACAAATATATGATTTTTTTATTCTGTAGGACTTTCTTGTCCAACAATACTCTATTGCCAAATTCATAACAATAAAAGAAAACAGTATTAAGTGATCAGGTGGCTTTCTTGATATCAAAGAAAGAATGTTACTTCATTAAACTGTTTTTTTTTTCCTGGTTCAATTAAGGCCAACCCCAAGACTTTTTCCCCCCTGTTCTGTCCCCATCCCCACACACACACAAACAGCCAGCCAGGGGTTAAAGAAGTACTTGGCACACACCAGGTTCATTATCAGGAACTTGGCAGCAATACGATAACCGTCTGCCAAGTGCTTTACTACAAGAAGAGGGAGTGTTCCTCCACCAGATAACACCAACGAATACACACAGTTTTCAAAACAGTCCAGCTCAAACATGAAACCTTCAGCAGATTCGGCGTTGTACAAAGTGACTAGCCAGAAGTTAGCTTTGTCCGTCACAGAGTCTAAATGGCCACCACACTCTCTTATATAGCCTGTGAGGTGTGGTCCAGTGACTCAGCTTAATCCCTGACGCGCCTCCTCATCTGCTGCAAACGTTTATCTCGCCTTCGTTGGCGTGGATCCAGGAACGACTTATCACCCTCATCGCTGTCATCGGAGACACCTGGCTCCTGGTCAATTTCCTATCCCTCGGCAGACACCTGAGGCATTGCCAGAGAGGAGGGGCCTGGAGAGGGAGGCCTGGCTGGCTCCTCTCCTTCATGTTCGGAGCCTTCTTCCTCCGATAAGATGGGCTTGGGGGTCGGAGCCACAACACCCCCTAGCTGTTAAAAAAAATACTTTTGAATGTCCAGAAAGTGAATTAGTGTAATAGCATGTTAATGTAGCAGCTCATATACAATGGATCAGGGGTCTCCAACTTGGCGACTTTAAGACTTATGGACTTCAACTCCCAGAATTCTTCAGGCCGACTGAGGAATTCTGGGAGTTGAAATCCATAAGTCTTAAAGTTGCCCAGGTTGGAGATCCTTTCAGTAAATGTATTGACTTTATGGGGAGAAAGACTCCGCTACAAATCACTTACTGTTTCGTTTCCACTTCCCATATCTGTCTGCAGCCATCCAGGGTGCAATGCAACACACAGGATCTCGTCTTGGGCATATTGTAGGGACTGGCATCGGTTGAGCATGTTTAAAGCAGCCTAGAAGTGGGGGGGCATTGTAGAAAGAGGACGATGAATGGCACATCCTATATCTGCAAAGAATATTGTACGTTGTGCAGCAGCTGCCCAAAAAGCCAATGCAATCCTAGCAGTAGTGAAATCCAAATTTATTTACTAACGGTTCTGTGGGCGTGGCTTGGTGGGCGTGGTGTGGCTTGGTGGGCGTGGCAGGGGAAGGATACTGCAAAATCTCCATTCCTACCCCACTCCAGGGGAAGGATACTGCAAAATCCCCATTCCCTCCCCACTCCAGGGGAAGGATACTGCAAAATCTCCATTCCTACCCCTCTCTAGGGAAAGGATACTGCAAAATCTCCATTCCCACCCCTCTCTAGGGAAAGGATACTGCAAAATCTTCATTCCCACCCCACTCCAGGGGAAAGATACTATTCCCACCCCACTCTGGGGCCAGCCAGAGGTGGTATTGCCGGTTCTCCGAACTACTCAAAATTTCCGCTACCGGTTCTCTAGAACCTGCTGGATTTCACCCCTGAATCCTAGGCTGCATTAGCAGAGGAGTAGAATCAAGATCACATGAAGTGTTAGTGCTACTTTATAACGCCTTGGTAAAACCACTCTTGGAAATACAGGTAGTCCTCGATTTACAACAATTCTTTTAGTGGCCTTTCAAAGTTACAACGGCACTGAAAAAAGTGATTTAGGACCTGGTTTTCTCCGGTTCTTGAGAACCAGTAGTAAAAGTGGTGGGAGACTCCGCCCGCCCACCCTGACGTTATATTTGGCAATTTGTGCATGCACAGAAGCTTCTGCGTGCGCGCTCCTGTTGCAAACCGGTAGTAAAGTTAAGTAGAACCCAACCCTGCTCCATTGTGATTGTAAATCGAGCACTACCTGCATTGTCTGAGATTTTATATGAAAATCTATACATATAAGATCTATAAATCTGATATTTATATGACAATCTGGGCAGCGGCCAAGTCTTCTCCAAACCTTGCTGCAACGATAGTTGGGGATTTGCCCAATATCCCATGCCAGAAGGTTCGTGATGGAGCCGCAGTCACTGGATATATTCACAATTGCAGCTTTGCTGCAGCTCATGCCTTTCAGCAGACTGTCCTTGGATGCCTTCCTCAGCAAAGGTAGGAAGACCTGAAGAAAAAGAGTGGGGGAAATTAAAAACAGAGGCACGCTATGGCCGGGTATGGAAAAGTTCACCCTGGGAATCTGCAATAGCAATAGCACTTATATACTCCTTCACAGTGCTTTCCAGCCCTCTCTAAGCAGTTTTTATAGAGTCAGCCTCTTGCCCCCAACAATCTGGGTCCTCCTTTTACTCACCTCGGAAGGATGAAGACTGAGTCAACCCTGAGCCTGGTGAGATTTGAACTGCCAAAACTGCTGGCAGCCGGCAGTCAGCAGAAGTAGCCTGCAGCACTGCACTCTAACCACTGCGCCACTGTGGCTGCAAATGATAGTCCAGAAATTATTGATCTAAGGCTGTCTTATACTTTTATAATCCTGGTGAAACTTCTGCCCTTTCCTAATTGAGAAAGCTACACTTGATGAAACACATTTCTTTTTATTGTTATTATTAGTTTATAATATAAAACACAAAAATCGGTTCTTTTGGTGCAGTAGAATAAGATAATAGCATCAAACCTCAACTTTTTTACTTTTACATAACAGTATAAACAAGCCATTTCTACAACAACAAACCTGTCTAATCAGTAAAACTCAAGAGCCTTGGTAGTACAGTGGTCTAAGGCACCCTGTTATTAAGCTGGTTATTAAGACCAGATGCCTGCAATTACTGCAGGTTCGAATCTCGCCAAGGCTCAAGGTTGACTCAGCCTTCCATCCTTTCTAAGGTAGGTAAATTGAGGACCCAGTTGTGGAGGCAATAAGCTGACTTTGTATAAATATACAAAAGGATGAAGGCTATTGCTGAGCACATTGTAAGCTGCCCTGAGTCTCCGGAGAAGGGCGGCATATAAATCAATTTTTTTAAAAAAAATCAAAGTTTCATTTTTTCCCACACCTCAAGCACAAAGTCCAGAAGCGGTTTCCAAATAGAAACAAAAGAAATTGTGTGGGGTTTTTTTAACCAAAGCCATCAGTTTAGCCATCTCTGCTAACTCCGTTAACTTTTGCAACCATTTGCCCATTGTGGGAATCAAAGTGCCCTTCCATTTTTGCTCATAAACCGATGACCACATTTTTTTTTTATTTTTTAAACAAACAAACAAACTATACATCTTTGATCAATTCAGTGTTTCATCTGAGTACATATTTTGTGCCCTCTACATCCTCCTCCATCATTTTCATGCTGTGTTTCAATCCCTTTATTTCTTCATTTTGGCTTACATTTCTGTTTAATACTTCTAATGTCAATACAAATAGCAATGGGGATAAAGGGCATCCTTGTCTTGTTCCTTTCATTATATTAAACTTTCTGTCATATCTCCATTCATCGTTACCTTTGCTGACTGTTTATTATAGATTGTTTTTATCATATTTACGAATCTCCCCCCCAAAATCCATGACTTGTAGTTGCTTTATCATAAATTGCCAATTTACGGTGTCAAACTCCTTCTGTGTATCCAAAAATATCATTGCCATTTGTTTATCTGAATGTACTTCATAATATTCCAGAGTATTCAAGATCGTCCTCATGTTGTCTCTAATCTGTCTTTTGGGTAAAAAAAACCATTTTGATCCATAGGTATAAATTCATTGAGCATCCTTTTTAGTCTACTCGCCATTATTGATGCAAATATTTTATAGTCTGCGTTCAACAATGAAATCGGTCTGTAATTTTTAATCTGTTGCAAATCTGTATTTTCTTTAGGTATGTTGGAAATGAATTCAACCAACAAGCACGGGTCGATGAAAACAAAGAGACTTTATTAAAAGAAAATAATAAAAAACAATTTTGCAAAATAGGGTGGTATCCCAGCAGATATCAACAAGGAGTTTGAGCCAGGAAGCCACACCTAAAGTTTCAAAAGCATTACATTTTATAGTTCCCTATCCCGACGCCCCCCCCCATGCCCCTCCTACATTGCATCCAGTGACCGATCACGGCTAATCCAAAGCACCTTTTAGAGAGAACATCATCTCTTTCCCCTAATTACATATTTATCAAAACACCTCCCCATAACTACCCATACAATATTTTGCAAGCATAGCTCTTTCTTATCTCTACTGCCCTAGCATTAAGGAATGTCCCCTTTTTCAAGGCCTCTTTCTAAAGGTCCTAAAACAAAAGAAGATTTATTCTAACACAGCATTGTTACATATTGGTCAGCATGTTCTCCAACTATCTTAAAGCAGAATAATATCTAACAAATTTACCAGAGTAGCAGAGTTGGGAGGGACCCTGTAGTCTTGCCAGGTGTCCACTATTTGAGCAGACAGTCTGCTTTTTTCACATTATGTTCACTATTTTTTTTCACAAAATAGTGGACATTTTTTTTATTCAAAAGCTTTATGGTGAAATGGTACGTAATCTAAAGCTGTACAGTAAGAGAATAAGGATAGGAGAATCGCGTTTTGTCTTTTTTTTTCAATAAGTTAGAATGAGACAAAGATCGAATATCCATTGAACTCAATGAAATTTCTGCCTTAGAAGAAGTTTATGTTCATCTGCAGGGTGATTCATCCCTTGATAAGTGGACGTACTTTTTCAAGAAAGAGCCAGCTCCGAGTTTACTGAAACTGTTCCAGTATTGTGCAACAATTCCGATATCAAATGCAAACGTTGAACGAATGTTCAGCGTCATGGGAAATTTGTGGACCGACTGCTTGTACAATCAGTTCGAAGTGAACTTTGTATATTTTTTAATACTTCTCAACGTTGTACTGAAATTAAAGAATTATTCCTTAAATACAAAGAATTGATCAAAGCTGCGCAGTCAAATAAAAAATACACACGACAGCAAAGTAAAATGTAATTTAATATTTTACATATTATTATATTTGATGTTTTGAATTTTAAGTAAAGTTTTGAAGTGATTATTTTAATACGTGTTAAAATGTTTGTAAGAAAATATATAATTTAATTGTAATTTTTTTTTATTTTTTTACTACTTAACAGCCCCCCCCCCCCGCTTGTCCACTATTTTTTGGAAGCAGACCTGGCAACCCTAAATCCAACCCCCTGCCTAAGCAAAATTGAATCTTTACTTATATGCATTTCTAACCTATATACCTACATACTATTTTATTTTTGAATTTTCTCATATCCTACAGGTATAAGGGTAATATATGCCTCCATCCATGAGTTTGGTATCTTTGCATTTACTACGAGTTCCTTAAATACTTCCAACATTACATTGCTTAGTACATTTTATAGTATCTTGTATAGATCTGCTGGTCGTCCATCTGGACCCGGTGTTTTCTCATTCTTTTGTTTTTTTAATTGCTTCTGTTAGTTCCATCATCGTTATTCTTTCTTCTAGTGCTTTTTTATATTTTCCAGGTATTTTAGGTAAGTCTGATTTTTCTAGATTTTGTTCTGTCTTTTCTCCAGATAGTGACTCTCGTTTATATAATCTCTCATAGTAATTTTGAACTATTATTTTCTTTTCTTCATTTCTATAACATATAGTTCCTTTCTCATCTGGTCCTTAGCTGGTTAATTAATTTTCCTCCTTCTCTTTTTTTCATTTTGTATGCCAACCACCTGCCTGGTTTATTTGCATTTTCAAAAAAGTTCTGTTTGGAAGCCTTTGATTTATTTGCCAGAATCTCTTGTTCAGTTAAGTTCATTTCATGTTTTTTCAAGTCCATTTGTTTTTTAATTTTATAATTTTGTGTGTCTTTTTGTAGCTCCTTCTCCAGCTTTTTATACTCCTAACTTTTTTTGTGCTGGTCTTTTCTTTTTATTCTTTTTTCCCAAATATGTCATTACCAGCCCTCTAATATATGCTTTCACTGTATCCCATACATTTTGGAGTGATGTATCCTCTTTTTTGTTTACTTTAAAGAAAAGGACCAACTTCTTTTCCATAAATTGTTGAAATTTTTTTTCCTGTAAAATTGTCTGGTTCAAAGTCCATCTCGACCTTTTCTTTTGCCCTTTCCATTCAATTGTAATCGGATTGTGGTCTGCCCATATATTTGTTTAAATATTAACTTCTTGTATATTAACTAATAAATCTGTTGACATCCACATCATGTCTATTCTAGACCATGACATATGCCTATTTGAGTAAAAAGTATATTATTTTTCTTTCAGATGTCCTTTTCTCCATGCATCTTGTATACTTAATTCCTCAACCATTGTGAAAAAAGTCTTTGGAAGTGTTTTCCTAGATTTCTTATTTATCTTTGTTGTTTTATAGTCCAAACCTACGTCTATCACCGCATTAAAATCACCCATTATATAAATATTTTCATATTCAAATTCTAGTATTTTTCCGTGTAATTTCCCATAAAATTCTTCTTGATTATCATTTGGTGCGATAATGCTATCAACAGTATTTGTTTGTAATTCATTGTTACCTCCACCATAAGTATCCTCCCTTCTTCATCAACAAATATTTGCTTGGGTTCCATTTTTTCTTTAATATATAACGCTACCGCTCTCTTGCTTTGATCTATCAATGAAGTAGATAATACTCCCAGTTTTGTATGTTCTAATGGTTTTTTGTGTTGTTTTCTGCTATGAATCTTGCAAATATATAATATCCATTATTATATGTTTGTTTAGTCTATCTAACTTATTTAAAGTTCTATTCCTTTTTATCGCCGAATTTAATCCATTTATATTTATTGATATTGCTTTTATTTCTTCTTCTATGATTTACTTGTTAATAGTTTTTGTCACTCTTGTCGCTCTTATCTGTCTCTGTTCTTTTGCATCTTTTCCCATTGCTCCTTCTCTTATTGCTCCCTCTTCCTGTTCCTGTGTTCTTTCCTTTGTTTTGTCTTCTTTCTCCTTTACAGTTTCTTCTTGGTCTCTAGTCTCTCTTGCTTTTCCCAACTTTCCATCTTTGATTGAAGTCCCCAAAATTGCTCATAAAATATTTCCGCTTTTTCTATTGAATCTAATCTGTGTCTTTGTTCTTGCCAGGTCACCAATATTCCTTCTGGGATTAACCACCGAAAACTCACTCCTTTTTTTATTAACAACTTTGTCAAGAAATTATATTCTTTCCTCAGATCTCTCACTCTTCTGGGTATCTGTCTCAGCACTACTATCTCTTTATCTTTGTACTTTATTGGAGTATTCCTTGCTATTTGTAGTATTTCTGTTTTTATCACTTTCTTTGTAAATCTTACATGTACTTCTCTTGGTGGTTTATTTCTCATTGCATATCTTGTATATACCCTAAATATTTCATCGATCCCATTTAATATCTTCTCTTTAGGTTCCTCCATAATTTCTGCCAGTATCTCTGCCATAACTTTTGCCAGGCTTTCCTCCTTCTGACCACATTTCTTTAGTGACTTTATTCACATCTTGTTAGCTGATAATCCAGTCACATTGATTTTACCAATGGATTAGGCAGCCCAACCGCTGGATCCAAAGTTGCTACTGTAAGAATACAAGAGCCCATCCATTTCCTCCAGAACATTCGTCACATGAAGCTTTCTGCCAGCAAAATTCTACCAACACTTCATTCCATCGCTAGCTCTTTCCCCGTTGGCTGGAAAGTCAGCAGTAAATGTGGCATTCGGTGCATTCTGTTAATATTAGGGACATATGTTTTGACTTTCTGAGTTCTGTATCGGAGAGATCTCTTGTTTTGGACATTCTTTTCTTCTGGGTCTTTTTTCTTGAAGGACATACTAGACCTCAGTGGTGGTTGCCCCAAGTTCGCACCGGTTCTATAGAACCAGTAGTAAAACCGGCGGGAGGCTCCGCCCACTGACCCCGACGTCATTAAAACACTTCTGCACATGTGCAGAAGAGTGCGCGCACGGCCCCGCTGCGAACCAGTAGTAAAGGTAAGTAGAACCCACCCCTGCTAGACCTCATGTTATGACACTGAGTTTAAATGAATTCCCTATGGGGCTGACTGGTTACAGTGAATTTAACCCTCTTAGGAACTGGGTCAGTTTTGATCAAATTCTACCCCTTTCAGCATTAGTTGCTTTGATCAACTGACCCCTTTTTGATGTTCCCATGTTACACTGACTCCTTCTCCACCCAGTTAAGCATATTTTGGATCAGGGCTATACTTTTGCCCAAGGCAGAAGAAATGCCTATTTATTTATTTAGAAAATTTATATTGCCACCTAATCGCACATGGCGCCTGTTCTTAAAATCACTATTTCCATTCCCATCAGCAAACACTGGTGTAGGTCCATCTGGTCACCAAATGCTAAGTGCAGTAGAAGAAAGATGAAAGGAAAGGTTTTCCTTGTCCAGTCATGTCCAACTTTAGGGGCAATGCTCATCTCCATTTCTTGGCCAAGTGAGCCAGCATTGTCTGAAGACAATTTCCATGGACATGTGGCCAGCATAACTATACGCCAAAGGCGCATGGAATACTGCTACTTTCCCACCAAAGCGGTACCTATTTATCTACTCGCATTTGCATTTTTGGATCTGCTAGGTTGGCAGGAGCTGGGGCAGGTAAAGGGAGCTCACCCTGTCACATGGTGCTCAGGTCTCAAACTCAGGTGGTTAGCTTTCCAGCCAACAAACCCACCATCTTAACTGCTGAGCCATGATGCGCCTAGAACAGGCCTGTCAAACTGGTGGCCCACAGGCCGGATACAACCCTCAGAGGCCATGTCTACCTCGGATTTGCAAAGGCAAAAAACATCATGATATGTCACGATCCAGCCCGCAACGCAATTGACTTCGACATCCCTGGCCTAGAACAAAGTGAAAGAGTTGTGGTGGCGCAGTGGTTAGAATGCAGCATTGCAGGCTAATTGTGCCCGCTGACAGGAGTTCGATTCTGACTGGCTCAAGATTGACTCAGCCCTCCATTCCTCCAAGTTCAATAAAATGAGGACCCAGGTTGTTGGGGGGCAAGATGCTGACTGTGTAAACATGTCAGAAAGTGCTATAAAGCACTGTGAAGTGCTACATAAGTGCTATTGCTAAGTGAGACCTAGTTAAAAGGAGAGATCTGAAGGACATTCCTACCTGGCCCATTACCATAGGACCAACGACATTGGTATTGTACACCTCTAACATGTTTTCTGGTGTCTCTGATTCCAGACTGGATGACTTTACTATTCCAGCATTGTTGAACAACAGATTCAAACCAGCTCCGTGTAGACATTCGGTAATTTTGGCTGCAGCAGCTTTGATGCTGGATGGATCAGAAGTGTCTAAAACAGAAATGAGAAAGATTTTTGTATGTGACGCAAATCCCTAGCGGGGAGGCAACACTGCTGTTGCCCAACAAGACACCTAACTGGATTTTATATATGAGAGTTCTCCATATATTAGAAAAGTGTTTCTTAACCTCAGTAGACAGGTTCCAGCAATCCCAGTCGAAGGCTGGATCGATAATTGCACCTCCCAAGAACCTGCTATAACTTGCAGAATTGCAAGATATAGTTGCAAAATGCAGAGCAGGAGAATCAAAACAATCATTTTTGGGAACTTTTATGAAAATATATCAATCTATACTTTCCAAAAGGGTGCTTTGATTGAAGAACCAACCACAAAATGTTCACGTCATTGCATTTCTCATTCTCTCTTGTTTTGTTGTTGTTCTTCTTGTTGTTCTTGTTGTTGTTATTATTATCTTTATTCATTAAATATGAAACTCAGTCAACTGAACATTCAAAAATGCATCACAAATACCATTGACTGGTGCTAATGGTTGATACGGGTTGCTGCCAGCATCCTAGGTATCAACCAAGTACCTTCTTAAGATGTACAATGTTCCAAGTAGCGCAGTTTTTTGCATTCAGGCTTACTGAAATATATATTCGCTAAGGTGTCTGAGAAAATGAATTATGGTTGAAGGTGCAGCAAATTTCTTCTAACCCAGCATGAAGACCAAAGATGCATTCTAAAACTAGGCATTATTATTATTATTTATTATTTATTAAATTTATATACCGCCCTACTCCCGAAGGACTCAGGGCGGTGAACAGCCAAAAGATAAAATATACATAGTACAAAGGTTAAAAAACCATTTAAAATACATTAAATACTTTGGCCAAAAACAAATTTAAAACACCCCAATTTATAAGACAAATTTAAAAAGCAATTTAAAAGGGAAGTTAGGCCAGGCTAGCCTGCTGGAATAAAAATGTTTTGAGGGCACGGCGGAAAGTACGCAGATCCGGGATCCTCCGTATCTCCGGGGGAGCTCGTTCCAGTTGGCAGATCCCCCACAGAGAAGGCTCTCCCCCTGAGGGCCGCCAGTCGACATTGTTTTACCGATGGCACCCTGAGTAGCCCCTCTCTATGGGAGCGTACTGGTTGGTGAGAGGCTACTGGTGGCAGAAGGCGGTCTCATAGATACCCCGATCCTAAGCCATGGAGTGCTCTAAAGGTGGTAACCAAAACCTTGAAGCGCACCCGGAAGACCACCGGGAGCCAGTGCAGCTCACGCAGGAGGGGAGTCACATGGGAGTGCCACGTCGCTCCCATAACCACCCGGGTGGCCGCATTCTGGACCAGCTGGAGCCTCCGAGTGCTCCTTGAGGGGAGCCCCATGTAGAGAGCATTGGAGTAGTCCAGGCAGGAAGTGACGAGGGCATGAATGACCGTACTTAATGTGTCCCGATCCAGAAAGGGACGCAACTGGCGAATCAGGCGAACCTGATAAAAAGTCCTCCTGGCCACAGCTGTCAAGTGCTCTTCTAAAGACAGCCGTGAGTCCAAGAGGATACCCAAGTTGTGAGCCCTCTCCGTGTGGGCCAACGACTCACCCCCAATAGTCAGTGATGGCACCAACTGACTATATCGGGACGTCGGAAACCACAGCCACTTGGTCTTGGATGGGTTGAGCCTGAGTCTGTTTCTCCCCATCTAAATCCGTACAGCCTCCAGGCACCGGGACATCACTTCAAGGGCATCATTGGGGTGATCCGGGGTGGAGATGTACAGCTGAGTGTCATCAGCGTACTGATGGTACTTCACCCCGAAACCACGGATGATCTCACCCAGCAGCTTCACATAAATGATGAACAGAAGGGGCGAGAGGACCGACCCCTGTAGCACCCCACATACAAGGGGCCTCGGGGTCGACCTCTGCCCCCCTGCCAACACAGGTGAATGAGATTTCACAGAACCAGGGCTGCATAACATCGTAGCTTGGGTAGGTAAAACCTGGCTAGAAAGAATATGCATATGTGTGTGTGTGTGTGTGTGTGTGTGTGTATTCTTGTCTTTTCGTAGGCCTTTATGTGTATTTTTCTCTCAGCCGGGTTTTTTCCTATGTAAATCAAGATCTTTATACAGCCATAGCTCAGTGAAATCCCATTCACTAATTTCTAGGCTTTTTCAGACATCAAACCAGCATTTTGTTGTCTGTTGGGAGACTAAAGGGAGACTAAGATAGATCTATTTCAGACTAATTAGTCCTCATCAGTATGATAATATATATATATATATATATAAGATTATACAGCACACCCTAAGATCCTTTGGCCTTGTATGGTGCCTATCCTATTAGCCTGTGTTTTATTTCTTAAATGTTATGATGCAACCGCTAACCGCCTACGTACAATTTTATCTAGCTTAAAATCTCAGAACGATAGAGAACAAATAAATGGCTTCATTTTTACAGCTTTTTTGGCAGCCATGCTTCTGGCTTTTAGTGCACTCCTTGAAAGACAAAGGAATGAACTAAAGGAGAAAACAACAGATATTGGTTCAGATAGTCCCTTTACTAGGACTGCAATTTAAGCAACAGACCTATGAAGCAGGCGTAACAAATTCCTGCAGGAAATGCACGACAGATGTGTGTTGACATGTCTACAGGTAGTCCTCGACTTGCCACACTTCGTTTAGTGACCATTCAAAGTTACAACGGCACAGGTGACGTATGACCAGCTTTCACACTTACGACCGTAGTAACAGCTCCATGGTCACATGGTCAAAATTCAGACGCTTGGCAATTGACTCGTATATATGACCGTTGCAATGTCCCGGGGTCTTTTGTTCGTCTTTTGTGACCTTCTGACAAGCAAAGTCAATGGGGAAGCCAGATTCACTTTGACTAATTTAACGACTACTGTGATTCCCTTAACAGCTGAAGGTCGTAAAACAGGGCAAACCAACTTAACCAATGTTTCACTTAGCAAGAGAAATGTTGGGCTCAATTGTGGTTGTAAGTCAAGGACTACCTCTACTTCCATCTCAAAAAAAAAAAAATCCCCATGCAAGTCAGCTCTTGGCCCATCAGGACAGGGGGTGGGGCAACCAGCGATCATCCAGACCCTGCCGAGCCACCAGTGGCTGGCTCTCAGACCCAGGAGGAAGGACAATATTAATAAATGCTGAGAGTTAGGAGCCAGCAATATCGGGAGGGCTGCAGGTTGCCTGCTTTGAATGTAAGGGCAGGAGCCCGGAACTCACCAAGCTGGATGATTTCTACTCGGTGCTGGTGTTGGGCAGCCAGATTCTTCAAGCTCTGAAAGGTACAAAAGTGAGAGGCTTTGGAAACTGTTTTGAGGTTGGTGAAGAATGTGAGGCTGAACAGAAAGGAAAGCAGGAAGCCGTTAAATTATTTGCAGAAGAGAAGAGAATGTTTGTAAGAGGTTTTCATCTCATTCCTTTTCCCAAGCAACGCAGGCTTTGCCTGCCGTTAGAGCAAAGTTATTAATCCCAGCTGATTCCTTTGAATCCCAGTGCTCACCTTTGCACGAGGTCCCTCTGGGTCACGGCAAGTGGCAAAGATCCATTCTGGTGGGTCGCTTTTCTCCACCAGTTGCTTCACCAGCTCCAGGCCAATGCCCCGGTTAGATCCTGTCACCAGGACACTGCGTGGATTCAGCACTTCCATCTCCTTCGGTAGACAGAGCCCAACTGGAAAAGTTATGCAACTTGTGTTCAATAAATCAGGATTTTGTCCCCTTTCATCTGGCTTTGGCTTTCAGAAACTGTTTCTGTTCTTTGCACTTCTGCTGCCTACATTGGGCAGACGTTCAGAAGCTCCGTAGGTAACAGCCCACACCCAATATGCAAAGGAAGATAAATGGTTTTAGAAGCTGCTGGTTGCTTAGTGAGGGAGGAGATTGGAGAGAATATTGTGTGTTTGTGTGTGTCTGTAAAGGAAGAAAAGAAGGAAGGGAGAGAGAGAGAGAAAAGAAAAGAGGAAGGAAGGAAGAAAAAGAGAAAGAAAGAAAGAGAAAGAAAGAAAGAGAAAAGAGAGAACGAATGAAAGGAAAAGGAAGGAAGGAAGGAAGGAAAAGAAAGAAAGGAAAAGAAAGAAAAAGAGAGAAAAGAGAGAAAGAGAGAAAAGAAGTAAGGAAGGAAAAGATAGAGAGAAAGAATGAAAGGAAAAGGAAGGAAGGAAGGAAAAAAAGAAAAGAGAGAGAGAAATGAAGGAAGGAAGGAAAAGATAGAAAAAATGGAAGGAAAAGGAAGGAAGGAAAAGAAAGAAGGAAGGAACGAAGGAAGGAAGGAAGGAAGGAAAGAAAGAACGGACGAAAGAAAGAACGAACGAATGAAAGAACGAAAGAAAGAATATGAGAGGGAGGAAGAAAGAGAGGGAGGAGAGAAGTAAGGAAAGAAGGAAAAGAGACAGAATGAAAGAGAGAGAGAGTAAGGAAGGAAGGAAGGAAAAGGAAGGAAGGAAGGAAAAGAAAAGGAGAGAAAGAAAGAAAGAAAGAAAGAAAAAAAGAAAAAAAGAAAGAAAGGAAGGAAGAAAGAAAGGAAGGAAGGAAGAAAGGAAGAAAGAAAGAAGGGTGATCTTCAAATGTAGCTTGGAACAAGTGGGCATTCTTTTCAAAGACCCAATTTTCTTCTGAGGGTGATGGAGGACTGACTGGATCCCTGCTGGATTTTTGTCACACCGCTTCCAAACAAATGCACCAGGCAGTCACTGCAAGGTACATGCAGGGAGGTGAGAATCATGGCTGATTCCCTCCTTCTTCCTTCTCTCCTTCAGCTCTAAGCAAAGGGCAAAGCACTCATTGGGACCCCATTTGCCCCTCCCCCCACCCCTCTGGCCTGGTTTGAGCATTCAGCCATGCTGGGAATCGGGAAGAAACAGATGTCCAGGAAAGAGCACAGCTCATTCTCCGCCTGTTCTGCCTGGATGGTTTAAGGACAAAAATACGACGTGGTGAAACAAAGCGTATCCAGCCAGATGTCTGGAAGGGACTCCGAGTAACGCTGGCATCTGCCGGTGGTTTCTTTTACAGCTTAAATCTTTTGTTTTAGCACCTGCGTTTTCCACCACCTCAGCATAAGTTCCTGTAGTGGTGGATTTCAATACCTTGACCCGTACCAATCGGGCTTCCGACACGGACACAGCACGGAAACGGCATCGGTCGCTCTGGTGAATGATCTCTGGCGGGCTCGGGATGGTGGTTGTTCCTCCATCCTGGTCCTACTTGACCTCTCAGCGGCTTTTGATACCATCGACCATGGTATCCTACTGCAGCGACTTGTGGGGTTGGGGGTGGGAGGCACTGTCTTACAGTGGTTCTCCTCCTACCTCTCGGGTCGCTTTCAGTTTGTATGGGCGGGAGGGCAGAGATCCACCCCGAGGCCCCTAAATTGTGGGGTGCCTCAGGGGTCGGTTCTCTCCCCCCTACTCTTTAACATCTATATGAAGTTCTCTGTGGGTGCTCCCACCCTCTGGAATGAATTACCTACCGAGCTCCGGGCGGCTCCTGATCTCCGCTCCTTCCGTCGGGACCTGAAGACTTGGCTGTTCAAACAAATAGGCTGACTCTGATTCCGGGTTTTATTATTTACTATTAATTAGTTATTTGGTTTAAAATGGGATTTTATTGTACTTGTTTCTTAACTGTGTTCGCCGCCCTGAGTCCTTCGGGAGAATGGCGGCATATAAATACATGTAATAAATAAATAAATAAATAAATCTCATTCCCCCCTGAAGGAGAATATTTGTATCTATGCCCAGTTCCTGAACGGTTAGCAGAAACTGGGCATGGCTAGTCTAGTGAAGAGAAGGACCAGGGGAGACGTGATCGTCCAGTATCTGAGGGCCTGCCACAGAAAAGAAGGGGCCAAGCTATTTTCCAAAGCACCCGAAGGCCAGACAAGGAAGAATGGATAGAAACTGAACAAGGAGAGATTCAACCTGGAAATAAGGAGATTTTTTTTCTGACAGGGAGAACAATCCACCCATGGAACAGAAGTTGCCTTCAGAGGTTGGGGGAGCTTCATCACTGGAGGCTTTCAAGAAGAGATTGGACTGCCATTCGTCAGAAATGGTGTAGGGCAGGTGTCAGCAACCTGTGGCTCCGGAGCCGCATGCGGCTCTTTGGCTCTCCCTCTGCTGTGGCTCCATGTCAAATGATCCCACCACTAGTTGGCCCCGCCCCTCTCCCTCCCCTCCCAGTCACTCCTTGCCTGGCCTGAGAAGGTAAGAGAGACAGTGGGGGATGGAGAAGCAGCCAGGGCAGAGACAGAGAGATACAGAGAGAGGGGGAGAGAGAGAGACATAGAGAGATACAGAGAGAGGGGGGGAGGGAGGGAGGGAGGGAGAGAGATAGATATGTTAAAAGGGTTTTTTGATTCCCAGTGTTTTTTAACAACTGGTTCTCTGTCCTAATGACTGGCTGGGTAGGCGTGGCTATGGGGGAGTCATGTGACTGGTGGAAGTGAGTGACGTTGAGTTGGCCACACCCACCCGAGTTTTGTGGCTCCCGGTGTTTCCTTTTCTGTAGGAAATGGGTCCAAATGGCTTCTTGAGTGTTTAAGGTTGCAGACCCCTGGTGTAGGGTCTCCTGGTTGGACAGCGAGGTTGGACTAGATGACCTACAAGATCCCTTCCAATGCTGTTAATCTTCATTTACCCAAACTAGATTACATCATCGGTGCATGTCGGCAAGAAAACAAGCAAGCTCAGAGAGCAACCAAGGAGCCGTCTCTCCTATCTCTGTTTTCAAGAGCAGGGCTTCTCGTTTCTGCTCCGGCTTGTTTGAAACGGCTGCTGCCAAGCTCGTATTTTCTCTTGGAGTTGCTGAAGCCAAAGCCGATCCAATTTGCTTGGCATTGCAGACCCGGAGTGAGGCAGATCCATTTTCCTCTGGCAGGAATTCTGGCCTCATCCTGCCTTGCAATGTCAGTGCTGCAGCCAGCCACGAACCTTTCCCTTCGCCCCATCCCATAAAAATACGCGTCATCTTGCAGGGTTCGCTGCCATTAGAGGTGATTTCACCTAATCCAGCTGTCATAGCAACATGTAATTATGATCTGGAAAAGAAAAGAAAACTCCCTCTTTCCAAAATCACCTAAAGTTAACATTTCCATGGCATAACTCAATTCTTATAAATCAATTTTATAACTCCCTTTACTGCCTCCCCTGATAGGGAAGTGTTTTTGGTTTTTTTAGCTATCATGCAATACCCCAGGGAAAGTCACAAAAATGCATGTTGTGAAAGGCAGAGAGAATGTGTTGCGACCAGCAACTCGGTCGTTAAATGAAGCAGTCGCTAAGAGAAGCATTACACACCCTTTGATGATCTTAACATCAGCTCTCCTTCTCCTTACAGACCTGTGAAAATTGCAATGCGAGAACCGGTTGGAAAGATACAATTTCATCCCCACCTTCGCCGCGGTCGCTAAACGAGGACTGCCTGGGCTTCCCTGTTGAGTAGAGCAGGGAGAGGAGGTTTTGTTACTTTGTGAGCCAGTGGTAAAGCAGGAAAAAACCAGATTGAAATGTGGTTTTGGCTTTAGAAGGGAAATTTCGACCTGAAGTTACTTCACAAACGTTAATGCATTTTTCACGACTTAAGCTGAAAAGTATGAGCTCTAACATTCATTCGGGCAGGGCTGAAATTGAAGATCTGGATTTCTGAGGTTGACCCTCCCCTCTCCTGGATTAGAATGCTAATATTTTTTTCTCTTATTGCACCAGAGGCAAAAAAAAAAAAATCCATTTTTTTTTCCACCAGTGAAGCTGGGAGTTCATGAAACAGATGTAACTTGAAAAATCCCAGATGTTAAAATGATGGTTAAAAAAATCAGTCAGGTTTCAATTATATTTTAACCAATTAGGCTTTGCATGACCAAACCCATCTCCTTGCTTATTTGTCGTATTTTTCGGAGTATAAGACGCACCGGAGTATAAGACGCAGCTTAGTTTTTGTGGAGGAAAATAGGGGGGGAAAATCTGCCTACCAGGTATTCATCTGGATAGCATTCTTAGTCTGGTCAGCTTCAGCACATTAGTTTGTTAGTTTTTTATCCCCTGCTTGGAGATAAAAAAAACAGCTTCTAAGGCACAGCTGAGAAGAAGCAGCAATGAGAAAAGCAGGCAAAGCACAGGGAGATCGTTTCACTCGGCTAGCACCTAGTTAGGGCTGGAAAAAAGGCTTCTAAAGAACAGCTGAGAGTCTGAGCAAAGCATGGAGTTTGCTTCACTCGCCAGCGCCTCCTTAAAACATAGCGGAGAGTCGAGGGAGCAGGCAAAGCTGGGAAGATCGCTTCCCTCGCTCGTGCCTCGTTAGCACCCCGTTAGGCTGAAAAAAAGCTTCGAAAAAGCTACATTCGGAGTATAAGACGCACCCAAATTTTCAGCCTCTTTTAGGGGCGGGGGAAGGTGCGTCTTATACTCTGAAAAATACGGTATATTGCATGTACAATGCAGAACACGGGGGTTGGGTGATAAACATGCAATTTTGATGCCCATTTTGAATGGATTGGATTTTCCTGCAGACCCCAGTCTGGAGCAGTTATGGCTTTTCCAATGGTTCTGAATTTGTGGGATGCTTTTAGTATTTTCTTTTGCTGATGTAAAATCCTGGCCATAGGTTTTTTTTTTTAGATTTTAGATTTTATTGAATTTCTATACCGCCCTACTCCCGAAGGACTCAGGGCGGTGCACAGCCATGAAATAAAACACATAGATATACAAAATTTAAAATCGAATAAAATGAATTAAATAAATTTGGCTGAATTAATACCCATAATTTAAAATTCCCATATTTTAAAATACAGTAAAAATTTAAAATTTACACTTAAAAGGGAGAAGATTTAGGCGAGGCCAGCTTGATGAAATAACAACG